GTCACTGAGGAGGGCCGCGAGGTGGATCGTGACGGGGATGACGTCGAAGTGCGAGGTGTGGGGGGCGATGAGGAGGAGGGGGGCCTCTAAGGGGGTCGCGGGGGGCCCCCCCTCCTCCCTGAGCTCAAAGCCGCACAGCAGCCACAGCCACCGCCACAGCCGCCGCAACAGCCGCTCCGCCAGACTGCGTGGAGCGAGTTGGACAGAGACACACGGAGACACGGTCCCACATAGAGACACACAGAGACACGGATACGCATAGAGACACACGGAGACACGGTCACACATAGAGACACACAGAGACACGGATACGCATAGAGACACACGGAGACACGGTCACACATAGAGACACACAGAGACACGGATACGCATAGAGACACACGGAGACACGGTCACACATAGAGACACAGATACACAAATACGCACAGAGACACACGGTCACACACAGAAGACACACAGAGACACGGACATACACAGAGACACAGAGACACGGACACACACAGAGACAGAGACACGGGCACACACAGAGACACAGAGACGTGGACACACACACACAGGCACGGATACTGAGACACGGACACAGAGGCACCGACACAGAGACACGGATATACACAGAGACAGGGACACACAGACATACAGAGACAGAGACTCACGCAGAGAGACACACACAGAGACACGGATATACACAGAGACAGAGACACACACACAGAGACTCACGCAGAGAGACACACACACAGACAACAACCGCCATTCACCACTAAGTGGCGGTGACGTCACCACGACGCTTGTGCCAGGCCATGTGCACCTTGAGGCCACGTGAAGTGTCGAACGCCCGCTGGCAGGTCACGGGGTCGACTGACTGAGATGACTGGCTGATGCACCACCTGTGCCCCCTACTGTGCCAACCTGCCGTGCTTTAGCCACCCGGCGCTATGCTCGTTGTTGTGAGCGTCGCTCCTCCGCCCTCCGTTGTTGTTGGAGGGCGACTGCCTCCAACTGCCCAGTAGCGTCCTTCACGAGCCTCCTCCACAGAGGCCTATCTTGACACCGCTGGTACCAGTCATCAGCAAGTCCACTCAGCTCCACGTCCTCCTGTACCACATCACTCCATCTCTTCTCTAGCCCATGCCGTGCCCGTTTAGCCCCCTCGATCCGGCCGAACAAAAGCTGTTTAGGCATGCAGTGGCTGGGCATGCGGGCTACATGACCCAGCCAACGCAGCCTTGCCTGCCGGAGGAGCTCACCGATGCGACCTTGCCCAGATCTTTCAAGGATTTGTGAGCTTCTCACACAATCCAGCCTGGTTAAACCCAGGATGGATCGTAGGCAGGCCAGCCTAAATGTTTCTAACCGGCGAAGATGTTCCATTAAGGGGGTCCACGTTTCGCAAGCGTAGAGAAGTGAGGGAATGACCGTGGCCGAGAAGACCTGAAGCTTAGTGCGGAGCGACAGACCAGGTAGCTTCCACACAGCGTTACGCAACCAATGAAAATATGTTGCCGCTCGGAGTGAGACCTCTGCTATTAAACTGGAGCCGGTCATAAGCACACTGCCCAGGTATGGGAAACTCTCCACTCTCTCCACAACTGCCCCATCACCGATTGGGAGTTGTGGGGGTGGAGTGTCCGATGGTACAAAATACCCAGGCAGGTGCTTAGTTTTGGTGGGGCTAATGGTAAGGCCCCATCTCTTTGTGGCACGCTCCAGTCTCAGCAGCAGCATCTCCAACTCCTCCTCTGAATGAGCAGCTATTACCAAATCATCGGCATACATAACGTGGTTGAGCAATAGGGAGCCATCCCTTGACCGCACCTGGGCATCGATCAGCCTCCCATTATATCTGTACCAAATGGAGATTCCCCCGGTACAGCTTTTGAAGGCTTCACGAACTACGTGGTCAAAATAGATGTTAAATAATGTGGGAGCCAGAGGACATCCCTGTCGCACCCCAAGGTGTACAGGGAATGGCTCGGACTCCCGGCCACAGACACACACATAGATACACACACAGACACACACAGAGACACACTCACAAAGACTCACACAGAGAGACACACAGACACACACACAGACACACAGAGACATACAGACACACACACACTAAGACACAACAACAACCGCCATTTGCCATGAAGTGGCGGTGACGTCACCACGACGCTTGTGCCAGGCCACTAAACCACGAGGGAAATATGTAACTGAGACACACACACAGACACACACACTGACACACAGACACACACACGGACACACACAGACGCACACACTGCAGATATCGACACAGGGCTCAACGTGGCACTGACAACTCTCAGCGTGCTGGTGACTCGCGTGATCAGAGTTGCAGACTCGGGACCAGCTTCGGCATTCAGGATCTCATCAGCAGCAGAGTCAGGCTCGCTGGCGGAAGAGCTGCCCTCTCTTAACGATACGATCAGAGTGTGGAGGCGACTTGGTTGGGATCACAAAGGCGGTGGTCACCTCATCGCGTGGTGCTTCTGGGGCCGTCTGGAACGCCTCTTCCTTCCGATATTCAGAAGCCACTGCAGCTATGCACTTCTAAATCATCATCATCTATATTTGACAAAGTAATTTCTTTAGAACCGTTTTTTTTGTGTTTAGTTTCTTGTCCTTCCCCCGCACCTCCGATCAGCACGGTTGGCTACGTACGGTACGAAAGAAGTGCAACGTACACACACACAAACAGCGCGGCTGTGGGTGAGTGGGTGTCGAGTGGGCAGCGTGGGGCTCACGTGAGCGAGGGGGGCCGGGGCAGCTGCGTGCCGATGCTGGAGACGAGGGCGAGCGCGCAGGCGGCGCACGCAGCGCAGGCGAAGAGCAGCAGCCGCGCGGGCACCAGCAACACGGACATGAGGACCACCTGCACCCAGAGGTCAGAGGTCAGAGGGTGATCCCCCAGAGGCGAGGTCAGAGCGTGACCCCCCCAGAGGCGAGGTCAGAGCGTGACCCCCCCCAGAGGCGAGGTCAGAGCGTGACCACCCAGAGGCGAGGTCAGAGCGTGACCCCCCAGAGACGAGGTCAGAGCGTGACCCCCCCAGAGGCGGGGTCAGAGCGTGACCCCCAGAGGCGAGGTCAGAGCGTGACCCGCAGAGGCGGGGTCAGAGCGGGACCCCAAGAAGCGGGGTCAAAGCGGGACCCCCAGAGGCGGGGTCAGAGCGTGACCCCCAGAGGCGAGGTCAGAGCGTGACCCCCAGAGGCGGGGTCAGAGCGTGACCCCCAGAGGCGAGGTCAGACCGGGACCCCACCCCCAGAGGCGGGGTCAGAGCGCGACCCCCCAGAGGCGATGTTTCAGCGGGATCCCCCAGAGGCGGGGTCAGAGCGTGACCCCCAGAGGCGAGGTCAGAGCGTGACCCCCAGAGGCGAGGTCAGACCGGGACCCCACCCCCAGAGGCGGGGTCAGAGCGCGACCCCCCAGAGGCGATGTTTCAGCGGGATCCCCCCCCCCTTCCCTCCCCCAGCTGAGAACTCATCAAGGACCAGGTGAGAGCCTCATTAGACAAGGGTGACCTGGGGGCATCAGTCTGCCAGTTGGAGTGATGGTTTATGACGTCTGTACGCGTTATTCGCGGTGCCATTTTTGACAATTTGCCAAATTTTGATCCCGACCGGCTGCTCACGCGATGGCCGACTCCTCTTGCAAATGACGTCAGAGGATCATTATCGTCGGCCGTGCCGCATACGACGTGAAGTGTTGGCGTGAAGACACTCTGCGGTATTGATCAGGGCGGCCGCTGGGATATAACCGTGAAAACCTCTTGCTATAAATGGCGCGACACGCTGCCGCTAGGCCGTGACACCGTCCATCGTACAACTTCATCGTTAAACCAAAAAGTTTTTCTGGCTGGGATGGACGGTCACGCCCAAAGGACTACGCGTTACTGGTATAACACTGCACACATATATACACATATAATACACACACATCTATAATATATACACACATATATAATATATACACATATATAATATATACACACATAATATATATAAGAAACACACACATATATAAGACACATACATATATAAGATACACATATAATATATAATATATACACACATATATAATATATACACACATATATAAGATGCACACACATATATAAAATATACACATATATGTAAGATACACACACATATATAATACACACATATATAATATATAAGATACACACACATAATAGTTACATACATATATAATATATGTGTATATATGTGTGTATATATAATATATGTGTATATATAAGATACACACACATAATATATACACACATATAATATATACACATATATAATATACACACATATATATAAGATACACATATATAATATACACACATATATAATATACACACATATATAATATATACACATATATAATACACACATATATAAGATACACATATATAATATACACACATATATAATATATACACATATATAAGATACATATATATAATATACACATATATAATATACATATATATAATACACACACAGATCTCTTCCGTGATGGCGGCATCGTGCCCCGCTCTGCGCGACTGAAGCAGCGCGGAGCGAGTCGAGATTGGGCCGCGTCGGCCGCCCCGTGACCTGAATCCCAGCCTGGAGCGGTGGCGCAGCGGTTAGCGCAACGCGGCTTGGCGAAGATGGCGAGGGGCCCGACCACCGTTTGGGATATCGGTCGCCACTGACGTTAGCCGTGGCCCGGAATCGAACTCGGGCGGCTGGGTTCAAAGCGTGGCGCACGCAAACAGCGGCGCACCCGTGCCCTCCTCGTGTATCGTGCATGCTCCTGTTTGTCGATGTCGCCTGCTGACCCTCCGCCCCTACTGGACATCTGTGCAAAAAAAGAGCTTTATAGCTCATCAGATTCCTTGTCCGCTTCGTGAAGTAAAGATTCTGGTTGTGTGTCTGCGTGACGGCCGGTGGCGGTGGGCCCATTTCTCGTCCCGAGTGTTGCTGACGAGTCGAGGTGCATTCCACGTGGGGTGGGACCTCAAGCGTGGTGTGGCTCGAGGTTAGAGGGGCGAGGCGTGGTCCTGTCTGTGTGTGTCTCTGTGTGTGTGTGTCTGTGTGTGTGTCTGTGTGTCTGTCTGTGTGTCTCTATGTGTGTCTCTGTGTGTGTGTCTCAGTGTGTGTGTGTCTCAGTGTGTGTCTGTGTGTGTGTCTGTGTGTGTGTGTCTCTGTGTGTGTTTGTGTGTCTCTGTGTGTGTGTGTCTGTGTGTGTCTCTGTGTCTGTGTGTGTCTCTGTGTCTGCGTGTGTCTGTGTGTGTGTCTGTGTGCGTCTGTGTGTGTGTCTGTGTGTGTCTGTCTGTGTGTGTCTCTGTGTGTGTGTCTCTGTGTGTGTGTGTCTGTGTGTGTCTCTGTGTGTGTGTCTGTGTGTGTCTCCGTGTGTGTGTGTCTGTGTGTGTGTCTGTGTGTGTGTCTCTGTGTGTGTCTCTCTGTGTGTCTCTGTGTGTGGCTCTGTGTGTCTCTGTGTGTGTCTGTGTTTGTGTCTCTGTGTGTGTGTCTCTGTGTGTGTCTGTGTGTGTGTCTGTGTGTGTTTCTGTGTGTGTGTGTCTGTGTGTGTCTCTGTGTGTGTGTGTCTGTGTGTGTCTCTGTGTCTGTGTGTGTGTCTGTGTGCGTCTGTGTGTGTGTGTGTCTGTGTGTGTCTGTCTTTGTGTCTGTCTGTGTGTCTGTCTGTGTGTCTCTGTGTGTGTCTCTGTCTGTGTGTGTCTGTGTGTGTGTCTGTGTGTGTCTGTCTGTGTGTCTGTCTGTGTGTCTGTCTGTGTGTCTCTGTGTGTATCTTAGTGTGTGTCTCAATGTGTGTTTCCGTCTGTCCCTGTGTGTATCTCTGTGTGTGTGTCTGTCTGTGTGTCTGTGTGTGTGTCTCATTGTGTGTGTCAGTGTGTGTCTCTGTGTGTGTCCCTGTGTCTCTGTGTCTGTCCCTGTGTCTCTCTCTGTAGTGTCGACGTCTCCGTGTTTGTGTCTCCGTGCTCTGACCTTGTGTCTCGGTGTCTGCGTCTGACTCGTCGTTCGATTGCCACTCACGGCCAACATCAGTGACAAATATCTAAACCGGTCCTGAACTTCACCTAGGTTGACTCAGCCTTAAATGAGTACGGTGCCTGGTACGGTGTGCAAACATCACCAACATCCTGTATAGGCTACACGGGGGGCATTTGTCTTTATTTGTATGTGTTTATGTATATACGTGTGTATGTTATGTGGGTGTGTATATGTTACGTGTGTGAGTGTGTATTTATTATTAGTCTATGTTGTGTGTGTATACGTTTGCCGTGTGTGTTTATATACCTTGTGTGTGTGGGTGTTTGTGTGTGTTTGTATGAGTCGACTCAAATGAGTACCTGGTGCGGTGTGTAAACATCGCCACTCGGGAGACAAAGGCGGCCGGGAGTGGTGCTGACCACCCACCCCCTCGTGAGCCGTGCCGGCCTTCATAGGTGCTGCTCGCTAACAGCACTTGCCCCAACAGTCTGCATGGGCTACACGGGGTGGGGGGGCCTTTGTCTGTGTCTTTATGCACGCACCCTGGCTCTCTCCCTGGCTCTCTCCCTGGCCCTCTCCCTGGCTCTCTCCCTGGCTCTCTCCCTGGCTCTCACCCTGGCCGTCGCCCTGGCCCTCTCCCTGGCTCTCACCCTGGCTCTCTCCCTGACCCTCTCTCTGGCCCTCTCCCTGGCTCTCACCCTGGCCCTCTCCCTGGCTCTCACCCTGGCTCTCACCCTGGCACTCACCCTGGCCGTCACCCTGGCTCTCACCCTGGCTCTCTCCCTGGCTCTCTCCCTGGCTCTCACCCTGGCTCTCTCCCTGGCTCTCACCCTGGCCCTCACCCTTGCTCTCTCCCTGGCTCTCTCCCTGGCTCTCTCCCTGGCCCTCACCCTGGCTCTCTCCCTGGCTCTCTCCCTGGCTCTCACCCTGGCCGTCGCCCTGGCCCTCTCCCTGGCTCTCTCCCTGGCTCTCTCCCTGGCCCTCACCCTGGCTCTCTCCCTGGCTCTCACCCTGGCTCTCTCCCTGGCCCTCACCCTGGCTCTCACCCTGGCTCTCACCCTGGCCGTCGCCCTGGCCCTCTCCCTGGCTCTCACCCTAGCCCTCACCCTGGCTCTCTCCCTGGCTCTCACCCTGGCTCTCTCCCTGGCCCTCACCCTGGCTCTCTCTCTGGCTCTCTCCCTGGCCCTCTCCCTGGCTCTCACCCTGGCTCTCACCCTGGCTCTCTCCCTGGCCCTCACCCTGGCTCTCTCCCTGGCTCTCTCCCTGGCCCTCTCCCTGGCTCTCACCCTGGCCCTCATCCTGGCCCTCTCCCTGGCTCTCACCCTGGCCCTCACCCTGGCTCTCACCCTGGCCCTCACCCTGGCTCTCACCCTGGCTCTCACCCTGGCTCTCTCCCTGGCCTTCACCCTGGCCCTCACCCTGGCTCTCTCCTTGGCTCTCTCCCTGGCCCTCTCCCTGGCTCTCACCCTGGCCCTCACCCTGGCTCTCACCTTGGCCCTCTCCCTGGCTCTCACCCTGGCCCTCACCCTGGCCCTCACCCTGGCTCTCACCCTGGCTTTCTCCCGGCGCGACCAGAGCGCGATGGAGCCCCGTGGCGTCGCCTCCATCCGCCTCGGATCAGTGCGGGGCTCGGCTCCAAGCGAGGTCACGAACACGCAGGGTGAGAGAGTGCTGTTTGTTGCTGACCGCTTGACGTGTTGGATTTTGAGCCCCTTTGCTCAGCAATGCTGTAAACAAAACACGGGCAACGCGCACAGCCAATGTCCCGCATTGTCCCTGTGTCACACACACACACGTGTACCTGTGTCACACACACACACGTGCACCTGTGTCACACACACACACGTGTACCTGTATTACACACACACACGTGTATCTGTACCACACACACACAAACGTGCACCTGTGTCACACACACACGTGTACCTGTGTCACACACACACGTGCACCTGTGTCACACACACACACACACGTACCTATATTACACACACACACGTGTATCTGTACCACACACACACAAACGTGCACCTGTGTCACACACACACACGTGTACCTGTATTACACACACACACGCGTGTACCTGTACCACACACACACACGTGTACCTGTGTCACACACACACACGTGTACCTGTACCACACTTACACACACGTGTACCTGTGTCACACACACACACACCTGGGTACCTGTGTCACACACACACACCTGTGTGGAGGTGAACAGTGGTTCACGCAGCGCTATGCACTCTGGGTACCCGGTGTTCGCATACCTCTCGGTGTGTCGTCTGTGTGTGATTTGTGTGTTTATGTGCATGTCGTGTGTGTGTGATTTGTGTGTTTCATGTACATGTCGTGTGTGTGTGATTTGTGTCTATACCTGTGTGTTTGTGTATCTTTGTGTTATGGATGTATGTGTGTATATGTATGTTCTAGATTAGTGGATAAACAACAGCATTGGGAAGACAAAGGCGCTCGGGCGCGGTGCTGGCCACCCACCTCCTCATGTGCCGTGCCGGCCTTCAAACGTGCGACTCGATAACAGCACTTGCCCCCACGGTATGTTAAGGCTATACGGGGGATCTTTGTCTTTGCGTGGGTGTAAGTTATTGATCAACCTGCATGTGTGTGTGTACGTGTGTGATGTGGGGAGCGGTGGCGCAGTGGTTAGCGCAACTGTGCTACGAACCCGGCGACCCGAGTTCGATCGGCGCTCACTGCAAACATCGATGACGAATATCTGAACCGGTCCTGTGCCTTAATAATGATCTAGATTAGTGTGTAAACAACAGCATTGGGGAGACAAAGGCGCTCGGGCGCAGTGCCGACCACGCACCCTCTCGTGTGGCGTGTTTGGTCCGCATAGGTGCTGACTCACAACACTTTCCCGAATAATGTAATCAGACTATACGGTGGGTCTTGGTCTCCCTGCATGCGGGGTGTGTGTTTGTATGTTTGTGTGCAGTTGATGCTGTGTGTACCTGTGCATGTGTCTATCTGTGTATATGTTGTTACGCTGTGTGTGCTCGCGCTCACCTGTGGTACCTGTCACACACCTGAAGCACACGTGGCGAGAATGAACCTGCCCCAGTTGCCCGCGAAGCACCCTGCACCTCAGGTGTGGGCGGCTCCCCCCTTCCCCCCGCCCCTACATCCTCCAACCCCTGATAATAAAAAAAATAACAACGCCACTTAAATTTTGATTTAAAGCTTTCGTGACTGCAGTAATTCACCGAAAGAGCTAAGAATATGAACGCCACTTAAATTACCCATGCAAGCTTCGCCGAACTTCAAGACTCGCTTCCAAGAGGGTCCTGCTACACCGAGTTGTGTGGGGGCGCCACGGTGGCTATGATATGTTAACTACCTCGCCTGGTATACAGGAGGTCGTGGGTTAGACCCCGACCCTGACGCCTGCTGCTGCTGTATATGTGGAGTTTGCGGTGTCTCTCTCATCAGCATGATGGCTATGAGATGTTAACTACCTCGCCTGGTATACAGGAGGTCGTGGGTTAGACCCCGACTCTGACGCCTGCTGCTGCTGCTGTATTTTGAGTTTGCGGTGTCTCTCTCATCAGCATGATGGCTATGAGATGTTAACTACCTCGCCTGGTATACAGGAGGTCGTGAGTTAGACCCCGACCCTGACGCCTGCTGCTGCTGTATATGTGGAGTTTGCGGTGTCTTTCTCATCAGCATGATGGCTAGGAGATGTTAACTACCTCGCCAGGAATACAGGAGGTCATGGGTTAGACCCCGACCCTGACGCCTGCTGCTGCGGCTGTATATGTGGAGTTTGCGGTGTCTCTCTCATCATCATGATGGCTAGGAGATGTTAACTACCTCGCCTGGTATACAGGAGGTCGTGGGTTAGACCCCGACCCTGACACCTGATGCTGTGTATTTTGAGTTTCTGTGCCTCTCTCTCTCCCCGTGGCCGCGTGGATTTTTCTCCTCCGGTTTTCCCCCCTCCACATTTAGAATCAACATCGCCACGCCTTTCGAGTATTTGTCTGCTGTAAGATTCGACACGGTGATCGGCTGCCACTCAGTTGCGCTATCACGTGTGGCCACGTCACTTCTAAAAAAAAGATCTGTATAGTTCAGTGGGCTTGACCTGGTGAAATATAAAACATTTTTAGCTGAAGTCGTTGAGTTTCTGTTTGGCCAATTCATTTGTTAACGCTGCGAGTTCAAATCCTGGCTGGCGGTTTCGATTCGGCTTGCCTAACATCAAAGGATGACTCGGGACTACTATTGCTGACGAAACACTCCCGAAGACGGACACACACACTCGCACACACGCACGTACACGCACACACGCACGCACACACGTACGCACACGCACACACGTACGCACACGCACACACGCACGTACACGCACGCACACACGTACGCGCGGGACGCGGCAGTCGGGGCAGGCCGCGGGTGACGCCGCCGCCGCCGGGGTCGGGGGGGGGGGCGAGACCGGTGATGGAATGGCAGCCAAAGGCGGGACAGTTGAACACGCGGGATTTTCGCGACCAATATTATTCACAATAAAGATTGGGCAGATCGCCGGATGATGCTGGATGTAATTACCAGCGAAACGTCGCAGAACACAAATTGTAAACGTTGTGGATTTACTCTCCAACACACCGATGGGCTGAAGTAGTAAATAATTGGCGTTTTGTTTACGTGACAAATCCCTTACTAATTGGCTGTGTCGGGTGGTGGAGGGTTACGGCACAACATTAATACTTACGAGATCTAACCCAAAATCCTTTATTATGAAATGCGAGAAAACTCGCCCCGAGACTCCGGCTACGTGGAGATGGAGCGATGTGGAATCTCGCGAGACCGTGACAAGTGGCGACCGCTTAGTGGAGGGGGGCTCCATCCAGCAGTGGATAGGTCATGGCTGATGATACTCATGAGGATTCGCATTGGAAGTGCGGCGTCATCCCGCTCAGACGAGGCCCCGATTGACAGGCGGCGGCATCGCAGTCGTGCCCCCTGCGGCGACTTGTGACCCGTGCTGGAGTTCGAGGCCCTGCCTCTCGTGTTTCCTGGTTTATTGTTCGCCCCCCGCCCCCAAACTCTGTCCGTGTGTGTTGAACGCCTCTCCCATGACGAGACGGTTCGTCTTGTGTACCTTTCACCGGGAGTTGAACACCCGAGCAGCGGCTGACCGTCTCACTCATCCCGCCTCTTCATCTCGTCGTCGTCGCCATCGCAGGTTCCGCCTTCAAACACTGCCCGCCGAAGGTGGCACGGGCTCAGCCGTCGTCCCTCCCGCGAGGAGCCCTCTCCGATTGTACAGTCGCGAGACTCGCCCTGACCAACGCTCGCTTTCCGCTCATGAGTCTAGCGACTTGGGCAGCGTTCTTCATCTTTATCCAATTCTTATAACTTTTCTTGGCGGGGTTGGGGGGAAAGGCCTTCATCCAGCAATGGATTGATAATGACTGCCACCGCTGATGATGACGCCACTGCTGTTGCTAATGAAGATGATGACGCTGCTGGTGCTGATGATGCTGTTGCTGATTATGCTGCTGCTGTTGTTGCTGACGATGACGCTGCTGCTGCTGGTGCTTCTGACGGTGATTATAGTGCTGATGATGAAGTGCTGATAATGATAGTGCTGATAATGATAGTGCTGATGATGAAGTGCTGATGATGATAGTGCTGATGATGATGCCGATGGCTTCGTGTAAGGGGCCCAACCCCTGCGCGATAACTCACGACATTGGCACCACCGAGTGGGGGGTGGGTGGGGGTGGGTTGGGGGGGGGCACGGGGGAACTTCAATTACGCGAGGAGCCCCGTGGAGCACCGCTCTGCTGTAAACAGGTGCCGAGTCAGGAGCCCAGGAACAAAAAAAAACATCCAAACTTAAACAGCCACGACGTGTGTGGCCCAGCGGAGAGGGGCGGACGTGGGGTGGGGGGCAAGGGAGGGGGCTTTCTACTTGACCAGGCGCTAACAGCCTCCTGGTCCCTTGGCTGGACCAGTCAATGGCTCTCTCGCCCGCTCGATGGCTCTCCAGGTCCCCAGATCATCCAGGACCTCAAAAGCCCTCCTGCAGCCCCTGAAAGTCGTCCTCCTCTCTCTCATACCAGACCCCCCCCACCCACCCACGCCTCTGTCCACCCTGCAGTATACATGGGGCGCAACCACACCAGGACCTTCGGCTGTGTCGTGGCTATCGCCGCACTGGGCTTGGGGAGTCCGGAAGTCGCCGGTTTGATTCAATCTCCCGGCGCGGCAGTTTCAAATAATGGGAGCGAGTTTCAGAAACCGTCTGCCCCAAGCCACGCACCACAGCGAGTCGGCAGGCCACGCGTGGTGGGGCAAAGCGTGGGGACTCCCACCGCTCCGCCCAGGCGTTTGGCCGTTGTGGAAGAGTCGAGGCGACATCCCCTGCCGAGGTGCTCACCCCGAAGCTCCACCGAGTGGAGGCCCCTGTCGTCAGTACTTCACCTGCACGTGGCCAGGGACTGGCTGCGCGCTCCGCCTCCACGAGTCCTTTGCTCCTCGCGACTGCCGAGCCACGTGCCGCCTGCTCCGCCGACCTACTTACTGTGCTGCCTGCTACAGGTTGGTGCGTCGCGCTGGACGTGCCTCCCGTCTCCGTGTGAGCCAGCAACCCCTGACCGCGCAGGCGTGTGTCGCTACGCGGGATGGCGTTAACGACGAAGTAACGATTTGTTGAATGGGAAAAACAGATCGATTAGTAGTCAGTGTCGTAGATGACCCGATGAGGTTGACTAATCGATGCTATGAGGTGTATTAGTACTTCATTGTTGACATCGACATTGGGGACACGTCAAGTGTCGAAGGTTCAGATACAGACACCCACAGAAGCTCACAGTCACTGGCGCACAGACAGATACACAGGAAAAGACCCCCCCCCCCACCCGCCGCCTAAACAGACTGTTGGGGCAAGTGCTATAAGCGAGCACCTATTAAAGTCTACAGAGATGCACACACAGACACACACACAGATATTACACACATCAGAATTATCATCATCACCACGTGCCTGCCTACGAGTAACCGAGCAAATCTGCGTGTGTGCGTGTGTCACTCGCACGGAGCACACGTGTGCACGAACACACACACACCGCGGCAGGGCCGTGAGATTTCAAACACACTGACGGCTGAGTTTATGCGCTGGCCTGGCCGGAAATCTTTTTCCAAATAAACACAGATTGTCACTGCATGGGTGGCCCTACCAACCCGCCCGCCCGCCCGAAACGGCGGCGGGTGCTGTGTGCCTGAGTGAGCGTGAGTGAGTGTGTGAGAGAGTGAGTGTGAGTGAGAGTGAGTGTGTGAGTGAGTGTGTGAGAGTGTGTGAGTGAGAGTAAGTGAGAGTTAGTGAGTGAGTGAGAGTGTGTGAGTGAGTGAGAGTGAGTGAGAGTGAGTGAGAGTGAGTGAGTGTGTGAGTGAGAGTGAGTGGGTGAGCGTGAGTGAGAGTGAGTGAGGGCGAGAGTGAGTGAGTGGGTGTGAGTGAGCGTGAGTGAGAGTGAGTGAATGTGAGTGAGTGAGCGAGTGAGTGAGCGTGAGTGAGCGTGAGTGAGAGTAAGTTTGAGGGAGTGAGCGTGAGTGAGTGAGAGTGAGTGAGAGTGAGTGAGCGTAAGTGAGTGAGAGTGAGTGAGAGTGAGTGAGAGTGAGTGAGAGTGAGTGTGAGTGAGTGAGAGTGAGTGAGTGAGTGTGAGTGAGTGAGAGTGAGTGAGTGAGAGTGAGAGAGTGAGTGAGTGAGAGTGAGTGAGTGAGAGTGAGTGAGAGTGAGTGTGAGTGAGTGAGAGTGAGCGAGCGATGTTTTTAAACACAACCAGCGGTTGGGATCGCCTCAGACCCGACCATCAAAGACACCGGACGGTTCGACTGCTCTCTCGAACACGGTCACTGGTCGGGGGAGGCGAGGGGTGGGTGGGTGAGAGACAGAAGAGCGGGCCTCGATGGGCAAGGTTCGGTGAGGTCTTAATCGCTCTCTGCCTTTCAAGTTCGTCAGCTCGGCAATGGGAGTAAAACTTCACCGCGGGACTCCGCTAGCTCCACGTGGACCCCCCCCCCCTTCACGGTTGTTGGAGCCACTTCGCGGCTGGCTGTGATATGGGGGGGGGGGGGCACAGACGGCGGTGGTGCTGTCTGCAAAGAGCGTGGTAGGCGGGGTGGCGAGGGGCTCACGGCACACCTGTGCCGCGCCGTGCGCGCGTGCACTGCGCCACGCGCGCGGCCCCGCGTGGCGCTCCGAGCCCCCCCCGCCGCTTTCCACGCGAGCGCTTCTCAGCTTAGACCATAGATGGCTTCGTTTGAGCCCCTCTCTCGTGTGGGCGAGCAGAGGGGAGGGATGGAGCAGGGGGAGACGGAGGGGTGGTGGAGGTTTTGTTGTAATTACCTCGGGGCGAGCGACGCACGCACGCACGGCGGCGGAGAGGGGAGAGAGAGGGGAGAGCAGAGAGAGAGAGAAAAAACGGTTGTTTATTGTTCACTGTTGATTTTTCTTTCCGTGTTGTGTCAACACGAGGGCGAAACACACGGGGCGAGATGTTTAATCTGAAGCGGAAAGCAAAACAATGACGGGTGAAGCGCCAGGCGCGCCGCTCCGCGCGACACAGCGCAGGTTGCAGCGCGCGCGACCACCTCCTCTCTGCGACTCTCCATAGGCAGAGACTGCGACTCTCCATAGCCAGAGACTGCGACTCTCCATAGGCAGACAGAGACTGCGACTCTCCATAGGCAGACAGAGACTGGGACTCTCCATAGCCAGAGACTGCGACTCTCCATAGCCAGACAGAGACTGCGACTCTCCATAGCCAGAGACTGCGACTCTCCATAGCCAGAGACTGCGACTCTCCATAGCCAGAGACTGCGACTCTCCTTAGCCAGAGACTGCGACTCTCCATAGGCAGACAGAGACTGCGACTCTCCATAGACAGACAGAGACTGCGACTCTCCATAGCCAGGTAGAGACTGCGACTCTCCATAGCCAGAGACTGCGACTCTCCATAGGCAGACAGAGACTGCGACTCTCCATAGCCAGAGACTGCGACTCTCCATAGCCAGAGACTGCGACTCTCCTTAGCCAGAGACTGCGACTCTCCATAGGCAGACAGAGACTGCGACTCTCCATAGACAGACAGAGACTGCGACTCTCCATAGCCAGGTAGAGACTGCGACTCTCCATAGCCAGAGACTGCGACTCTCCATAGCCAGAGACTGCGACTCTCCATAGACAGACAGAGACTGCGACTCTCCATAGGCAGACAGAGACTGCGACTCTCCATAGCCAGAGACTGCGACTCTCCATACCCAGACAAGAGACTGCGACTCTCCATAGGCAGACAGAGACTGCGACTCTCCATAGGCAGACAGAGACTGCGACTCTCCATAGCCAGAGACTGCGACTCTCCATAGCCAGAGACTGCGACTCTCCATAGGCAGGTAGAGACTGCGACTCTCCATAGCCAGAGACTGCGACTCTCCATAGCCAGAGACTGCGACTCTCCATAGCCAGAGACTGCGACTCTCCATAGCCAGAGACTGCGACTCTCCATAGCCAGAGACTGCGACTCTCCATAGCCAGACAAGAGACTGCGACTCTCCATAGGCAGACAGAGACTGCGACTCTCCATAGGCAGACAGAGACTGCGACTCTCCATAGGCAGGTAGAGACTGCGACTCTCCATAGCCAGAGACTGCGACTCTCCATAGCCAGAGACTGCGACTCTCCATAGGCAGACAGAGACTGCGACTCTCCATAGGCAGACAGAGACTGCGACTCTCCATAGCCAGAGACTGCGACTCTCCATAGCCAGACAGAGACTGCGACTCTCCATAGCCAGAGACTGCGACTCTCCATACCCAGACAAGAGACCGCGACTCTCCATAGGCAGGTAGAGACTGCGACTCTCCATAGGCAGACAGAGACTGCGACTCTCCATAGCCAGACAGAGACTGCGACTCTCCATAGACAGACAGAGACTGCGACTCTCCATAGCCAGAGACTGCGACTCTCCATAGCCAGAGACTGCGACTCTCCATAGGCAGACAGAGACTGCGACTCTCCATAGGCAGGTAGAGACTGCGACTCTCCATAGCCAGACAGAGACCGCGACTCTCCATAGGCAGGTAGAGACTGCGACTGTCCATAGGCAGGTAGAGACTGCGACTCTCCATAGGCAGACAGAGACTGCGACTCTCCATAGGCAGGTAGAGACTGCGACTCTCCATAGACAGACAGAGACTGCGACTCTCCATAGGCAGGTAGAGACTCTTTCTCTCTCTCACTGCGAGGCTGCAGTGAGACGGTGTTGGTCGTTGGGACGCCCCAGATAGGAGTCATCGAAAGCCCCCTTGGACAGATTTGATTTATTTGATTTGATGATCACGGTCCTCTGGAGGAGTTTGCAGACTCGAGAGGAGGCTGCGTGGAGTGCAGGAATGTGGGCGAGCTCGGGAGCGAGTGAAGGAGACGAGAGAGTGAAGGAGACGAGCGAGTGAGTGAAGGCGCAGGCGAGCGAGTGGAAGATCAGAAGCGACTGGGTGAGTGGGGTGGTGAGTGAGTAGGGTGGTGAGTGAGTAGGGTGGTGAGTGAGTGGGGTGGTGAGTAGGGTGGTGAGTGAGTAGGGTGGTGAGTGTGCGGGTTGGTGAGTGAGTAGGGTGGTGAGTGGGGTGGTGAGTGGGGTGGTGAGTGAGTGGGGTGGTGAGTAGGGTGGTGAGTGAGTGGGGTGAGTGAGTGAGTGAGAGATCGAGCGATTGCGTGGCGGACTGACCGAGTGGTTTAGCGAGCGAGTGGCCGGCGTGGTTGAGCTACCAAAGCGAGTGAACGAATTGCCACGTTGGGTGGTGGCGGTGCATCAACCTGCGACTGTCCTTGTCAGTGACCGAGCGACTCTCTGGGTAGCCGCGTGAGCGACCACCTCGGTGGGACTCTCGAGCAGACGGGGAGACGATCTAACGCCACTGGCAGCGTTGAGAGGAGGCGAGCGAGTGGCCGACTGAGTGACTCGACCGACCGACCGACGGACCCAGCCCACGCCGCCTCTCCTCGTCACCGCCGACGATGTCCTCCTCCTCCTCGTCGTCGTCGTTCGTGTGCGGCGCGAATCTTCACGCCCTGGCCGAGAGCCTCTTCCTCTACCCGGGCTCCCCGGCTCTCCTCGCGGGGCTCCACGTGCCGCCCGCGCTGCAGCGCGGGTGCAGCAGCGGAGCGGCAGCGGCAGGAGGCGCCGGAGGAGTCGGAGGCCTCGGCTTGAGCGGCTCGGCAGCGAAGGAGTCCCCGCAGAAGCCCCCCTACAGCTACATCGCGCTCATCGCCATGGCCATCGAGAGCTCCCCGGAGCGCCGCGTCACGCTCAGCGGCATCTACCGCTTCATCATGGCGCGCTTCCCCTACTACCACGACAACAAGCAGGGCTGGCAGAACTCCATCCGCCACAACCTCAGCCTCAACGAGTGCTTCGTCAAGGTGGCGCGCGAGAAGGGGCGGCCCGGCAAGGGCAGCTACTGGACCCTGGACCCGCGCTGTGCCGACATGTTCGAGCACGGCAACTACAGGAGGCGAAAGCGCAGGGCGAAGGCGACTGCTGCCGCCGCTGCTGCTGCTGCAGGAGGAGGTGCAGGAGGAATGGCTCCCTGTGTTGGTCGGGGCCCCTACGGCAGGGATGGAGGGGACGGCCCCGGAGACCCGGCTGACGGGAGCTCGGGGGACGGGGATCGTCACCACCACGGATGCGCACCGGGGCCGCTTCCCGTGGCACCGACTCGTGATGATGACGACGACGACGGCGGTGGCGATGGTTCCTCTCGTACTGCTGGTGGAACCGCTGGTGGTGGACCCCAGCCGCTGATCGCGATCAAGAAGGAGGAGGACGGCGGAGCAGCTGACGAGGGCCTCGTGCTCGGGGCCCCGAGTCACGGGGCGCGCGGCGGCGTCCGGGCCACGGCGCCTTCCTCGGGCCGCGCTGACCCCGACCCCGACCTGGACGCCAACTCGGAGACATTCCCCGCCAACAGGGACCGAGGGGACGTGGCCAAATGCGGGCGCGGCGGCGGCGGCGGCGGCGGCGTGGGGGGCAAAGCGGCACCGCGCGCCGCCGCCGCCGCCGCGGCCGCCGCGGCCGCCGAGAAGTGGCGGACTTTCAGCATCGAGGGGATCCTCTCGAGCTCGCGGGCCCCGTTCGCCGCGGATCCCCCGCACAGGGGGCCCGTGGCCACCGCGGGCTGCTGCGCGCTGTGCCGCTCCCTGTCCCTCGCGTCGCTGCCGCCGCCGCCGCCGCCGCTGCCGCCGCTGCCGCCGTGCGGTTTCCACGCGGCGGGGCCGGCTCTGCTGCCGGCCTGGCTGGCACCCTACGGGGCCCCCTACGGATTCCGCGTCTCCCTGGCGGGCGGGGCCATGTGCGCGCCGTGCGCCCTGCACCCGGCTTGACTGGCGGACTCGTCAATTAGGTTGACTGGGGACGCTCCCCCACACAACCCCCGCGACGCGTCGGTCTGCTGCGAGGCGAGTGATGGACGTGAGCACCCCCCCCCCCCGGAACTAAAGCAGCATCACCGTCGTGGGAGTGTTGTTGTGATGGATTCTATCTATTTACAAGCCTCACCGAGTCTCAAGAGTCGGTTTCTAAGAGCGTCCTGCCAGCTACATTTGGGATGTTTGGCCAAGTCGGCGTTTTTATTTCATTGAGCAGAGCCGCGAACTCCAACCAGAGGCAGGACTCCTCCTCCTGCAGCTGTGGCCGACGAAGACGTCCCATCGTGACCTTCACGAGGGACGTGCAGGCAACTCTCTCGACGCGTGACCGTCGTGAGGACGCAGCCACGTCGCTCGTTCCGAGCGCGTGCAGCGGCGTGGAGTTGGGGCCACGGCGCTCGCCACCCCCACCCCGACTCGGGCACTCGGTGCGAGCGCACGGCTCAGCAACACCCTGGGGGCACCCTGGGGGTACCGAGCAGCCGCCACCACCCAGGAGTTATACCGAGCAGCAACACCGCCACCGCCTCCTGGCATCATCCGAGTGCCACAAACCACACGGCACCACCCGGCGAGCCTGCACCACTACCCAGCAGATACGCGCATTAATTATCAATGACCCAGCATCACCCAACACCACACCCGGCACCTACCGCGAACCACCACCCAGCGCCCCCCCCCCATCTCCGTCACAGAAGATCCGAGTTGCGGATAAAGCGGCGCATCTCCCCCAGATGTGCGGCGCGTGCTGGCGCCTCGTGAATGCCGAGACAGAGGGCGAACTCCCTCCTCCCTCCTCTCTCGAGCAACGCGCTGGGGGTCGCCCCGCGCGCTGCTCCCTGATCGGCGAGGAGCCGGCCACTCGGCGCCCACGTGATCGCAGACGCGCGCGGCGGTGGCGACGCCGCCGCTGCTGCTGCTGCGCTCCGGTGATGTTGGGGCAGCAGCAGCAGCAGCGAGGGTTGGTGAATCAAGCACAGATGTTGTGAGAGACTCTCTTCTACTACCCCTGGCTCGCCAGGGCAAGGCGGTACAGCAGAGTGTGGACTAATCGGCATGTTTCCATCTGTACGGGGATAGAGTGTTGCCCTCTCGCACGCACGGGGCTTCTCCGGGCGTTCTCGGTCCCCCCCACCCCCCCACGTGTATAAAACAAGGGGACCGCCTCGTCAGTAATATCGCCCCCCCCTCCCCCCACCGATTCGCGTCCACAAGGCGCACGCCGCGGTGGTGGTGCTGGTGGCGACGAGCAACACACGACGCAACTGTTTAACACAATGACCACGTTATTGTTGCCGTTTATAAACTTTATACATACAGATTCTATATATTATGTGTGTAGAGAGATGAGGACAAGCATAACGGTTTTCTCTCTCTCCCGATGGATGCGTTTTTTTTATTCCCATGCTCAACGTGCGGTCGGCCGGTGGATCTCTTGTTGACTCCACTCACCATGACGTGGATCTCTTGTTGACTCCGCTCACCATGACGTGGATCTCTTGTTGACTCCACTCACCATGACGTGGATCTGTTGCCGACTCCGCTCACCATGACGTGAGCGGTCACAGCTCCGCCGTGCCGCTGCTGGTCTGTACCGGGCAGCTGTAACCACCGCTTCAGCAAAGTTACGCATTAAACAAAACGTTACAAACTTCTTACGTGCCCCCTCCTCCTCGTGCTTCCTCCTCCTTCCCCCCGCTTTGTTCCTGAAGAGTCGCGCCTGTCGACTGCCTTTATTCTCCTGATAATGAGACCCCGCCCCAACGGGTGCCTGGCGTCAATGTTAAGTCACACAAATGCGGCTACGTGGACTCGCTCGCACGCGCGCAGCTACCGGATTACTCGACGCATCCCCACAATTTCTGCTTTAAACAAACGGGGGATGAAGTGCGTCGTGTAATCTGGAGAACGCGGTTCGCCGCAGGGGGTCGCGGTTCGCCGCAGCGTGCTCCGGTCGTGCCGCGTGCCGCTCGGTGCGATGCCCGACGTTTCGTTCCGCGTGCCGCTGGCAGAGTCTTCTTCGGGAACGGAATGAAGGCAAAATGAAATCCCGAAGAAGCTCCCAAGCGGAACGTGGGAGCGAAACGTCGGACACCGGGAGTTGCGAACCCCCCAAAACGCGCCGTAGAGCGCGCGACTCGCCATCGGCGGCCGAGCGCGGACCGCCCCTCCACCCCGCGTCCCCAAAGCCAGCGGGAAACGAGGCCTGGGCAGCGCAGCAGCGATGGGCGATCGCCAGCAGGCGTCAAGCAGGTCGGCGGCACAGGCCGCTGCCAGGCGACGCGGGAAGCAGCGCGGGGCGAGGCCACCGTCGTCGGAGGGAACTTCCACGTTGCCAAGTGTGGAAGAGGCCGGAGCTCGCTTGAGAAGACCTCGGGAATGGTTTCTTCGGTATCTGCTTCGACGCGCCGCTCTCCGGACACGCGCCGCTACCGGAGCCGCCGTCACCCACGCGGCGCCTCCCTTCAAGTTCACCGCGAGTAACACGCACGCACGCACGCGGTCTCACCGTCACGGCCAGCGCTTCTTACGGCACCCAACACATCCCGGGTCGCCGGTGACTCGCAGCAGCGGGGCGGGGGGTATACAGGATGTGGTGTGCCGGGTGCGTCAATATCTTCGCCGTTTGCCGACCCAGAGAGAGGCGGCTGAACCTAACCGCTGGCGGAGCCGACGCGAGGGCTCACGGCGACGCCACGGAAGCCGAAGGAGCGGGGAGGGGCGAGACCGGCGGGGTCAGGTCGGGTCAGGTTGGGTCAAGTCAAGGGCAAATGGACGTTACGTGACGTTCAACTGGGACCGACTGCGCTCCCATCTGGGACGCGGCTGGGTCGTTGCGCGGTTTGATCCGGGGTGGGGGGGGGCGGTGGGGGGGGCTAGGACGGTGCCCGTGGGGGGGGCACGGCTCGATTCTGGGCCGGCGTTTTCTCAACAAATTAGTGACAGAAATATTCGTGGACAAAATGTGATTAATTATTTTATTTGAGCCAGTGATAAATGATTACGACCGCTGCCTGAATCGACGCTCGTCCACACTACGGAACCCCTCGTCGGTCGGCGTTAGCGGTGAAACGCGCGACCCCCCTTACGCCGAGACGCGCGACACCATTCGCCGGCGCGGGGTCAGCCACGGCACGTCTGCTGCCGGATGAAGGCCCTCCCAGAGCCGTCGGCCGCCTCTCGCGACCCCGCGGCGACCCCGCGGCGACCCCGCGGCGACCGATCCGCTCGGCTCTCCAGGTGGCGGGGGGGCGTCCTCCGGCGCGCGTTCACTCCCGCGGCTGCCACTCGGCCCCCGTTCCCCGCGCAGGTCTCGGTTCGACTCCGACCACAGGGGTTCTCTCCCGCTGGTGCGAGCAGCCGTCGGCCACGCCGTGTGCAAGCGCCACGCGCTGAGCCAACGGCGCCGAGCGCCGGACACCGACGTGGGACTGGTGCCTGCTACCATGGTAACCGCTACCGTGGTGCCCGCTACCATGGTAACCGCTACCATGGTAACCGCTACCGTGGTACCCGCTACCGTGGTACCCGCTACCGTGGTGCCCGCTACCGTGGTAACCGTTACCGTGGTGCCCGCTACCATGGTAACCGCTACCGTGGTAACCGCTACCGTGGTGCCCGCTACCGTGGTGCCCGCTACCGTGGTGTCCGCTACCGTGGTACCCGCTACCGTGGTGCCCGATACCGTGGTGCCCGCTACCGTGGTACCCGCTACCGTGGTACCCGCTACCGTGGTACCCGCTACCGTGGTGTCCGCTACCGTGGTGCCCGCTACCGTGGTGCCCGCTACCGTGGTACCCGCTACCGTGGTGCCCGCTACCGTGGTAACCGCTACCGTGGTGCCCGCTACCGTGGTGCCCGCTACCGTGGTACCCGCTCCCACAGTGCCCCAACGCCCAAGTCGCTACCCAAGTGCTTTGGTCCCCCTAAGCCGAATCTCTCCTCCTCTCCTCCCTCGTAGAAAAATATTCCCCCCCCCAACCCCCTCCATCGTGGACAGCAATCATTTCCCTTCGTTGTCCAGCGCCTAGAGAGGGGACTCCAGTCGGACGCTGCACTCACTCACACACTCACACTCACTCACACACTCACACACACACTCACACACTCACTCACTCGCACACCACTCGCACACACACTCACTCACACTCACTCACACTCACTCACACTCACTCACACACACACTCACACACTCACTCACACACACACACTCGCACACACACTCACTCACTCACACACTCACTCACTCACACACTCGCACACCACTCGCACACTCACACTCACTCACTCGCACACACACTCGCACACACACACTCACTCGCAGACTCACTCACAAAAATCCCCAGTTTAGCCTTATCAGACTGTTGGGGCAAGTGCTTTTAGTGAGCACCTATGAAGGCCGGAACGGCACACGAGGGGGTGGGTGGCCAGCACCACGCCCGGCCGCCTTTGTCTCTCCAGTGGCGATGATTTTACACACCCCACCAGGTATGAGTCGACCTAGGGGAGCGTGAATCGAACTCGGGTGGCTGGGTTCATAGCGCAGCGTAGCGCTAACTGTGGCACTACTGCTTCCCACAAACTCACAACACTCACACACTCACCCACTCTTTATCAAACAAACACTCTCCCTAACAAAGACAAAGATCCCCCGTATAGCCTGTAACAGACTGTAGGGGTAAGTGCTGTTAGCGAGCTCCTATTAAGGCCGGAACGGCACACAAGAGGGTGGGGGTGGCCAGCACCACGCCCGACCGCCTTTGTCTCCCCAGTGGCGATGTTTTTACGCACCGCACCAGGTACTCATTTGAGGCTGAGTCGACCGAGGGGAGGCCCTGGACCGGTTCAGATAATCGTCACTGGTGTTGGCCGTGAGCGGGAATCGAACCCGGGTCGTCAGGTTCGTAGCGCAGCATAGCGCTAACCGCTACACCACCGCTCCCCAACACACACTCACTTTCACACACTCAACACAAATCACCGTCTTGTACCGGGATCTTGTGGGAATGTCGCAACCAAGCTCCTCCCCACAGCCCCCCCCCCACCTCCTGCACCCCCTCCCTCCCACCCCCTCCCGTCTCATCCCCCCCCCGACCCTTACAGAACCCCCCCTGCCCCCCACCCCTACAGAGTCACTCGACTCACCCCCCCCCCTCCCTCCTCAACTCCCCCTCGGAGGCCAGCTCCCTTTTACACCACCCACCCCCCAACACCCCCCCCCCCGCCTCTCCCCACTGACCCCCACTGATCCCCACCTCCCCCCCCCCCCAACTTTATTTTGGAACCTCCTGCCCCCCCCCCCGCCTGCTCCCCCCGCCCTCCGCTCCCCGGGGGTCTTCACGCGTTGGGGTTCTTCTTCATGAGCTCCATGTCAGCGCTCACCATCTCTTGCACGAGCTCCTGGTGGGGTGAGCGGCGAGGTGAGCGTCGCCACGCAGACACAACGACAACAACGACCACCAAAAAGACGAAGGTTCCCCCGTGTGGCCTTACCAGGCTGTTGAGGCAAGTGCTGTTGCGAGCGCCTATCAAGGCCGGTACTGCACAAGGGCGAGTGATGTGGCCGGCACCGCCTTTGTCTGCCCATTGCCAATGTTTTACACACCACACCAGGTACTCATTGAAGACCAAGTCGACTTGGGGGAGGCCCGTGACCAGTTCAGATATTCATCACTGACGTTGGCCCGTGAGCGGGAATCGAACTCGGGTTGCTGGATATGGCGACGTCACGCGCCGAGCTGACGTCGCGTTCGCCAACTTTACGGGAAGTCACCCTGGACCCAACGGGGCGCTCCCCGGTCCCCACTGGGCCCCCCCCCACCAGTTCCCCCAGACTCTCCCTGCTCCCCCTGCGTTTAATTCTCAACGAGGCTTCCGCGAGCGGTGGACGAGGACTCACCTCGAAGGTGACGCGCGTCGCCCAGCCCAGCTTGGCCCGGGCCTTGCTGCAGTCGCCCTGGAGGAAGTCCTGCAGGGAGACGCGTGGCGGTGAATCGCGTGGCGGTGAATCGCGCGGCGCCGGCGGACGACGGGGCGCCCCAGACCGCGGCGCAGGGCTAGCGGCGACTTCGGCGGCAGCGCAAACGATGGGCCGCGGTTTAAACCTCCCTCCCTTCGCCCCCGGTGCCCGTGCTCCTCCACAACACCCCGCCACCGCTCCTCCACCTCCAACCACCGCCATCTCCCCCGCCGCCCCCACTCACCACCTCGGTGGGGCGGTAGTACTTGGCGTCGACGCGCACGTGCACCTCCCCCGTCTCCTGGCAGCGCCCGACCTCTTGCAGGCCGCTGCCCTCCCACACGATGCTGCGCCCCACGCAGCGGAAGGCCCGCTCCACAAACTCTCGCACGCTGTGCACCTCGCCCGTGGCGATCACAAAGTCGTCCGGCTCCGGCTGCTGCAGCATCAGCCACATGGCCTGGGGGTGGGCGAGAGGGCGAGAGGGCGAGAGGGCGAGAGGGCCAGAGGGCGGACTCGCACGGCTAGGGACGGCTTCTCCCGAGCCAGCGGTGGGAGGGTTAGGGACCGACGGGGGTGGCCGAGCGCGGCCGCCCGTGGTGCGAACGGGAGACTTGGCGGGGGAGAAGCCGAGGCACGCTGGGGTTGGGGAGTGGCGTGGGTGGCGGGGGTGGGCACCTCGATGTAGTCCCGCGCGTGCCCCCAATCCCTGCGTGCGTCCAGGTTGCCCAGGCTGAAGCAGTCGAGCTGGCCCAGGTGGATCTTGGCGACGGAGCGCGAGATTTTTCGCGTCACGAAGTTGGAGCCTGCGACGGGATGAAAACGACGATTTTAGATAACGAAGCCAGCACCACGACGATGATCGTGATGATGATACTCGTCATGATAACAAAAGCAACCACAACTGCGGCGGCGTCGTTAGTGTCTAACGAGCGTCACTTTGTCGTGCGTTCACCATTAAAGACGATGACCGGGGAACTGGGGCCAAAGTTTGGGCAGCGAAACAACGGTTGAGGTGGTGTCCAGAGCTACTTGTCAAGCCAAGCACTGGTAGCCACAAGTTATGGGTCATGGTGGTTGAGAATGGCGGTGCGGCCGAGGTCGCGGTGTAGTGGTGTGGCTTCTTGGCGGTGGCGTCGGTGGTTGGTGCGGCGATGTAACTGGGTGGTGGTATGGCCGGTTGGTGGCGTGGTTGGTTGTCCGTGTGGTGGTGTGGTGTGGCAAGACGGCAGTGTAACCGGGTGGTGGTGTGGCCGGGTGGTGGTGTGGCCTGACCCCGTCGAGGACTCTCGTGGTTGAAGAGGATGCCGTTGCAGGCGTACATCCCGTAGGCCTCGCGAAAGTTCACGACGATCCAGTATGCGTACAGCTTGGCCGCACCTGCACGAGACAAAGATCCCCCGCGTAGTCTTAACACACTTGGGGCAAGTGCTGCGAGCGAGCATATAAGGGGTGGATGACCAGCACCACGCCCGGCTGCCTTTGATGTTTACACACCGCACCAGGTACTCATTTAAGGCTGGTTCGACCTCAAGGAGGCCCAGAACCGGTTGAGATATTCGCCACTGATGTTAGCCGTGGCCAGAATCCAACTCGACCGAGCGATGGTCACCGAGTTCGTTGTCATTCACCGTACATCTCAAAAAATGTTAACAGCAGCTGGCCACAACAACCCCTTCCACCAGGCCCCACTGATCAGCGTGGTGAAGTATGGTCAAGCAACCTCCGTGCCCGACACGGCGTTGGTGGGGGGGTGGGCCCGGGGTGCTCTTCACGCACTCGGCGCATCGACCGACCCCGCGACTCTCGAGCCGAACGCGAGGACACCCGGGTCCCCCAAGGGGCTGCGGGGCCCCCTGGCGGCCCGAGCTGCGCCCTGCACGCAACCTGCACGCGTGCGGCGCTGCACAGCGAACCTCAACTAAAACTACTCAAATCTGTATTTTTATTTTACCAGGTAATGCCCACTGAGCTCTGTAGCGACTTGGCCACAAATGATAGCTCAACGAAGCGGCTTATCGCGTGGACATTGGGAGCAGCGGCCAAATACTCTCTAAACGCGTGATGGTGGGAAAAACCGGGGGACCTCGGACAAAAATCCAAGCCAAGCTGCCAAGGGGGCTGAGGCTGGAACGGATCCTTTAACCGCAGTCGCGACATTCGCACAACTCGTACGTACACGCTTCCTACACTTGCCGATGTTGCTGCTGCTGCTGCTGCTGCTTTGGCGGTGATGCACAAGCACCAAGAACAAGAGTCACCACATTCGTCAAAAACGCTGCTAGTCTTGTGAATGAATCTTGGCAGGCAGCAGCCGCCGCCGCCGTGTTGTGTTCAGTGGGAGCCAGACGCCCCGAGTCGAGGTCTGGCGCTCGCCACGACGAGCGGCGCTTCACGCGGCATCAAGCTGTCACCGCCACCTCGTGGCCAATCACACGAGCACGTGTGTGTGTGTGTGCGCGCGTTACAACCAAGAGTGGACCCATGTGCGTACATACACATCTGCGCATGTGTAGGTGCGCGTGTGTAGGTGCGCGTGTGTAGGTGCGCGTGTGTAGGTGCGCGTGTGTAGGTGCGCGTGTATAGGTGCGCGTGTGTAGGTGCGCGTGTGTAGGTGCGCGTGCGACGGACCTGAGTGTGAATGTGCGTGTACACGCTCTCGTTCGTGTACACGTGTGCGCGTGCATGCTCATGCACATAACAAAGATCCCCTTGTAAAGCCTCAACAGACTGTTGGGGAAAGTGCTGTTAGCCAGCACCTATGAAGGCTGGCATGACACACGAGGGGGTGAGTGGCCAACGCCACGCCCGGCCCCCTTTGTCTCCCCAGTGGCGATGTTTACACACCGCACCAGGTACTTATTTGAGGCAGATTCGAACAAGGGGAGGCCCAGGACCAGTTCAGATAATCGTGATTGGTGGTGGCCGTGAGTGAGAATTGAACCTGGGTTGTAGCGCACTTTAAGGCCACGTGAAGTGTCGAACGCCTGCTGGCAGGTCATGGGACAGACCCAGGTGCCATGGGTGGATTGACTGAGATCACTGGCCGATGCACCACCTGTGCCACCTATTGTGCCGACTTATGTTTTAGCCGCATGGCGCTCTGCTCGTTGTTGTGAGCGTCGCTCCTAACGTTGTTGTGAGCGTCGCTCCTCCGCCCTCCGTTGTTGCTGGAGGGCGACTGCCTCCAACTGCCCAGTAGCAGCGTCCTTCACGAGCCTCCTCCACAGAGGCCAATCTTGACACTGCTGGTACCAGTCTTCGACAAGTCCACTCAGATAAACATCCTCCCGTACCGCATCAGTCCACCTCTTCTCCAGTCCGCGTCCTGCCCATTTAGCCCCCTCTATCTGGCCAAACACAATCTGCTTGGGCATGCGGTGGCTGGACATGCGGGCTACGTGACCCAACCAACGCACAGACGCACACGCACGCACGCACGCACGCGTGTGCACGCACCGTAGGGCGAGCGTGGGTAGAAGGGGGTGCTCTCGCTTTGCGGGATCTCCTGCACCTTGCCGTAGAGCTCGCTCGTCGACGCCTGGTAGAAGCGAACGCGGTCCGCCAGGCCGCAGGTGCGCACCGCGTCCAGCAGCCGCAGCGTCCCCACGCCGTCCACGTTGGCCGTGTACTCAGCCAGGTCGAAGGAGATCTTCACGTGGCTCTGCGCACCCAGGTTGTAGATCTCGGACGGCCGCACGGCACTGATGATCTTGACGAGGCACGAGCTGTCCGTCAGGTCGCCGTAGTGCAGCTTCATGCCTGGGTGGGGGCAGGGTTGGGGGGGGGTGATAGAAAACGATCAGACCGTCACGTCTTGAACGACGATGACATCAAAGATGTTTAACGCTCCCCAAAGTAAAAAAAATAACGAGAACATTGACACACCAATTCACACGCCACGGCAGTAACACCGCAGAAATATAACACCGCAGAAAACAATAACACGATATCAACCATGTCTACAACAACTTGTGCGGCTACATTCCTTCCCGAGCGGTGGCGCAACGCACGAACGAGAAACAACGTAGACGGGGAGAATGTTTCGCTGCCCCTGCACTCCCTGCGCCTGCACTCCTGGCACAGCGTGGGTCGGCCCCCAGTCCAGCAGCGCACCGACTGCAAGCGGTGTTTGTGTGCAACCTTCCACTCGAGAATCCGGTTTGGCCACGCGTGGCCGACACCCGGACCTCGGTGGTGCCGGCTCGGTGACTCTGACGCGAGAGGGGTCCGGCTCCCCGCCTCACGGGGGCAGCTCGGTCATTGTCGAGGCGCGACCGGTTCTGCCAGATCCTGCCGCGCGATTTGGCTCTCACCAAATGCCCCGGAATGCCCCACGGCCCCCGCAGACTCGGCAAGATCTCGGAAGTCAAGCGGAGGCTCAGCCTCGATAGCGCTTAAGACGGGCGACCACCGTGCATAACAGGCGCTATAGGCTGCTGCTGCTGCTGTGTGATACATGGTCGGCAGCAGAGAGCAGTGCAGCAAAACCTATTTCTGCAATTGTGGTGTAACAGGCGAGTGGTAAGCCAGATGAGATGATTATGAATCCATGGGGAAGGGTAAATCCTGTGTAAGTGGGACACTGTGTCTCCATATAAAAATACAATCAAGTTGTTAGTCCATTCACCTGTTGGCTTTGCAGACCAATGTGAACCAGCTGTATTTGTTTAAAGCAATACGATTCCAGGTCTCATCAGCAGAGTCGTTCTTGTTGAACAAATGCTACTGGACGACCAGATGTTATTGGCAAGAGCACTCCGTATACACTACGGGGCCCCCCTGCTCAATGGAAAATGCAATATTGCATTGTTTCAAAACTCATCATTATTCTGCGTGGTCTTGGAGCATTGTGGGGAAAGCCATACATAGGCAGAGCTAAGCTCTGTGTCTGCACATTAAATACTGGACTGTACTGGCTGCACATATTTCACCCTCTACGGTAAAAAAAACGGGCAGGACCCTCCCGAAGAGGAGTCTTGAGACTCCAGGGAGGCTTTGCTGGGGAAAGCATCCGCGCAACACAATCACCTCAGTCTATTTACTTTCCAACCCTGTGGGCGCGATCCAACAGCAACTGTTTAAACAAGACAACTCTGGCCCCGCTTCGACATTCGGGGGGGTGGGGGTCTCATCAGCACAGGGCAAGCAGGGGTGAGTGGGGGTGGTGGTGGGTGTGGGTGGGTGGTGGTAGTGGTGGTGGGTGGTGGGTGTGGGTGGTGGGTGGGTGTGGGTGGTGGTGGATGGTGATGGGTGGGTGTGGGTGGTGGTGGGTGTGGGTGGGTGTGGGTGGTGGTAGTGGTGGTGGGTGTGGGTGGTGGGTGGTGGTGGGTGGGTGTGGGTGGTGGTGGGTGTGGGTGGGTGGTGGTGGGTGTGGTGGTGGGTGGTGGTGGGTGTGGGTGGTGGTGGGTGGGTGGTGGTGGGTGTGGGTGGTGGTGCGTATGTGTTGGTGGTGGTAGTGGTGGGAGGGTGTGGGTGGGTGTGGGTGGTGGTGGGTGGGTGTGGGTGGTGGTGGGTGTGGGTGGTGGTAGATGTGGGTGGGTGGGTGTGGATGGTGGTGGTGGGTGTGGGTGGTGGTGGGTGGGTGTGGGTGGTGGGTGTGGGTGGAAGTGGGTGTGGGTGGTGGTGGGTGGGTGTGGGTGGTGGTGGGTGGGTGTGGGTGGTGGTGGGTGGGTGTGGGTGGTGGTGGGTGGGTGTGGGTGGTGGTGGGTGGGTGGTGGTGGTGGGTGGGTGGGTGTGGGTGGTGGGTGGTGGTGGTGGGTGTGGGTGGTGGTGGTGGGTGGTAGTGGGTGTGGGTGGTGGTGGGTGGGTGTGGGTGGTGGTGGGTGGGTGTGGGTGGTGGGTGTGGGTGGTGGGTGGTGGGTGGGTGTGGGTGGTGATTGTGAATTCAATCCATGGGATAGACCAATAAAAACCCCCAAGCGATATTTCAAGAGCCACAAAGCACTCCCGTGGTGGTGAGCACGGGGCGGCGGTGCTGTTCTATGAATGACGTCACGAAGCAGCAGTCCTTAAAGAGCCGCTGCATGCGGCTCAGGATCCGCCGGTTTTGGGTTTGGGGGTGAGCGAGTGGGTGGGTGGTGAGCGAGGTGCAGGGTGCTTTAAAAAAATGTTTTAACACTTCTCAGAATTTGCAACAAAGACACAAAAAATTGTGCTGCCTCTGGGCTCTGGAGACCACCTGGAGAAGATTCCAGGCACGCGTTGACAACGATGGCGAACAAGTGGAGACTCTTTGAAGCTATTAACATCACATTTGTCATCATGTTACAGTGTAGTATCCGTTCTTTGCCATTAAAAACAATAGTCCCATGTAAGTGTTAATATTTTATTGAAGCGCCCTGTACATGGTGATGTTCAATTAACGGTGAGAGGGGGGGGGTGTTGTGGAGGGGGGGTGGTGGTGGAGGGGGGGGTGAGCGGAGTGGGGGGGGGTGAGCGGAGTGGGGGGGTGAGCAGAGTGGGGGGGGGGTGAGCGGAGTGGGGAGGGGTGAGCGGAGTGGGGGGGGGGGGTGAGCGGAGTGGGGGGGGGGGGGTGAGCGGAGTGGGGGGGGGGGGTGAGCGGAGTGGGGGGGTGAGCGGAGAGCCAGCCTGGCTCCCCACTGGGGGTCACTCACTGCCCTCCTGGTGCGTGGCGGGGTTCTTGTACAAGTGCTCGATGCGGCCCGTGTTGAAGGAGCTGGAGCGCCGCACGATGCCGTGCACCTCGTAGCCCTTCTCCAGCAGGAACTCGGCCAGGTAGGAGCCATCCTGCGGGCACGGACACACGGGGGGGGGGGGGGGGATCAGAATAGTGAATAAAATGTCAACGATGACGATGCTAATAAACCTGCTGCTGTTGATTCTCACGACACTGCTACTACTGCTCCTGCCGTTTCTAAGGATGATAAAGCTGCATGCTGATGATGCCGATAATGATGATGCCACTGATGATGGTGCCACTGATGATGGTGCCACCGATGATGATGGTGCCACTGATGATGATGGTGGTGCCACTGATGATGATGATGGTGCCACTGATGATGGTGCCACTGATGATGATGATGGTGCCACTGATGATGGTGCCACCGATGATGATGGTGCCACCGATGATGATGGTGCCACCGATGATGATGGTGCCAATGATGATGATGGTGCCAATGATGATGATGGTGCCACTGATGATGATGGTGCCACTGATGATGATGGTGGTGCCACTGATGATGATGGTGGTGCCACTGATGGTGGTGCCACTGATGGTGGTGCCACTGATGGTGGTGCCACTGATGATAGTGCCAATGATGATAGTGCCAATGATGATGGTGCCAATGATGGTGGTGCCACTGATGATGATGGTGGTGCCACTGATGATGATGGTGGTGCCACTGATGATGATGGTGGTGCCACTGATGATGGTGCCACTGATGATGATGGTGGTGACACTGATGATGATGGCGGTGCCACTGATGATGATGGCGGTGCCACTGATGATGATGGCGGTGCCACTGATGATGATGCCACTGATGATGATGGTGCCACTGATGATGATGGTGCCACTGATGATGATGGTGCCACCAATGATGATGATGGTGCCACTGATGATGACGGTGCCACCGATGATGATGATGACGGTGCCACCGATGATGATGATGATGGTGCCACCGATGATGATGGTGCCACTGATGATGATGATGATGGTGCCACTGATGATGATGATGATGGTGCCACTGATGATGGTGCCACTGATGATGGTGCCACTGATGATGATGGTACTGATGATGATGGTGCCACTGATGATGATGGTGCCACTGATGATGATGGTGCCACTGATGATGATGGTGCGACTGATGATGATGGTGCGACTGATGATGGTGCCACTGATGATGATGGTGCCACTGATGATGATGGTGCCACTGATGATGATGGTGCCACTGATGATGATGGTGCCACTGATGATGGTGCCGATGATGACGGTGGTGCTGATGTCGCCACTGATGACGATGCCGCTGTCCCTGGCTCCGTTAGCCCACGCACCTGCCCGGTGATGCCGGTGATGAGCGCCACCTTCCGCTCTCCGTTTCGCTCCGCATCGGGGGACGCGTCAACCACGGCCTGTGCGCCTTTCTCCAGGTCCACGAAACCCCCCCTCGTGCCTCCGACCCCCTCTCCTGATCCCCCCCCTACGCCCCCCTCTGCTCCCCTCTCCTCGCCCCCCTCTGCTCCCGTCTCCTCAGCCCCCGTCTCCTCGGCCCCCCTCTCCTCTGCCGTGCTCCCCTCGGCCCCCCTCTCGTCTGGCCCCGGCCCCTCAGGCCTGGGGCTGCTGCTGCTGCTGCTCGCCATGCGACCGTGATGCGCCGTGGTCCCCGCTCACGTGACCGCCGCAGCTGATCGCGGCTCACGTGACCTCTTCCGGCGAGTGTCAAGCGAGGCCTCAACCAATGGCGCCTTCGCACGGGTGGAGAGAGGGCGTGTTAAACGGAGTTTCGGCCAATCGGGGGCGAGCACGCGCCGGGCATGGGCGGGGCCCGAGCCGCCAGGCTCCCCCCCACCCCCACGTGGCGCTACCGGCCATCCTCAGCGGGGGCGTCTAATGGTGCCAGACCGAAGCAGGTGACCCTCAGCGCTGTGCAGGCAACAGCGCAGAGAGAGACGGTGGCAGAGCTGAATATTGAAAGCCAGACCGTGATGTGTAACACGCCTGGCCCAGATGCGACGCTCCGTTATATCCCGAGGGAGCGCACGCGCGTTACCTGTTTTACCTGTCTCAGTTTACATGTAATTTAACGTTTTTTGGTTGTAAATCTGTAGTTGTGGAATGCTTTGCTTGGGGAAATATTATTCTGGTTCACCTGGCGGGTACCGCATTAAACTTGCTGATTACCTGGCAGGTACCGCATTAAACTTGCTGATTACCTGGCAGGTAACGCACTTAACTACACGCTCGTGAGCTAATCGCGAGAGTTCTGCTGGATTCTTGGGCTCCACTTGTTGAGTCATCTGACCTCCCTCCACGCCTGAGGCCAACCGCGTGGGACACAACCCACTACTGTCGGTGACCCACAACCCCACTACTGTCGGTGACCCACAACCCTACTGTCGGTGACTCACAACCCCACTACTATCGGTGACCCACAACCCCACTAACTGTCGGTAACCCACAACCCCACTACTATCGGTAACGCACAACCCCACTGTCGGTGACCCACAACCCCACTAACTGTCGGTGACCCACAACCCCACTACTATCGGTGACCCACAACCCCACTAACAGTCGGTAACCCACAACCCCACTAACTGTCGGTAACCCACAACCCCACTACTGTCGGTGACCCACAACCTCACTAACTGTCGGTGACCCACAACCCCACTGTCGGTGACCCACAACCTCACTGTCGGTGACCCACAACCCCACTGTCGGTAACGCACAACCCCACTGTCGGTGACCCACAACCCCACTGACTGTCGGTGACCCACAACCCCACTGTCGGTGACTCATAACCCCACTGTCGGTGACCCACAACCCCACTACTGTCGGTGACCCACAACCCCACTGTCGGTGACCCACAACCCCACTGTCGGTGACCCACAACCTCACTGTCGGTAACCCACAACCCCACTGTCGGTGACCCACAACCCCACTGTCGGTGACCCACAACCCCACGACTTTCGGTAACCCACAACCCCACTAACCGTCGGTGACCCACAACCCCACTGTCGGTGACCCATAACCCCACTGTTGGTGGCCCACAACCCAACTGTCGGTGACCCACAACCCCACTGTCGGTAACCCACAACCCCACTAACTGTCGGTGACCCACAACCTCACTGTCGGTGACTCACAACCCCACTACTGTCGGTGACCCACAACCCCACTGTCGGTAACCCACAACCCCACTAACTGTCGGTGACCCACAACCTCACTGTCGGTGACTCACAACCCCACTACTGTCGGTGACCCACAACCCCACGACTGTCGGTAACCCACAACCCCACTGTCGTTGACCCACAACCCCACTGTCGGTGACCCACAACCCCACGACTTTCGGTAACCCACAACCCCACTGTCGGTGACCCACAACCCCACTCAGTGACCCACAACCCCACTGTCGGTGACCCACAACCCCACTGTCGGTGACCCACAACCCCACTCTCAGTGACCCACAACCCCACTAACTCTCAGTGACCCACAACCCCACTAACTCTCAGTGACCCACAACCCCACTGTCGGTGACCCACAACCTCACTGTCGGTGACCCACAACCCCACGACTCTCGGTAACCCAAAACCCCACTGTCGGTGACCCACAACCCCACTGTCTGTGACCCACAACCCCACTGTCGTTGACCCACAACCCCACTGTCGGTGACCCACAACCCCACTACTGTCGGTGACCCACAACCCCACTACTGTCGGTGACCCACAACCCCACTACTGTCGGTGGCCCACAACCCAACTGTCGGTGGCCCACAACCCAACTGTCGGTGGCCGTGGTTGTGGTCAGAGAACGGGCGCGTCACCACCGCACGTTGTCCACGATTGCGTCCCAACTTGCCTCCGTGGTGGTCTCGGGGATCCCTCTCGCCACGCAGCTGTCATCCCCCGGCTCGGATAAGTGCGACTCATGTGAACTCGGTGCAGTGTGGACCTCATGCGGCTGTGTTGCTGCTGCTGTTCAGTGCGCACTGTTTTCACTCGGCGATGCCCATTCACCCCACCCACCCACATCGATGACCCAGGACGATCGCATCGATTGTGATATCTTTATTTCGGATAAAGGTTCTAAAAAGGTAATCTTTTAGAGAGAATAAAAATAGATTTACACTATTATCCCAGCAATGGGCGCCGCGAGGTAACCTGTCCATTGTCGTTTCAAAGTGTTACAAACGAGAAGTGAGACGTTCATTTCCACAACGATCCACTCCTGCAGCACGACGCTCCACTTTATAAAATTCACAGCTTTTCCCTAAATAGCGGAGAGGGGGGGGGGGACAAGGGGAGGCGGAGGCTTTTTATATCGAAGAAAACAAATCATGAGATACTTTATAAAATTATATGTATATTATATTTGTACAAGACAATTGTTATAGAACCACTCATCAAAGTTTGAGCCTTCGTTGTTTTCCCCATCTCATCAACATCATCACACAGCGCAGATTCCGGCACGGGCCTTCATAAGCATCGCGAATGATGCTGCTGCGGTGACCGCATTTACTCCCGAGGACGATTCACTGGCGTCACATCACTCCAGGACAATCAAGACAGATGCATGAGCGGAGTCTTCAAAGAGCGTCAATATTCAGTAGCAAAGGGGAGGGAAGAAAGTTCCAATGAGTAGCTGACGCCAGACACGAAAAGCGGGCAAACTGAAAACCAGCCGGGCCGTAGCAGCCGTGACCGAGCTTATGGGTCGCGGCAAGGTCAAAACTGCTAAAACAAACGATGCCAACAGGCCAAATTACGAGCCATTTATTGTTTACATACGAATACGGAACGGAGGTCATCCTCAGTGTTGGTGATTACCGTCCTCTGTATAACGTCGCTCACATGCACATGTGCACGTGCAAGCACCTGTAAAAAACAACTGATGGATGAGGTTATCTCCCATGCCATGCGGGTCGTGGAGGGGCTATTTAACTATAATTCACCAAACTGGTTACTGCGGGTTGGGGAAAATAATCAAACTTAGCGGGACCAATTTTCTCAATAAGAATGAATTGTGTTATTTCACTCAAATTATAATCTCGATCTATGGGGAATGAATAAAAACGAAGTTTCTTTTACCACGTGGTACCAACAAGCAACATTTTGTCCCGGCTCCGTGGGCTTTAGTGCTTGAGAATTAAGCATTGTGGACGAACTTTAGGCACAACACTACAGTAGCCTTTGTCACTGGAAAATCCAGCTCACCCGGTGGAATCGCCGCAGCATTTGTGAAAGCGGGCAAAAATGCGTTCCTTTGACAAGAGGCCTCCACACCCAGCGCCTCTCGCACGGCAACGCGCGGGTGACGCGCTCAGAGCCCTCCCCGTTCGCCACCACGAGCGACAATCAAAACACTGGAAAGTGGCCCAAACGGAGTTGCTGGATGCCAGGTAACAAGGTAGCTTTTAACGCCGAGGGCGAGTGCTCGCGGTAGTTTGGCTAATTGGTGATGACTTGGGGTTAGGGGCCACCACCTGGTTGGTTGGTATGCTCCACATCCCAAAACCGCTTGCTCCTCCCTCCCACCCTCTGCAATTAAGGCCCATTCACTTGTTGACCGCTTTTTGTATCGGGCGTTCAGAGCGATGTCACGCAAGGGGCACGGCACATCCCGGCCACAACTTCCGACCACCGAAGGGGGCGCGAGCAAGGAGCGAGTGGAGCCACCGGTCCCTGCCGCTGACGCTCAGCAGGTCAGGCGAGGTCACGTCCACCGAGTGGAGTGGTTCTTAACATTAACTGCAGCCTTGCACCCTCCCCCCCCCCCCTTTGGTTCTCAATCGTTAAAATATTTACGTTAATAAATACATAGAGGGTTTGATGAAACAAAGTAATTGTACTTAGGTGCCTGTGCTTAATTTGTTTTCATGATTTAGCTTCTAAAAAAGATCTGGCATGTCTCACACCCTCAAAAAGGGCATCTCGCACCCCAGGTTAAGAACCACTGACCTCGTGGGAAGTTCAACCTTGCCTACACAAAAAAACCATCCCAGACTCCCATTCTGAAAAACATTTTCTCTGGGGCTGGGTTCTTATCTGGTGGCCAGCGGATGACGTGTGGCTTGCCAAGGTTCTCGGAGTGGCCCGTCAAGCTACGACCCGCTGAGAAAGAGCAACAGATTAGTGAGATGTAAGAGAGAGAGACGAGCAGGCGGTAGACGGGAGCTAAACACGTTCGTGGGACTCCTGTCCACAGCGCCACGATGCAAGGTGAAGTTTATCTGTACACGTGACACTCGTGAAGTTAAAGGGATATTGTGACATATGACATCGGCCCATGAGTACCTGCTCGTTTAAATATGGGATAGTTTGTAGAACCCGGCCCTACGTCACTAGTTGCCGGCTGAGCATCGGCTGTTGCTCAGAGGCGATATGTGCAACAGAGTCGAGCCACAGTGCGACATGTACGTTGAACCTCTTCAGCACCGTACGTAGCCAACCGTGCTAATCGGAACCATGACAGCGGCTGCCACACAACTCCGACCCAAACCCAGCCGTGCTGCCAGCAGCAGCAATCAGCACTGTCCACGGTGCATGGCAATCCAATGACTCAGCAATCATTACCCCACACTAAGGCGAGTCGGCTTACCCTGAGGACGCCCAACCCTGTTGTCAGTAATCGATTCAAACCGGGGATTAATTTCGTGGCTAGGTCCGTCTGGAACTGCGAGCTGGAAAATATTTCCGCGCCCGGCACACCGCATCCAGTATAGCTCTTGCCATAGCCGTGGCTACTACTAGTTGTGCGCTCAATCCAATTTAAGCCCGGATTCAAATGGACTCGAGGACCGATTCCTTCAGGGTGAATCTTGGTATTTAGAGCTGGAGAGGCACGCTGTGCAGGGAGGGTAGCAGCAGTGTGCGGACTTCGACCTGTGCTTCAATATTGCAGTGGCGTTAAAGTAGGCGTACATGAAGCCATCAGCTAACATTTTAAAGAATAACATCTATACGCAAGCGAAACGCACGGCCGTTCTCAATCAACGAAACAGCCGAAAAGTTAGGAAAATATTAAATGGTTACCTATTAAAATAAACCTCGCTACAGTAATAGACCATCATCGTTACACTTTGTACATATTCCAATGCAGCAGCAGCACCGACAGTACTGCTCACAGCATGATGGGTCAAACGTCAGCCTGGGGTCAGACCAAGGTCATGTCAAAAAACTTGCATTGCAGTGCGCTCACCGCGAATGGTTTGTCTCTATGATGCAGCATCGCCCTGACCTCCCGAAGCCGGCTAGAGAAGTGAGATTGTAGCTGCACGTGAATTTTTAGGGTGTCGCTAAAGCAGAGAGTACACCATGTGACGTCACCGATTAAGCACATGATTGGACGACAACGAAACCCAGCAAAATATTCCCGATCCTTGGGGCACGCGTCGGTAAAGTCTCTCCATTAAGAATACAAATTCGCCTGGAGTTTATGTAGAGGTCAGGGGCAGCGGGAGGAGCAAAGGTCACGGCGCAAGCAAAGGTCAATATGGGAGCGTTTGGGGGGGCCCCGTCACGTTCTGCCGATAGAAACGAGACCACCGCACTCGTCCCCCACGATCGATGTGCAAATCACAATTAAAATCAAGTTATTACAGAATGTGTGCAAGAGATGTCCCACCCCACTTAAAATAAGCTCATCTCTAAAATGCAAAGGGTACACAACTTGCGCGACTTATATCTCTATATATTGATAAATGACTATGTGTTACGTATATATACATGTACAGTCTCACCGTCGAACATGTAAATCATTTCCGAGGACCATCATGGAGGCACGTCCAAAAGCGGATGTCCGTGAGCTGTGTGAAAGAGCGAGTTGATAGGGCGAGCTGATAAACGCGCCCCTAGAGCGTTCATTTACAAACAGATCCATTACGAAAAATTGACGTCCCACTCACCTTGCCCCCTTTGCGTGATGGGGACAGGGCGGAACCAGAGCATGACAGTGCGCACGCACACACGCAGCACGCACGTCACCGACACGCATGTTAAACTTCATGTATGAAATTTTAAATCTCTGTGTGCAATTTAAGTGAAACACTGAAAGAATCAACGTAGAAAAGAGAGAAGAGACTTTCCTACTTTCGACTAATACAATACGATAAAAATATACACGTTTCTCGAGGGTTTAAAATCAAATGCTAGGAATTCACTCGCGCAGGCGGTCCCCACCTTCTCGAGCGTCTGGACCTGAGTTCGGCCATTCGGCAAAAGAAAAAAACCCTCTGCGCAGTGACGACGGACAGGGAGGGTAAAGCGCAGGCGCCGGAGGAGTGACGCAGTCACTCCGCACCGCCCCCAGGAGAGGTGGAGCCATAAAACTTGTAAAATAAACACGCGGGAGGCAGTCGCCGTGCGGGCGGTCTCCACGGACGCCCCCACAGGAGCAGAGCCGCAGGTCCACGCGTGGCCCGCGACCACGGCGCAAAGCCACCTCGGAATAAACTCCCAATGCCGGAGAGCCGAGCGCCGGCGGCGAGCGGAGACAAACAGCGGGGGGGGGGGGGTGCCGGAGCTCGGGTGCCGCACGGAAGAAGGGGCGGCAGAGAGCGGCGGAGGGCAGCGGGTCAGGCGAACGGCGGTCGGTCAGTCCGGCGGTCACTCCTGTCCGAAGCCCTCGGTCTCCTCGATGGCGTACAGCAGCTTCTCCTTGAGCTGCTCGTAGCTCTTGTAGGGCGGCAGGTCGAGCCGGTTGAAGCTGAGGGGGACACGGGCGCACGGCGGTCACGCGCGGGATAAGGGACCTCCGCTGGCGCAAAGGTGAACACGGGTGGCGGCTGCTGTGTGGGAACTCACCAGGTGTGACTCCGGGGCAGCCACGTCTCTTTGCCCACCTTCTCGATGCAGAACTTCTGAGGTCCGTTGCTCCCTGGCGTGGCAACATGCAGGGAATAGTCGGTACGATCCGGGTTCAGGCAAGGGAGGGGGGGTTTCGTGTTGTCACACCACTTTGGAGGTAAGGGTTACTGGAACACGAAAATATTTCCAAAAACCCCAAACTGTTTGACAGCGAGTATGGCCTTGAACAGGATCCTATTGTTTAATTGGAGTGTTCTTACCAATAACATCTGGTAACCCAGCAGCATTTGTTGAACAAAAGTGATTGCTGATGAGAACCACAAGGTTTGAACAGGTCCAAGATTTTATTCGCTTCAATAAATGCTGCTGGACTAAAATGTTTTTTTTTTCTATTTAGAGACAGAAAGGAATTCTGCTTATCCATGCATTCATGCTCTGCCACTCAGCGGTTCATTCAGCAACATCTGCAGCCGTCGCGAGGATCTCAAGAGTTGCTACTCGCCAAGCCGGACTACAAGGAGGTAACAGCAGCCATGCTACTGGTGGGGCGGTGAGAACGCGGTGCGCCGCCACAGCTGACGGTGCGAGGGGGGGCTCACCGATCAGCTCGGCGAAGCCACCGACCGGCAGGCGGCACGTCCCCGTCACAAACTGCAGCAGCCGCAGCCGCTTCTCGTTGTCCATCTCCTTCACCACCTGCATGGTGGCAGAGTCGGCGTGTGCCCACCACGCACACAATGACGCACGCGTGTAAACCGGCTCACGATTCAAGCAGCACGCGTGCACACACATCACACTTGCCATGCAAACCGCAACACTCGATAAAAAAAAACCCCACTACGAAATCCAACGCCCTGCCCCTTTCAACGCTACAGCACGAGGCCGCACGTTGATATCAACCGCGGAGGCTGTGAAGCACGTGGTGGAGAGCGGGACTCGCCTGCCAGAACCACGAGATCTGCTTGCTGCTACGGTTGTAGTGCCTGTAGATGGTGCTGCGCTGCCAGTCGGCGAGGTCGATCTCCTGCATTCCGCACAGCATCACCTGCGCAGGAACACATGCAGGGGCGCGTAAATAACACGAGTATAGTCAAACACGCACACATGCACGGGTGAGAAATTACTATCCTGGTGAAACACATAACACACGAGCCCACGTGCACAAACACGCGTGTGTGTGTATAAGATTATTACTGAAATAAAAGTATACGTAAATTTCCGTTTAGGCCAACAGAACAAGGCGGAACAGGACAAAAGTTACGAAGGAGACGAACAACACACATCCTGTGTGCTGCCAACAGGGGATGTTCATGTTTTAGCATTTTTTTAAACACAAAATAAAATAGATTTCTGGTTTTCCGTACATATCGGAAATTTCTTTTATAAAAATAAAAGTCCAGCCTCACGTGTGGCTGCCGCTGGACCAATCACAAGCGCACACGCCGTTCGATTAAAACTCTCGTGCACCAATCGGTTCAACGAAAATTCAACTCGATTTTGATAATCGATTCCAAGACCGTAGGAATCGCTAATCGATTAAAGCCCTGGCGGCGGTGATGACACCGGGAACTTGGCCTCAGTGTAAACGCGCGGGGGGTGGCGGGGGGGGGGGGGCGGGGGGGGGGCGGGGGGGCGTCACCTCGAGCTCCCGCTCGTCGAAGTAGAGCAGCCACTGCAGCGGCACCACCTCGCTGAATCCGTCCAGAAAGGCTTTGGTCTGCTCCTCCACACCGCGCGAGAACCGCCACTCTGTCATGAGCCTGAGGCGCACGCACGCGCATACGGAGCGTTACACGCAGTAAGGCTCAACACGCAAAAGGTCATTCTATAAAATAAATATTCATTGCTAGGGCTGCTGTGATGTAATTGTTCACGATACGATGTGAGCTTTCACGTGGCAATGTGTAGATTATCATAAGTTTATAACACGTATAAAAAATTATTGTACTGCACTTTTCTGTACCTCCAGCGTGAATAAAGATGAATGATAAGTTTTTCAAGAGAAGTTCACTAAACATAACCCAACCATAAGTTTTCCAATTGTTACAACTTTACAATCTGCAATGCTGATACCGCACATGATCAGTTACACAATAAATAATTAAATTAAGGTTGGAAATGAAGATGCACTTCCATGGCCCTCAACTACTCCTTTAACTTTTGATTTAAAGCTTTCGTGACTGCAGTAATTCATATTCTTAGTTTTTTCGGTAAAGTCACGTTGAAGAGAAACAACAAAATAACAAAATATATATAAAACAATAAAAAATTCTCACGACGTTTCGACCATAACTCAAACGGTCATCATCAGGTGTGTTGGTTTGCATATCCGACCAGGAACACATAGGCAGTGAACTCAAGCACGTACACCAAGCTCTTAAGGCTAATGGTTACTCCGACTATACAATCCGCAAAGCTATCACTCAAACCATGAAGAAGAACCCTCTTGAGGAGCCTTTCAAAACCATCACTTTACCCTACATTGCTGGGATCACAAAAAAGATCTCCAAAATCTTGAATAAACACAAGATCCAGGTCCGTTTCAACACATTATATAAAATCCGTGATCTGGTTCCGTCTGTAAAAGATGTGATTCCGGACATACAATACCCTGGTGTCTACAAACTAAGTTGCCTCTGTGGTAGTAGTTACATTGGAGAAACCAAACGCCATGTCTCGGACCGCATTCGTGAACATAAAGCAGACCTTAAACACGGTAGGACCAACACCTCGGCCGTAGCAGATCATTGTTCTAATTCAGTAGGCTCACATGCCATTGACTTTTCCAAGACGGAGGTTCTTTGTAAGCCATCTGGCTTCCATGAGAGATTCGTTCATGAGGCTATCCACATATACAAGCACAGAGACAATTTCAACCGAGAAGATGGATTCTATCTTAGCAATCATTGGAAAGATTTGATAAACCATTTCAGTTCTTAATTGATTGTTCACGCTTACAGTGGCTTTCAGACAGCATACATTATAAAAAATTTCGTCTCCCCCCTCCTATTTTCAAAAAAAAAATAGATGGACTAGTCCTGGGCAAACTGCCAAATCGCTGCGCGTGACGCCAACGTTTTTTTATAAATAAATAAATGTGCCGTTTAAAAATAAATTTATGCAAACCAACACACCTGATGATGACCGTTTGAGTTATGGTCGAAACGTCGTGAGAATTTTTTATTGTTTTATATATATTTTGTTATTTTGTTGTTTCTCTTCAACGTGACTTTACCGAAAAAACTAAGAATATGTACTCCTTTAACGTTCTGCAGAAATCAAATTTAAGGGGTAAAAGCAATTTATTCACCAGAGTTAAACTAGTGCCAATATTCTCATCGACAGTAGCAGGACGACAAGATAATAGGCCTCATCCTTGTTAGGAATCATCAGTTAGCACAGTCCTTGTCACGGTCGCCTCACCCGATGTACTCCTCCTTGTTTTCCTCCGTGACGAGGATGTCGCTGCCGTCCGGCTTGAGGTCGTGCGAGCTGACCTTGCCTAGCAGCTCCATGTCCACGGAGAAGAACATCTCCAGGCCACACTCCTCGATGTTGTTGTCCCTGCACGGCGCGCAATCGAGCGGGCGGTTAGCGGAGACGGGCAAAATCGGCTGACGTCTCTTCAAGTTGTATCGCACGACCTCAACATTCAAGTGACCCTGATCTTGACGATGCCGGAGTGATCGCTGTTACAAAGCAACCTTCCGCTCCGAACGAGGCTATCGGTGTGGAAAATGCCCACCGCTAAGCGGCTTGGCACTCCACACACACACACACACAGGCATACTTTGAAGAATATTTGTTGAGTAATATTTAAACTTTAAAAAAAATTCTGTTCAGCCTCATCGTGTGTCACGGACACCTCGTGAAGGTATGCGAGCCGTTGTGCACTGGCGCAGCGCGTCTTTGACAAGGCCATCATGAGCCCCCGACTCAACCCGCGGTCGATACCACAGCAGTAGCAAGTGGAGACAAGGAACGGGAGGAGGGCATCACCTGAGCCAGATGAGGGAGTTGTAGAACTCGGGATCGATCGACTCCAGGTCCTTGATGGTGAGCTTCTTGTTAAGCATACGTTTGTAAAAGGGCAGCGAGAAGCCCGTGTCGATAAACTTGCCGTGGTACAGGGCCTGCAGGGGGGCAGCAAGGGGCAGCACGGATCGACGTGAGCAGTGAGAATTTTATTGTTTTATATTTTTTTCATTTTGTTTCCCTTCTACGTGACTTTACCGAAAGAACCAATAATATACAGCGATTGCAGTTGAAATAAGAATAGTCTTTACACTTTCTGGCAATAAAACTAGTGCTAAGAGGTTCAAACACTAAATATATGCCTATTGCACGGCATCAAGTCCACAGTAACCACTGGCAAAAATGTCCCATAGGTACGAATAAGAAAGCTGTGGGGGTGGCAGTAACCACGAGCGTGCGGGCCACCGTGCAGGTCATTGTTAGTCACCATGGCGATGAAGCGGCCGATGAAGCGGAAGTAGGCGAGGTGGTCGGGGTTGATGCTTGAGGCTGGGTTGATCTGCAGGCAGTAGTTGTTCTTGCCCGCGTACTCAAACAGGCAGTACATGGGGTTGAGAACCTCGTGCGACAGCAGGAAGAACCACTCCCTGCTCACCGACATCAGCGCAGAGGGGGGCGGGGGACAGGCGGGGAGCGACGCCGTGAGGGTGGAAGACGCCGGTGGGGTGGGGACTAATGGTACGAGGAGCTGGATACGGACCGCGACCTCCTTTCCAAGGGCCCGCCGCACGTGAGGCCGACCCACTTTGAATTGGTCCCAAAACCCCTTTAAAAATATATATAAACGATATTTTATAACCGGTGCTGTGCGCATCTTTGCTCGTAGCACTGGTAACATAGGGACCCATAACATCGCTGAGAGACCGATGACTGCCTCTCTCTTACATAATATGCAGCGCCTTGCAATTGAGACGCTGTACAACTCTACAACGTAGCGGTCTTGTTATTCATACTCAACACCTCATGGCTGCTCACCGACCTCAAACAACACCGATACACAACAGTGCACACTCATGTGTACCCGGCCTCGTACGTGCACACACACACACGCACCCACACAACGGGAACATACAACCATCACCCCGATCCCCCCACACCAGCGCTACGATAAGTACCTTGCGGGCCCCCCGTAGTCCAATCCCTCCTCTCCCCGAAAAATTACGTAGAGCCGCCTCCTGAGGTCGTAGGCCTTCATGTTCATTATCTGCGGGGGAAACGCTCCCATCCATGTTACAGGGCACTCACCGCGGGGGGATGGAGGGTGAGAGGCAGGGGGTGTGGGGGTGCAGGGGAGTGGGGAAGCTCACAAGGCAACCAACACACCACATCCGGAGGACCTCTCACTCCCGCTGTGGCTAATACCACCTGCCCAATTGCGTACCACTATACCACTCTTATAAGATATGAAGCTTTGAGTGTAGCAAGCGTTGGCGATGGGCAACCAGGTAGTGGAGGAGAGGTATGAGCTCACCTGGTTGTAGGAGTCTTCGAACAGCGTTTGCCGAGTGACACTGATCTTCACGTGGCTGGGAAGCGCATTCGACTGCGGGCAGGAGAGAGAACGCGGACTCTGTTGCGTTACACCACGGAGAGGAGCTCCCAACTCAACCTGCTCCTTCCTCAAACCCTGATCTACTCTCATCTGGACTTGCACGCACACAAACAACCCATTTTGTCAATCCACTGCTGGAGGAAATCCTCCCAACAATGGGGGTTATTTGACCATACTTCACCTCGCCAGTGTGCGTCGGTGAAGGCATGGAGCAAAGCAATTGCTTTTGCTGCACTGCCCTCTTACTGCCCACCATGTAGCCCCCCACAACCTCGTTAACAACCTGCTGTGCATCGTGGTCACCCATCCGAATGCTATCCAGGCTCTAAACTGCTGAGCTTCCGAGATGTGACAAGGTCGCAGGATTGCGAGTGATTTGATCGTTGGCTAATTTGCTAACCATCTCAACTGTACGATTTGGTGATTCCCGAGTGTACGGCTTGTCGTATCAAACACGTCAACAACTTCATTCCGCCGGTCGCGTGAGCACGGAGGGCTGGGGCGAAGGCCTACCTGGCAGAGGTAGCGGAACTGTCCGAGCTTCCACCTGAAGCTCCTCTCGTAAGCGATGGGATCACCCTTCCCGCTGGGAGACACGCACGCACGCAGGGGACACACAGGGGCCGTAAGCTGAAGAGACAAAACGATTACCTCGCTCCTGCTCCATTTCGACCAGCAACGTGTAACACGTGTCGGGTGGAATTCCAAATTGTGGGTGGGACTGTAAGAGATGGGAAGGAATGTGGACACCAAAGTGGCAATGTTGCAGACAGGTATGGGATCAGGGGGAGCGTGTGGGATGGGATCAGGGGGGAGCGTGTGGGATGGGATCAGGGGGAGCGTGTGGGATGGGATCAGGGGGAGCGTGTGGGATGGGATCAGGGGGGAGCGTGTGGGGAGCCGCTGTGTGTGTGTTTGGGGGTCGCCGTTTTTACCCGGCGGCTTTGGCGCCGGGCCGGGGGTCCTGGAAGGTGGTGGTGCGCATGGTGTGGTCCACAAAGTAGCGCACTCCCTCGTTGGTGAAGCGCGTCTCCCACCCATCGGGCAGCGGCTCCTCGCTCAGAACGCAGCTGTGGGACGGCGGGATGGCACGCGGGCACGGCGGGACAGCGCGTGGACGGGAAAGGCAGACAAAGCAGGGAAGGACAGCAGACGGACACACAGAGTGACAGATTCACAGAGAGCGGTTCAAATGTTACTGGAGTGAAACACGGAGCTGCCCGTTTATGCGTTGTGTTAAGGTGTGCGAGTGTTGTGGTGTTACGGTTGTGCTGTTAAGGCGTGAGAAGTTGTGTTGTGAAGGCGTGCGAGTGTTGCGTGAAGGCGTGCGAGTGTTGCGTGAAGGCGTGCGAGTGTTGCGTTAAGGCATGCGTGTGAGTGTAGGTGTGCGCGCGGTGCATGCGTGCGTGTGAGTGTAGGTGTGCGCGCGGTGCATGCGTGCGTGTGAGTGTAGGTGTGCGCGCGGTGCATGCGTGCGTGCGTGTGAGTGTAGGTGTGCGCGCGGTGCATGCGTGTGAGTGTAGGTGTGCGCGCGGTGCATGCGTGCGTGTGAGTGTAGGTGTGCGCGTGGTGCGTGCGTGTGAGTGTAGGTGTGCGTGCGGTGCATGTGTGCGTGTAGGTGTGCGCGCGGTGCATGCGTGTGAGTGTAGGTGTGCGCGCGGTGCGTGCGTGTGAGTGTAGGTGTGCGCGCGGTGCATGCGTGTGAGTGTAGGTGTGCGCGCGGTGCATGCGTGCGTGTGAGTGTAGGTGTGCGCGTGGTGCGTGCGTGTGAGTGTAGGTGTGCGTGCGGTGCATGTGTGCGTGTAGGTGTGCGCGCGGTGCATGCGTGTGAGTGTAGGTGTGCGCGCGGTGCGTGCATGTGAGTGTAGGTGTGCGCGCGGTGCGTGCGTGTGTGTAGGTGTGCGCGCGGTGCATGCGTGCGTGTGCGTGTAGGTGTGCGTGCGGTGCGTGCGTGTGAGTGTAGGTGTGCGTGCGGTGCGTGCGTGCGAGTGTAGGTGTGCGTGCGGTGCGTGCGTGTGAGTGTAGGTATGCGTGCGTGTGCGTGCGCGTGCGTACGTCGGGGCCTGGGCGGCGTACCCCTGCGTTCGCGGGTCCTCCCACTGGGTCGTCCGTGTGTTGTGGTTCACGAAGTACATGCGCCCGCCTTGCTCTATCCGCTTCTCTACGCGAGCACACGCACGTGCGCTCAGAAGGGCATTTCACAGATCGTGTCGCTATACCGCTATAACCTACGATTGCGAGGGGGCACGGGGGCAGGCCGAACAACTGCGTCCACGCTCCCAGCGCACGACGCGCCTGCTGAGGCCGTGCTGCAACGTTTTACGCGAGTGGGAGACTGAACAGATGAGTTTGGGATTTTCTTCACATTGGCGATGATGAGTGGGGGAGTGATATCTTAGCCGGTCCTGGCCCAGGAGCACCCCCCTCACTAACCCACACTGAGCAGTGTGGTGAGAAACGGTCAAACAACCACCATGACCAACACAGTGTGGGAACGTGTTCGTCAAGCAGCGGATTGACAGACTGTTGACTTTCACTGCGAGTGGACGTCAAGACGTCATCACGGCCAAAGCTGTTGATGCCACCGCGTTCCGCTAGCAACGCTTTCTACCGGTGCAGAGGGGGTCATTATATTATTATAAACACGATAAATAATATTCTTGGTTCTTTCGGTAAAGTCACGTAGAAGGGAAACAATAAAAGAATACAAAAGAATGCCACAACTTGCAATCAATAACAGTTACACAACATCTGAACGAGAACAAACTCACCGGAACTTTGTCCTCCAATCGTTATAAGAATTGCAATGTTTACTCTGCATTATTGTTTTACTTTCCCCCATTCATTAACACACACGCGCTGTACAATCAATGTTGTTATCTTCAGGAAGATTTAGCCAATTTTTACGGTCCGACGTTATCCTTGCGGGTGCACATTTACCCCATCCAGAGGGCAGGGCACCCAGGGGGTCGTTTTCTGTCGGCAAACCTCCGGTCTGAAACGAGGAAACAATGCCAGGTCATTCGCACCCACGCCCGGCAACACCCCCCCCCCCCCAACTCACGTTGAGCGTCCCGGCGACAACAAAACAATCGCTACGGCGGCAGTCGAGGGCGCGACGGCCCAGCTACTGCGCGCGCTGCAGCCGGTTCCGACACTCGCACGCACGCACGGTCACCGGCTACGCGCGGCACAGGCCATGCCGACCGAGAGAGACGGCGCCGCATATCCCTGGTGGGTTCCGACGAGCACGCTCCTCAAGGCGCCGTGAGTTTACCGGCGAATGTGTTGGGCTGTACGCAGGCTCGTGTACGGAGACAAATGAGTGTTGCGGACGAAACGGCTCACGTGCTGATCTGATCGCACGTTCATTTTACGTACGAAAACGCGAAAAGGCGACAGGTGGATCTCAGAGAATAGCTCTGTGATATCCACTTCTGTGGGAAGGTCTCTAACGCAAAAGACTGCACTGCTCTGTGAGAGACCCGAATGGATACTTAGTCTCGTGATATATACCAGACCCCAGAATTGGGATAAAATTGTGGAAAAAATACATTTTTCTTTAAACGATAAAATAACATATGTAAAAATGATATGCAAGTCCAAATGATATCCTACACATTATATAAACAACATGCTGGGCAGGAAGGCAGGCGAGTGAGAGAGAACCAAGATAGCGAGGAAGAGAATGAGGAGACCGTGAGTGAAGGTGCGAGTGAGATAGCAAGGTAGCGAGTGAAATAACGAGCAAGGGAATCCCCATCAGTGAGTGGGCGAGTTAGTGGGAGAACGAGCGGCTGGCACCTGGAAGAGGAAGCGCTGGTTGAAGAGCTGCATGGCTCCCTGCAGCTGGTTGCGCTGCGACTGCCACTGCTCGAAGTTGCGCACCGACTCGGTGGTGGGCCGCTGCCACGTGGTGGTGCGCGTGTTGTGGTCCACGTAGTACACGCGCCCGCGCACGTCCACACGCCGCTCCCAGCTGTGGCGGGGGGCAACAACGCACACACAGCCACGTCTACACTGGGAGCTTTAGAGTCAGCCATGGCGGGGTGCATCACCAACACACACACACCCAACACACGCCCAAGTACAAACATGCCCCACCAATACGCACACTCGCATGGCAATTAACACAAAGATCCCCTGTATGACCTTAAAGACTACTGTGCTGTTAGCGAACACATAATAAGGTCGGAACGGCGCACGAGGAGCTGGTGTGGCTAGCACCACACCCGGCCAACTTTGCCTCCCCAATACCTGGTACAATGTGTTTATACATTGCACTAGGTACTCATGTAAGGCTGAGTTTATGGAAGAGAGTCCCAGAACCAGTTCAGAAATTCACCACTCATGTTAACCTGAACATTACTCATCGCTGGGTCTCAGCGCAGTGCGAAAACTGCTACACTCTTGCTGCCCAACACACACGCACCCAACATACACACCCCAACACACACCCCTTAACACAAACCTCACCACGCATCCCAACACACAAATACACACATGAGCGCATCAATAAAGGTGCCGGGCGTAGCGGGTAACGGGCCCTACCCGGGCGGTAGCGGCTGCGGCCGCTCCCACGTCGTCGTCTTGGTGTTGTGATCCACAAAGTAAAGTCGGCCATGGGGGTCGGCTCGCTGCTCCCACCTTGCAGCACACGGTGGTCGGAGGGTGGGGGGGGCACCGCCGGTCAACGCAGTCGCCCCACACCGCGTAACATCACCACCCCAAAGGGTGGCACAGTAGGATTTCCACAATGTAAATTTTTCATTAAATTACGACGAATATTGTGATATAATTTTCCCAATAATCTGTAATTGTAATTCACAATGTTACTGCATTGCAGTTCGCTCAAAATAAGCCTGCATAAGTTGGAAAATCTTGAGAACGTTACAATAATTAATGCTTATAATGCAATGCTGTCAGTTACACGAAAGAGACAAATAATTTGATGAACTACTACTCCATTGCTTCACAAGCAACGAAAATAGGAAGGAATAATATTTTGTCAAAAACGGACAATACAATTATCGTGGACCCTGATGCTTAGGGCGCATCGTAGTTTAGCGCAGTGGGACGCCTTACCCCGGCGGAAGCGGCGTTTGGTCCTGGCTCTGCAAGTCGGGCAGCGTGGAAGACGCGGGGGTGGGGGCTGAAGGAGGCGCGGGCAAAGGGACAGTGCCAGCAGCGGCTGTGGCGCATGCGACCGCAGCCGTTCCTACTGTTGCCGACAGACAAGAGGAAGAGATTGCATATCATAAAAACACGTGGTCATTTCCCCACAATTTCATCCCGGTTGTGAGACAACAAATCGATTTGGATCTCTCGGAGCAGTGCAAACATTCCCATGAAGTGAATATCACCGAACTACCACTGAGATCCCTTCAAGTAGCCTGGTCCATCAGTAGAGGGCAGCACCTTTCCACCTCCTCTGCCGTACGAGCGTAATGCTCATCGCGTGACGTTCGACCCGATATTTTAAATTCGCAAACCTGAAATTTATCCAAATTCGGTGCAGAACCAAATGTAGTGTGAATGTTGATTTTGTGCAGTTCTTGGTGTCCGGGGTGACACCATCAACTCGCTTGCATTTGAGAACCTGGTTTAATAACAGGAGGCTGAAACCAGGATTCGTACCCAATATCTCAGTGGTGCCAACTCATCCCTCTGACCACTAAATCACCCAGTGGGTGTTTAACAGACTATATCAACAGTGGACTATATCAAGTATAGACTATAATAACAGCGGATAAGTCAACTTTAGTGTTCATACAGCTCCAGCTAAGCCAAACAGCCATCTTCGTGGAATACATAACGAAAGAGAAGCCGCCAGCGTGCGGTTGCAAGCAGGGTGCTGGCAGACGAATCGTCTGCCCGGCACACTTACCGGTGCCGTTGGCCTGCACGGTGGGGGGCGGCGCTGGCGGTGCCGGCGGCGGTGGCCGGCGCGGGCGCGGGTTGCTGCGGCTGCCCGAGGGCCCAGCCTCCCCATTGCCGTTCACCCCCAACTCCACCATGGAGAGGCGGGCGTGGGTACTGTCCCCCGACGCCTCGCCTGTTCGTGACGGGTCCACCTCGGATCTGCCGCGACGAGCAAACAGTAGGCGTCAGGAGGCATCGGTTGGCATAGTGACGCATTCGTATTTATTGGGAAGTAGTTTTCCTGACGTCAGGCAGCACGAGCAGTGCCACCTCCATGTGCAATATCGTTGAGCAACACAAGTGATCATATGATGTTGATACCAGTGTCCAGGTCATATGTGTAGAAAGACATTGCAGGACGGTGTCGAGTCGTAGATCGTGTTTATAAAATAAACAAATATCCACACAGTCCCCAATGTCGATGGACCGTAAACCTTCAGCCGGGTTAGGTGCATTCAACCCAGTGAGCAAACTAAGCGAGGTGCTCTGTGACCATGAGCGGCCGCGGCCATGGCTGAGGGCGTGGCCGGGGTCGCTTAAACGTCGAGGTCACGCGAGTCAACGCTGACGTCGTTGAAAGCGGCCCGAGCCAACGCTGATAAGATCCAAGGCGTAAGCGCTTAGGTCACGGTGCAGACGCGAGCGGGGAGGGTCGCTCCGGGGCAGGGGAGGCCGTTTACTTGGGTCTGGGCCGCGCGGAGGTAGGGACCGGGGGGGGCGCCTGCGATGAACGCTCCGGGCTCGTGTCGGAGGGGGAGCTGTCGGGCTCTTTGTCCTCTCCCGCGTGGCTCACGTCCCCGTTCTTCAGCGCAGCGGCCACTGAGACAGCACAACGACACCATCCCTCATGTCACACGAAAGCAAGTCACAACCCCCGGCCAGAGGCAGAGCGTCACCCTCGCACCAACACAAGTCCACGTGCAATTTGACTTTACATGAATGACCCAAGTGATGAGAGTCACGGACCAGGAAATCCAGCGAGGGGTCTGGAGGGCAGTATCAGAGTGTTATTGGAACAGCACACGGAGAGCACAGTAGACAAACGTGCAGATACACCAAAGGCAGGTGGGTAAGATAAGAGGGGGGAAGATAGGGAAGGGGTCGACATGAAAGAATAGGGGACAGGAGTGGTGAGAAGAGGAGGGGAGGGTAGAGGACGGAAGTGGAGGGGAGAGGACGGGAGTGGAGGAGAGGGGACGGGAGTGGAGAGGACGGGAGAGAGAAGTGTCGCGCACCCTCCGTGTCGCCGCTGTCCGTGCCCACGCACAGGGCGGCCATGTCGACCGTCATGGCATCGAGGCACACCTCCAGCTCGTCGGCCGGGCTGCGCACCTTGCCGTTCTCGGCCGTCAGCGGCAGCTTGCAGCACACGTTCTCCACTAGGGGGGGGGCGCGTGGAAAGGGGGGCACACCGGGGGGCGGGGGAGTGGTAGGAGCAGATGAGTTTTTGAAATTATGCCAGACAAGTCCTGATTGCAAGATTTTGCCATTTGGCGCTTTACTTGTGATTTGACATTCAGTCACTTTAATCATACACACGTGCGCTGGTTTTTACCCAGCAAATCGGATTAGTTGTTAGTCTAAACACAGCATGAATGGATTAAAATTGCCACTTTAAAACCTGTAATGGGTATAATTGCCCACAATCTGAACTTTTTAACTACAAATGGAGAAAACTGAATATACAAATAAACAGTAAGGTGTCAGCATAATAAACCAGTTTCTTGAGTTATTGTGCGAAGCGCGACGTCACCAGGCAGGCGCAGGAAGCCCCCTGTGAACCCTGGGAGCTTTACTTCTATTAACCCACCATTTGTTGTATTGTGGGCAAGGTATCCAAGCGACCGTGTCCAAACTTTCCACCCAGGACCCCCGTTTTCCTCCAATTATTCGTTTGGGTCTCCCCTCCCCTTCCTACCCTGTGCCCATTCCCTCCTCCTCAGACTCCGCTTATCAACAAAGCGGCGGCGTTCCACGTGAATGACAGGGTGGCCCTGGGTTTTAAGATGGAACTCCACTCTCTGGACATCGCTGCCGCCACCACCAATCTGGTGGTCCCCATGATGAGGAATCCTATCACCAGCACCGCCACCCACCACCACCATTACCAAACGCCGCCAATGTCACCACCGCCACCACGACAACCACCGCCACCATACCACTGCCACCACCACCTGCTGCCATTGTTACCACTGCTTCCAGCACCACCATCATCCACCACCATTAACGCCACAACCATCACCGCCGCCAACACCAAAATCTCCATCGCCACCACAAACACCACCACCCACCACTACCGCAACCATCATTGCCACCTCCGCTGCCGCTACGTACGTCTGCCGTGATTTTCAAGCAGCTCCTTGTGGATGTCGACGACAGCACGGCCCAGCAGGGAGTTGTTCTTGAGCGGGTAGTATGCCCACACACGGAACTCCAGCCGGCTCGTGGGCGCCGCCATGCTGCGGGCAACAGGGCGCCAGTTTATCATCATTATCATCGTCGGCCATGATCAATCCACTGCTGGATGAAGGCATCCCCAAGTCACCTCTGAGCCAGATTCAGATGTCTCGAGGGAGGCCAGCGTAGCACGGTTTTGGTTCCGGCTCGGCTGAGAAAACCACCTGTACCGTGAGGACCCTGTGCTAACTTAGAATCGGAATATGTATTTATATTGGAGAAATCCGATGAGCTATAAGGGGTTTTAATGGTTCGTGTATAAACAGAAGTCACAACAGGCCTCATCGGGCCGGCGACGGCGGTCCCCGCGGCATCGCTGGTCGGCAGCGGCGCGGCCACCAGCGGGGCTGGGCGAAGCATGCGTGCGCTTACACGGTGAAGTGCTCGGACCACTGAGGGTTGGGGGAGAAGCTCTGCTTCTCCGTCTTCTTGGAGGTGTCCACCTGCCCGTCCACCAGCAGCTCCACGTAGGGGTTGCCGCCGATGAGGCTCCGCTTCACGCCGTGAAGTCGGGCGCTCACCACTGCCGGCAGAGGCGGGCACACAAAGACAAACATTCCCGCGATAGCCTCAGCAGGCTGTTGGGGTGAGCGCCGATAGCGAGCACCTATGCGGGAACCACACGGCGCACGAGGGGGTGGTGTGACCCAGCAGGCTGCCATCGTCTCTTAAGTACGAATGATTGGTAAATGTTGAATATCCAAACATCAAAACAATTTTATCATATGGATAAAGACGATGACAATCCAAAAGCAAGATTACGGCCGGAGGGGTGGAAAGGAGAAAAAAAGGATGACAAAACCTGAGTCTAGCCGGCGCGATCGCGACACTGAGCACCACTACTATGGTAGGACCAGTTAAGGGAGCCCAAGGTCACGATCCTTGGACAAAATTACACCAGAAGATGCCAGAAGATCAGTACTGATCTAAGAAGAAATACAGTGGAGAACGAACACTTACATTTGATGCGGCAGGTCATGGGTATAATTGCATACTATTTGTAATTGTAATAAGCGGTGCAGTGCAATAATAGCTTATGCTACCTGAATGTCAGGTTGCTGACGTAAGTCACACAAAGCATTAAGAGTGTTTAACCTCGATCACTGACTATTTGTTATAAAAGTATACGATTGTTAGAAAACTGTATGAAAGGGGGGGAGAAGTGAGGGGACAAGGACTGCTTGGTATAAAACTCGCCACTGGTGTCAGCTGGGCGGGGATCCAAACTCAGTTTGGGTTCATAGCATGGTGGTGCTCAAATTATGGGACTTGGTTGGCAGTGGTGCACAAGTCAAAAATATTCACCGTTCACGCCGCCAAATAACTAAAAAAAAATCCCTGAAACGTCAGCCTGTTTTACAACTTTCTGTTATCAGGAATCGTTCATGAAGAATGTGGTAAGTTTTTTTTTTATATTTGTTCATTGCGAGATTTCTCCAACCTGGTTGGCTGTGATTTAAGAGACATGACGGGAGCAACGGCACACAAACATTGCGAGCTACAGTGTGAAACCACGTACGAGGGGAACTGACTCACGAAAACATTTGACTCGGTCAACTGGTTTACTACCGCACATGATCGCCCAAGTATGTTTGGCTCTACCTTTGAAAAATACTCAGCCAAGGCAGTGCGGTCGGGAAGCTGTCAATAAGAGCGCTGTACCAGCCCATGAGCTTCCCGCGTCACCACGACGAACGACCGCTCGCTTAATGCGCCGTAAACAACCACCACCCCCTCCACACCCGCATCGCCCATTACGCAACGGTCCATATGATACACAGACAGGCCTTGCGCAAGGCAACTATGTCTAAAATGCTTTGGAGAATATAATGAAAGCATTAAGAAGGTTGCATTTCCACCAAATCTTGCTTACGTGCAAAAGACTTAATTAAATATTCAACACAGACCGATCCTGTCCCGTGCACTACGCACATAGCACGCACTCAAAACACAACCAGACGCGCCTCAGGCAATGGGAACGTTGCGCAAGGAAACCCTAACAGTCAACTTTCCCGTAACCAGGCAAGTGGAAATAAAAATGTGGTTAGCGGCCCCGATTCCTTCCCAGGCACATGAAAAACACTTTATTGTAAATTTTGGGAGGCCCCCCTCATCTTGAGCCCCTGTGCACAGTGGTAGGACTCCCCCCTCTGACCCCATCTCGTCAGACCTGCCTGTCACCGTGACGCAGAATCGTCCGCGTGCGAGAGGCTCGGGTAGCGTCGCTGTTGTCATGCCAGAGTGCCCCACCCTCCATGGCTCATGGTATTTCCAGGTAACTCACCGTGTGCGGGGGGGGGGGGGATGCGATTGGGTTTGCCTTGATAAAAAATTCCACAACACGATATAACGATCATCATTATCGGTCACGATCAATCATCTGTTGGATAAAGGCCTCTCCGCCTAGCACCTACACAAAAGCTGATTTCATCGCACGATCTCCCCAGTGGACCTCCTCTATCCCCTCCATTCCTTGGCTGCCGCTGTCACGATTCTTAACCACCATCCATCTTCCCTCATAGTCTTATACCCAACGAAAGCCCACATACTGTTCCGACCGGTTTGAATGTTGTCTTTAACTTGCGTATATACTTGAATCCACGTTAGTGGAAGTGCCCACCTGAAACTATGCTTGTTGCGATACGTAAAAACCATGATATGTTGTAGCACTGGCGTATCGAATGGATACCGGCACCCATTTCGGCACTGAGCATGTGTATGACGCAAACCGCGGTGACGTCGCTCGCTCACTCACCGGTGACCTGCAGCTGTGTGCGACCGGGCGAGGCGTTGCTGTCGTTGTGGGGAGAACACGCATCGGCCATATCACCGGCTGCCGTCAGCCGCCAAAAGGGACACCCTGCGGCCAGCGGCACAGGGCAACCACGTCACCAGTTAAATCTTCGACATTGAAAACGCCAACCACGTTACATTTGCAATGAAACCACGATGTAACCAACGTCTCAGAGCGCAGGAATACAGAGGGAGAATGGGGAGGGACTGGGCAGGGAATGGGTAGGAGAGAAAATGTATAAATTAAGGCAGTTTGTAAGAACGGGGGTTGAAGAGGAAGATTTTGAGGCAAGCTTTGAAAGCAGAGAGATAGGACCAGGGGGAGTGGTTTGGGCAGGAACTTCCAGAGGGTGGGGTGCGTCGTAACAACAAAGGCAGGATAGCAGTGGGGTGGCGATGAATGTGGGCAATGCTGCAGGCCATCAAAATACTTGAGTATCTCAAAGAAATGCAGTGAAACAGAAACTCACTGTGCGTTTGTTGTGGCCTTTCATGGGGAAAAGCATTTATATAAGCAGAACTGCATCCTCTGCTAAACACACCTGGCAAACTCGGCAGCAATTTTAACAAGCCGAGCTGAAGATGGGATCCCACCAATTTAAACTGGTTTGACGTTTTCTCACTGAAACAAATGCTGCTGGATAATATTGGTCTGGAAAACCAATAGGCTGGGATACAGAATGGAGCTGTGCCTTTAGTTTAACAGAGCTTATCCCATAGCTACACACCTCGGTACTGTGACAACATTAAACAGGACGCGCCAGATCTTGGAAGCTAAGCAGGCTTTCAGCCTGGACAGTGTTGGATGGGTGGCCACAATGTCCAAAACATGCTTCGTACGCTGCTTCGTACGCTGCTGCGTGGCTACGTGGGTGGTAGAGGGTCGTGTAGCTGCCATCTACTGATGTCTATGGTTCCTGCTTTCACCAACCCGCACTCACCAGCGTGATCAAGTGCGGTCAATAACCCACACGGTGTGGGCAAGCCCTCAACCAGCAGTCGATTGACAGAGTGCTTTACGTGTCCATCACAGGCTGTACGACACAAGCTTGCAGCTTCATTAATAAGGTAGAGTATACATTAAAGTTTTAGTCACGTGTATCACACGGTACGTATGAATTTCATCTACCAGTGCCATTTGCCGTTTGGGCTGCATCACCCTTTAAGTTCCTTGTTCAAGTGTTCTATACGCTTGGGACCACCCTGTCATGCGGGCAGCAAGTGGAGCAGTTAAAGCACTCGACGTCGTAGGCCGCACTTCTCTTCAGACGGTCTGCACTGGCGCTTCACGTCTTGTGTTGTAATCAGACAGCTCACAATTCTCTGCAGATTGATTTATAAACAACCCAGATTAAAAATAGCACTAACTTTGACCGGTTCCACTGAGTGGAAACAATTAACATGTTGCAAGCATGCATTTAAATGCGGCGTCAATGCAGCATATTGATCTATTTTAGAACACGGTCATATAACTAGCCATTAAGATTACGCATTACAGCAAAACAATGGTAACAGCCAAACTGTTTCATAGCAGCAGCACAAGACTACATAAACACCACATGACCACGAGCAAAACGATTTTTCAATGCACAATGACTGGCTCTGTATACTGACAAAACACAAAAGGTTCAGTAAAAGATGACAAGGCTTGATTTAGTATGTAATACTTAGGTAACTATATAGCTTATTATTTGCATCAGGTGAGATGGATCCTAGCTGATACATGGACATGTACACGGAAAACAAGGTTGATTCAGAAGCCCGCCGTGTTTATAACCTCCTGAGTGATCGTCAAGGTTGGCTGCCTCTCTCAAACGTAAACATTAACCTGTCTGAGGCAGGCTAACCTGCCCTCTTGAACGGCAGCTACTATGGTGACCATGATAGTCTGGCACAAGCTAGGTTGGCACAAGTAGACAAACGAACCAGGACGGGAACTGTAACGCAGGGAACTGGCCAAATATAATTCTTGACCTCATATAAACTGTGTGCAGCCACCTCATGCCCTGCTGTTAACACATTTAGTGTTGTATTACAGATCTCTGTTCCAATAGCCATTGTGTGGTGTGCACAAATCATGAATTAATGAACCTCACGTTAGTCTGTTAAACTTTGAAGCTAGGGATAATTCAAAAGTGCTGATTGAGGCATGTGCTCATCTTCATATATTTTTTTCTCCAAATTCGAAATAACAAGTTGCATCTCTTCAGTCCCAAAAAAAATCAAAGTGCAGGGTATTCAGCATCAGTAACAAAGGAAAATGTGACATGTAAATTGTGACTATTTCGTGGGGGTTTCAGTCATTTGGGGAGCATTATTTAAACGTTGGCATTTTCATATTTGCTAAAGAAATCCCAGGAATCCCAAGTGCAGCGTGTGCTTCTTGCAGGGACATGTGCTCGACTGTCGTTTCGTGGCGACGCTAATCTCACGTAGCCACAACGCAGAGACACTTTGCCAGGTTTCCGGGCAGTGAACGCAACCTCCAATAGTATTATAATAATTATCCCCAAAAACATTATTCCAGCAATCTTTTTGAGGACCACCAGAGCAATTGCTGCTTGCATGCACTTGCTCAGTTACCCCGCATGTCGGTACTGCTCCACACCCACCTTACTAATCTTTCCCAGACACTGGTGGTTCAGTTATTATGATTTACGAATGATAAAATTCCAGGTAGCTTCAGCTGACTGCCGCCTGATTTATAGCGGACGTTAGTGCACACCTATGGCTACAAATACACGTTGCCCCTTTTAGGTAGGTATCTGAAAGCACAAACACAAGGTAAACCGGTAAATAATAGCAATGCTTGTTTAGCTCATTGTGGGTGGGATGGTAGGTACGTATGAATTTAGGGAAGTGGGTAAGGAGATAGAGATGAATGTATTTATATTGGTAGATTGGTATATAGCATACAGGACTACAGATTATACCCATCTGTGAAATCTAGCACCTTCATGATAGCCACGTGCTATAAGGGTGGTGCAAATGTATACATGTCTTCTAAAAGGAAAGCACATGGAAGAAAAGTCGGTGGATGCATCATGAAATGACAAAAATCCATCTGAATGAAATCAAATATTTACAGTACATCAGGCCAAGGCTCCTCAAGACTAATGTTTTATAACAGCATTTGTTTACACAGGCAAACCCTAGACGGGTTATGACTTGAGAATCTCATAAAATAGTCAGGCCCGTGAAACACTGGACATGTGTGAAAAATAACTTCATAGCTCATTGGATTCTTCCAATCTCAACATCCGAATGCAGGAAAGTTCGTTTTGAGCGTCGGTAAATCTTAGGCAATAACATTATAATAAGAAAAAGTTACAACATTGCATTTGGTAGCAAGTAGACACTAATAATTAAAACTCGACACATTTATTGATAACACTACCTTAAAAGGAAAATATATACAACAATAAGGTATGTGGGTATGTAGGAATTGTTTAAATAACCAAGCCTGAGCCCAGTAACACATTGCTTTTTCAAGACAGACCGGGCAACACGAGCAAGGGTAAATTGTTGAAAAATAAGGTACAAAGATGTTACTGTGGTTTCTTTTTTTGCCGATGAGCCTGGGTTTGGCTCCGGGCCTCGAGCATTTTCAGACGCGACAGCCTTCAATGTGCGCGTCGCGCCGGCCAAACACGCGCATACTTGGCACCGCTACGCGAGGACCAAAGGAGTTCTCTCATTCACAGGGGGAGGCTCCCGAGGGTCACGACCGAGGTCAGACACAGCCCCTGCACCTGGTCCTTGCACCAAAACTAGTCAGCACTTAGTGCGCACAATTTATTCCGATCTCGGAAGCTGTGTTTGAGCCTGGGTATTATTTAGATGTGAAACAGACCAGGGGATTCCAGGCACAGTACACCATCGGATACGTGCGATTTTCTCGGCGTTCTCCGCTTTTCTGCCACATGCCAAACACTAATTTGAACGGAAATGTACAAACATTAAAACGTATTCGGACATTCCTGACGAAATTAAATCTCAAGACTGGGTGAGGCTTTCCTGGACGAATAAAAACATTACTACTTACTGCCTGGCCAGCGACTAAGAATGAAGGCACCTCTGCCACCTTCGCCATAAAGACGGACGTTTAATACTTGATGAACAGTGGGAGTCCACCGTCAACCAAGACGCCACCACACGACCGCGCCTCCGAACGTGCACATTCGTCCACGTACGACAGTGTCGGCGCCGAGTGTTTGCTTAGCGCGCTAATAAAGCACCCAGCGGCACACAACGCTGCGTGACGACCTGCCACGAGCGCTTACGAGGCAGTTCAGAGACGGACATTTTAGTTGAAATCGCGGTTCAGTCCGCGCCTCATTTGCATGGCACTCAGACACGACACGAACCACACACGGCTCTCGTCTAGGAACTTACATGCACAGCGAGGCTGCGTGTATTTCTTTCTAACTTCCGGCACACTGCATTTTAAATACTGGAGCTGGACTGTGTCGTAACCTTACATCCGGAACTTTGAAGTATTTTTCTTCTCATTAACGAAGCGTAAAACTCGCGTCGGACACAGCCTAGGGGTGCAGCTCCAAGATCAGAACTCCGAATCTCTTAGATCGCGCCTTCCTGTCAGGGACAAAACACCCCTCACGCGCCCCCCGGGGGGGTCTCTCAACCAGGGGGGGCCGAGGCGAAGTCTTCCTGGACGACCCACTCAGGCAAGACAGTGGGCTTTGGCCTGCACCCGCGCGCACTCGCCTGTCCACCAAGCCCCGCCTTGCCGAGCGGCGATGACTGAACCTCGACGCGACGCCCGAGCCCGAGCCCGGCAAGGGAGGCCGTCTCACCGCGGCGGCGCGGAGCGGAGGGGCGGCAGCGGCGGCGAGCGACCGGAGTAGGGTGCTGGTAATGCGCGGGACTCAGCAGCTCGCGGCCGCCATTACGCGTGACGTCAGGGGGTGGCCAAACGTCACGACACATCACGAGGACGGCGTGACGTCAACACACACAATTTTTACTCGCCCGTGACGTCATCCGGTTAAAATGATGTGCGCAATTAGACATCGAGTAATGTCGAAGAATGACGTCAGACCACTTGGCTAACACATTTCGTGTGTGACGTCACGACCAGAGAATTCAGTATTTTGGTTTTCAATGTTTATTGGGGCGTTATAAGGAATGGGCTGTGAGCAAGTGATTCAGCCATTGTCTATCACTGCTGAATGAATGCCTCCAATCGTCCTCTCAAATCTGTCATCTCACATCTTTCATGACTACATCTTGGGGGCCGTCCATAAATGACGTCACGCACCTAGGGGGGGGGGTCAGACATTTATGACGATGTGTGACGAGGGGGGGGGGTTTGAGAAATGTGACGTCACGTCAAAATGCGCAACTTTTTGACGATTTTTGACCCCCCCCCCCTTCGTCACACGGCGTCACAAAAAGTCAGACCCCCCCCCCCTCAAATATGACGTCACAAAGCTCTGCCCCCCCGCCCAAAAAAATAAAACATGCTTCAAATCAAACTATTGTCATTGTAGTGCGTATTTAATGTGGCGCTGCACTCTGATGTTGTAGGAGAAAACATTTATTAAAGTCTATTTCATTAAGTAGAACGTGCTGTCTCTATGTATTTAAAGTTGCGCATTTTGATGTGACGTCACATTTCTCAACCCCCCCCCCCCCACCTTGTCACACATCGTCACACATGTCTGACCTCCCCCCCAGGTGTGTGACGTCATTAATGGACGCCCCCCTTTTATTTTTTGGGGGAGGGGCAGAGCTTTGTGACGTCATATTTGAGGGTGGGTCTGACTTTTTGTGACGCCGTGTGACGAAGGGGGGGGGGTCAAAAATCGTCCAAAATCGCGTGACGTCATTTATGGACGGCCCTTTGGGTCTTATCTCCGACATCTCTCTTCTCCCCTCTTCTGAAATTCCCCACGTGGTCAAATGAAACTTAAAACTGTCGATAGCTTGCACATCCCTCCCCACGTTCAAATCTTCTTCAGTCTCAACTCACACATATCCCTCTCTGTCTCTCCTACTTCTCCCCACGCCATCCCGCTCACTTCGATCCTGCATGTAAAATTCCACTGGCCATGGTTAATAAATGCACTCACGCAATGTTGAGAACAATCAAGACAACAAGAACCAGACGCGTGCACACAGTTTACTGTTAATCAGTGGCTGAGCTAGATAAATAAACCATATCCATGCATGTCCCGCTCTTAACTGAATTTTAAATGCAGCAAACTCAGGCCAGAGTTACACAGTTTAATAAACACCGTAATTTCTATCAACCAAGCCGACATTTTGAGAATATACGCATATATAGCATTAATACGAAAAATACTTGAGATTTCGAGTAGGGTACAATACCGGAGTGGTTGTATCGCTTTTACTTCGGATTGGCAACTTGAAGGCACAGCAGCACACATCCACACACACAGCGCTTGAGGTCAAAGCAGCAGTGGGCAGAATCTTGAATAGACCTCAGTACAATGTTTATCAGCGTTCCATTTTGGGGGAGTAGTAGCTCTCGCTAAGGCTGCTATCTGCAGAGGGTCCTACATTAATAATAACAATGTACCTACACTTGTAAATATCACGAATAACAGTTTTCTGGGTCTCAAGAAGGGAGTGGCATCACCTCATTGCACCCTCATTGGATCCGCCACCGCCTACGCCTGCCACAAGCGAGTGGCACGAATGCTGTAATGGCACAAATGCTGTAATGGCACAAATGCTGTAATGGCACACAGGATCGTTTACTATGAACGTGACAATTCACCCTAAAGCGATTCAATTAATTATCACGATTCGGCGTCACAGTTCGCTTCAAGAATATCTATTTTGTTGGGGTCTAGTTTTGACTATTTAGCTCGCTCGGTTCTGCTTCTTGTAATATTCGCGAAAAAGTACAATGATGTACTGTAATTGGTCTTGGACAACCATCCCAATGCAGGAAGAGTCTGGCTTTCCTGGGTAATTTTATGTTTTCATGATTCGTATCCAAAATTCACTGCAAATATCGTGAGCATAAGAATGGATTTTACCCGATGAATCACGGTGCAGTTACCTTCCTATTTCTATGACCTCACACATACTGGCTTTCCCTCCCATGAAAGAGGTACACTTGAGGTTCTTTAGTTGTTGATGAGGATGCTCAGGAGCAGGGAGCTTCGCTTTTCCTCAAAAAGGTAGCTCCTCATCTCGGGGGATGTCCAGCTCCGCTTCCTCGTCGGGCGCTGGTCTGTCAGGTGACAAAACAACGTCACAGAAAATCAGGGCCAAAGTGTTAACCGTGGCGGGGAATTCAACAATGGTCACCGGGCACCACCACTCCCCCCAATTCAAATATGAATCAGTTACAATAAATGTCCATGCCCCCAACTCCCCGCCACCCCAGCCTGCAGGAACGGTGCTGCCCATTACTGCCCATGGCATTGCGGTGATGGGCAGGTGATAATCTCACTCGCGATTGGACGGCAGGAGCCAGGGGGACGAGTGGAGCTGCTTCCTGGCCTGAGCCGAGAGTTGGCGAACCTCCCGCTGCAGGGCAGGGATCCGCAGGCGCAGGGCGACGACCTCCTGCGGGGGGCAAGAGGGATCATGACGGGTGGGAGCAGTGGGGATGCATGTGGGCACCGTTCACAATAATGACAGAAAGGCTTCCACGAGAGGGAGATCTAGAAAGCCCTTGTATACGACACTTGGCATACTTACTCTTTGGTTCTAGTCTCGTCCCTTCACCTGATGAAGGCCGCTTGTGTTGTGGCCGAAACGTCGTAATTTTTGTTATTTTATTTTTTACCTACGTGACTTTACCCAATAGAACCAAAGAGTATGGATCCTAGCAGTCACGAAAGCTTTAAATCTAGAACTTGGCATACTATTCCACACTTGCCGGACATCTTGGAAGAGGCGGGGGTACTGGGTCTTTACATCACCACATATGACCTGCGGATGTACCCATTTATACTGCTGGGTGGATGGCGGTGGGGGGGGGGGGCAGAATACAAGAAGCTTGCCCATTGTTTCAACTGCCGCGCTGCGAAAATCAAATTGAAGCGGCGACCTCTGGATTTCAAGTTCAGTGTGCAAACCGTTACATCATAGCCACACTAATAGGACCCAAATCTAGCAGATATGGGTCCTATATACATCTGGCAGTTTGCCAGCATTGGCTCAAGCAAGACTGACCTTGCAAATGAGACATTGAATGTCGAAACCAGACCAAAGTTTGCTTTTGTTGAACCAATCCTGCTGATTATGCACCCCAAGAAGACCATGCGGCTGATGGGATATTTAAAAATATTGTTTTTATTTTGGAGGAAAAGATTTGTGATGGAGGCGTATTGTCCGATGTTGTATTTCGTTACTATAACGTACTGTAACGTTAATGTAATCAAACACTGTTTTGACTTAAAACTTTCGTGACTGTAGGGATTCATATTCTTGGTTCTTTCGGTAAAGTCACGTAGAAGGGAAAAATTTGATTGTTTCCCTTTCGGTAAAGTCACGTAGAAGAGAAACAATTTTATTGTTTTATTGTTTCCCTTCTACGTGAAAGAACCAAGAATACAAACATTGTTTATTTTTTTTATTGTACATTACAACCCCTGTTAAATCCACTGTTAGAAGAGAGCCGACCCACGACGTGTCGGTCATGGAGGTTGCTTGACCATATTTCACCACGCTGGTCAGTGAGGATTGGAAAAGAGATTTGGGCACCCAGGACCGGTTCAGATGTCACTCACCACTGGTGTTGGCTGTGGCTGGGAATCAAATTCAGGACACTGGGTCCGTAACACAGGGTACGACTAACCACTATGCCACTGCTCCACCCCTAACGCTGCAATAATAAGATATTGATAGCTATGTTCATCATCACGTCAGCTCATTAGCAATGATGGAGCAACATCACCTTGACATCACTCTTCCTGTGTATTTTTATTTGTCAACGCAGTGACTTAAAAAAAATACATTTCCTATTCATGAAGCTGCAAACTTATGATGAACAGCATGAGACTCACAACCAAAGGAGCATACATGTAAAGGCTATTTGTTCCTAGGGTTGGGTTGCATCTCACTGCACGACTATTAAAGTCCCAGTGGGCAGCAACCTCTGTGTAGACTTGTTTGCACTGTCGAATTTCCCCCCTCTTCAGAGTCCATTCCATGGGTCTCAGTGCCGTTGCACCGCCTGCACACAATATCCGTATGCCCGTGATCTCTTACCTTCCCCTGGATCTCAATTTCCTTCCTTAAGCCCGTATTCTGGAAGCTCTTCGCCTGCAGATCATGGGGGAAATCCTCCAGGTGCTCCTGAAAGTGGGCAGACATTACGTAAAATCAACTTGCAGGGTGGGTGTTTAATCGACGGTATCAATGCTGCCTAACAGCTCATGACAAAGCTGCATGATTCGCCAAATCTGCTGCTGATCTATCCGGTTCTTTACAAACTCACCCTGGGGTCAACCTGCATCACCAAACAGCCATTGTGGTCGCAGCTTCCACCGCACAACTTCTTAACAACATGTCAGTGGTGGGCAGCGGAGCCGTCCCCATGGTACGGCAATTTGGGGGCGACCGCCCCAGGCCCCGCGCTTTGGGGGGGGGGGGGGGCCAAAGCTTCGACGTCACGGTGTCAGATTTAATACTTCCATTTTAGTTTCGAGGTGTCGGGGGGCCCACATGGTGGGATTTGCTCCTAGATCAACACCCCCCTTGTGGAAAACCCTGGTGGGCAGCATGGACCTCGTCAACAGTAAGGAAACTTTTTTTTATCGATGACTCCAGCCATGATGAGGACTGTTTGTTGGTGGCTGCTATGCGAATTTGGATTTTTTTAGACTGCGCTCAGCAGCCATGATGAAAAAAACTGATCAACAGAGTTCTGACCCGCAGCCTCGCCAATGATGGGCTCAACTGAACTGGATTTGCACTGGACAAGTGGGACACAGGGACATGAAGACTCAGAGATAGAGGAATACTGGGATACAGAAAAGTGGGAAAAAGGAGCCGTGTATGGGCTGTACTGAATGGTTTTGACACCGGACAAGGGCACCCTGCAGTCAACGAGGTCAGATGGGGCATCTGAGAAAGCCCAGAGTGTGTAAATGCAAACAGGTGCACGCTGCTTAGTCTGCCTATATGGACGAGCCGCCCCAGAACAGTGGAGAGGTCAACTTTCGTGCCGGAGGTCTCCTCGATGGCAGGGTGCACACTCCTCCCCCCGACCTGCGCGACGCGGAGCAGCAGGGCCTCCTGGGCGAGGGCGTCCTGAGCCGCGATGCGCTCCAGCTGCTCCTCGTCCTGCCGGTGCGCCTCCGCCTCCTCCACCTGCGGGCACATCCACCGCCCTCTCAGCGCCGGCAGCCGCACACAACCTCAACATTCACGTTGGACATTGGAGGTAGTTTGACCCCGCTGGTGCAGATACAGGAGAGCCTCACCGAGTCTCAGAACTCTCTTATCAGGAGAGTCCAGAGACATTTGGACCTTTGGCCAATTCTGCCGAGTGGTGTTTTGCGCGCCCCAACCTCCTGCCGCTGCTGAAGCGCTTGGAGCTGGCGCTGCAGCTGGGCCTGCCGCGCCGCCTGCAGGGGCCGGTCCCTGCCGTGGTACGCCCGCAGCGAGCGCAGCCTGGCTCGTGCTTCCTCCAGCCGCACCCCCGCCCGCTGCACCCGCCGCTCCAGCTCTGCACTCGCGCCGGGCCGAGCGGACGGGAGAAACGTTTGGGGGCTTGTTAAACGGCGCGATGGGGGTAGGGTGTGCGAGTAGCTCCCCTGCAGAGCGAGCATGTGGACTTGACCATCAAGGTGAAAGGCAGAGTCGCAACCTTGCAATTGTTCTCTCTCGACACGACTGGTGTAATGGCCACCTCCAGAGGGAGCTCTCGAGAGCCCCACCCTTGGGTATTTTGGACGACTCTTACAGATATTCCAGGGAGACCGCAGCATTTGTGGCCGAACTTACCAGCTACGTCCTGTCGCATTGCGTCCTCAATTCGCTGCTCGTTAGCGATGGCCTCCGACATCTGCCGCCCGTGAAGATCCTCGAGGAGGGCTTGCGCATTCTGCAGGAAGGAAGCGGTCGGCCGAGGTCAAAGTGGTATTTCCCGCAGAAATGCAAGGATGGCCTCAACATGAGAAATCCCTCGTCGTGTGCACGCAGAAAGTAGGAGAGCGCTTCATGGAGGAGAGACATCGATATGTTGAATTTGCAAAAGGGCATGCGATGAGGACTCGGGGTACATTCTCAGAGGTGCAAGCCCGATGAAGGAAGTTCTGGAAGAAAGGATGTGGTGATGACGCGGTTTGGTATAATATGATAATAATTCATTGTTAACTTGGAATGCACGCGACGGTATCCACTCACACTCGATCCAATATCGACAGAACATGTAGAGTCCACATCTTTGCTGTACAATACCGCCCTCTCCTGGCAGGCCATGGTATGACACGTCGACGGCGGATAATGTCCATGTAGCGCGTTACGATGCGATGTGTGATGATGCAGTGTGCGATGATAATAATAACTACTATAATCACCCAGGAATGTCCTTAACGCTGGTGACGTCACTCCACATCGACCAGCCCTCCTCATTAATAATCATGAACAGGTTACATCCTCCACATGGACCCCCCCCCCTCATGAATAATCATGAGCAGGTGACGTCCTCCAAATGGACACCCCCCCCACTCCACATGGGTGGGCGAGGCGCCTCCTCCCCCCTCCTCAGCGTCAACTTACAACCCTCACTACAAAGGCAGAACTCTCGCGTCACACAATCTCCGTAACGCTGTTGAGATATCGAAGTAAAAAGGACGTCATGATGAACAAGGGATTATAACCTTCAAAATTAAATAAGTCTGTGTCACCGCAGCCTTACAAATTGCACACGAATGGATGCAATGAATATCACGTCGCGATCTGATTCAGATTCACTGAAATACACCTTTTCTTGGACGGGCAAAAGGCGAGTTATTCATAAAAGACAAACGGATGTGGATTTGGGATTCACCTCTGGAAGGGTTAGGAATGCTAGGTCGAGGGGCAAACATTAATTAAACGATACGTGATGACTTCAAGGGATGGATGCCATACTATAAAACAATTAAACTATTTCTATTTTACCAGGTAAGACCTACTGAGCTAAATAGCTGTTTTCAGAAGCAACCTGGCCACAAATGATAGCCCAATGAAGTGGCTTATCACGTGGGAATATTATCAGTCAAATACTCTAAAAGCACGTCGATTATAAATGTGGAGGGAAAAACCAGAGGACCCAGAGAAAAATCCACGCGATCATGGGGGAGAACATGCATACTCCAAATAAACAGGTGCTAGGGTCGGGATCGAAACCCACGAACCTGTATACCAGACGAGGTAGTTAAGATCTCACCACCACCGTGGCACCTCTGTTCAATGGCTCTCTCCTTACAGAATGGAGGGAACCATGGAGCAGCCACGGGGGGGGGGGGGGGTGGGAAGCTGACAAGCGCGATCCCGGCGGCACCTGGTGTCTCTGGAGCTGGGCCAGTGTGGCGTTGACGTCTCGGAAGGCCGCCTCCTCCGCCTCCCGGGTCTCCTGTGCCAGGCGCTCGTTCGCGGCCTCCAGGGCCTGGATGCGTTGGCGGCGCTCTGCGACGACGGCCTGCCGGGTCTCCGCCAGATACTGGCCCGCAGCGCACACACAGCGGTGTGACGTCGCTAGCGGGTCACGGGGCATGCCAGCTCTTGTTGATTTCGAGGTCTTTTTTTAACCTTTTTAAATATTGAAAAGTTTTGCCCATTGTGTTACCAGTGTTACGTTACCGGATACATTTTCTCTTTGGACCTCTCGAAAATACTACACGGAGCTATCTCTGAGATGCCCTCAGGTGACCTCTGCCCAACACGGTAGGGGCAGCATTTTCTTGTCACCTGCATTGCTGCAGAGATACATGTTCATCGGATGACAGTCAAACCAATATTTGTAACTCTCAAGAGATAATATTTTGCCACTTTAAGTGCAGAAACAAACTGGTGACCAGACTGAGACCATCAACTCACTGCACTTGAGAACACAGTTTCATCAGAGGTGGCTGCTTGGTTTCAAATCCAGGATCTCAGCGGTGCCAACTCAGCTGTCTAACCTCTAAGCCACCTGGCCGCCAGCTTTCAGGATGGTCGACATGGGCGCTAGTGCAAGGCATTCAATGGAACCCCCCTGTTCATTTACATTCCCCCCTTTCCAACGCCTGGGCCCCTCCAGCCCATTGACCTCAGTGCAGTTGCACGGCCTTGCACACACGGTGGCTACGGTGCGAAAAAACTTCAGCATACATACCTCCAGCACCTTCACGTCGGCCATCTTCTTGCACAGGGCCTGGATGTCGGGGGGCGGTGGTGGCGGTGGCGGCGGACGCTCCACCCATGGGTGGCGGCACAGCACGGAACACGAAGCGCCCAGCACCTGGGCCTGGCTGGGCCACGCAGGACCCAGGGATGGGCTCTGAGGCCCATGTTCCGCTGCCCGACGTGAATAGTTGTGAGAAGAAAATAAATGAAAGTGGAGCGGATAAAATAACAAATAAACGAATATGGAGGTGAGGCGGCTAAGTAGCCAGGAGGCTCAGAGGTCAGAGCGCTGAGCTGGCACCTCTGAATCCTGGATTCAAATCCTGGCAGCCGTCTGTCATCACAGACATCAACGTGAATGCTACAGTCGGCAGTGGTGGCACACACCTGTAATCCAGCGCTGTGGAGGCGAGGGTTGGTGGCAGGGGCGGCCCGAGACTAACTGCCAGCAACTGGCGCCCGAGACGAACCATATCAATCGGCACCCCCAAACCCCAAGGGCAGATCTAGGCTGAGGTTTTTGGTAAACTGGGAAACATTTTGCCCATGATTTCCGTTTAATGTTTTTAAGCGTATTTTATTAAACAGAGGCATAATTATTTGGTTTGTCCATCCGTCTGTCCAACCAATGTTTCTGAGGTCAGATAAAATAGAGACACGACATTTTCAGAATAGATTTGTACACGAAGCTGGACGATATTTCAGTCCGATTTACGGTGTTTATTTTTGAAGTAAATAAAATATTCTACACTGATACATTCTCAGAAATGTTGAGAAATTAATTATAATTCATATTCCCTCTGTATGTGAAGAGGAATTTAAATAATGACATCTTTATTTTATTTGTATCTATTTATTTGTTCCTCGAATTTGGCGCCCCACTTAACTTGGCGCCCTAGGCGACTGCCTAGTCCGCCTATATGGACGAGCCGCCCCTGGTTGGTGAATTGGACAAATTACAAAATGTTGCGAGACTCCCTTCCCGTAGGCATCGAGGAGGTGCAACACCCTGGCTCGCCGGCAGAATGCAGGACAGCAAAGTGTGGTCTGATATCAGGTGTCCCTTGCGTATACGAAAGTGTTAACTGCTCGCATGCATGAGTTTCCTCCGGGTGCTCCGACTTCCTAACACATGTGTAGTGACGTAAATGGTGTCACTAGGGTGTTCGCGCCAGCTACTGTTACAGGAGTGCGACTGTGCGTCTGGAGCCTCTCTCTAGCACCAGAGTAAGTGCGGCATGTCAGCCAGCCCGAGGGGCATTGTCCTGGCGATGGCCTGAGACAGGGCAAGGGAAGACGTGGTAGCCTGAGTTGGGGCACGTGATGCTCGGTCGGGATCCTTCGGAAAAGGTCTCGAAGGGGGCGTAGCCGAAGGCGGAGCGAGGCCACGCCCAGGAGCATCAAGGGGCAGTCCCGAGAGCGTTCTTGGCTCGTCTGTGGAATCAAGCCTGGGTCTTCGTCTCGAGTTAACTCGCTACTCACACAGTGAGCCACATCACCTACTAGAGAACCCGAGTTACGTTCAGTGTTACCTGCTAGGGAAGTTGTGAAATAAAAGTGTTGCCTCCCAGTCCAGAGTGTGTGCCTCCGTGTTGAACACTACACATGTATAAGCAAGCACTCATTAATCCACTGAAAGCAACTGAATATGTAGAGAACTACTTAGCAGTGGTGGCTTGTGACATTTAGGCGAGGTGGGGCGCTTGTGAGAGACCTCTGAAAATATGGTGTTCTAGTTAGGAAAAACTTCGTAATGTTATTGGTAGGAATTTATAAACAATACGAAACAAAACAACAAAGCATTCAAATCCTGTCCCTATGAACCTCAAGTCCACACTACACAACCCCTTTGACACTGCCAAAAGGCTCGAGCGTGTCGGCGGTGGCCCTCCTCTATTTGCACAGTGCCACCTCGCGTCGTGACGTCGGCTCATCACAGCCACGGGCGCCTTTTTAACCGCCCTGAATGGGTCTCAAACAGCGTGGCTACAATGCGAAGCTCATCGCAAGGAGTGAAGGGATATCTCTCACTCGGACTCCTTCACAGCCACAAACAAAACAAATTACTAGAAAATAATTTATCATTTCCAGCTGCTTGGTGGGGCGGTGCCCCCACGTCCCTGGTGGACGAGTCGTGCCTGCTGCTGAGCATGAGTTGGGACCGCCTCGCAGCTTGGCAGCATTCCAGCTTGTCTGGGATTCTGCTCCGCTTGTGAGATGAAATTTGCATGAACGACGCTATATAAGACTACTTATTAGATTATGTATATATTTTTTATTGATGCCACCACACCGTAACGCTACAAGGTAGGTTGTGTAAAAAAGAAAACACGTAAACATTTCAAGAGAAAATGTAATAAACAAAACAATACAAAAGTAAAGACTGCACAAAATCATCCTGGTTTATGGCTCATCCACGATACATTTTCAAGTCAATGTGAATCTCTAACACGCCGTGGGTGACTGCTGACCTGGCCGAGGAGTTGAGCTCAATTCCCGCGAGCTCCCTGCCAGGCAACCCAGGGGGTAGTCGGGCGCCTTGCTGGGGCCCCTCTCCCTGCTCGGGCGAGCCCGACGCGTGCGGAGATGGGGCAGGGTGCGCAGGCCACGCTGGGGGGCCCCTCCACGACCACAGCCGCAGGGAGTCCTCCTCTCCCACCTGCTGTAGTCCTGCAGCCACCCACCAGCACCACATGATGCCCAGCGTGAGCAAACTCGACAGGGCCTCGCACCTCCACCACACCAACTCCGCTCACCTTCGCAGTGGCATTTGGCTGGCCATCAAACAAAGATGGTCACCGCATTGCGCGCTTTCGGATGGGCTTCTGCGGCCATCTGGAACACTCTTTCCGATATTAGAAAGCCACTGGATCTATGCATTTTTAAATCAAGATTAAAACTCATTTCCTTAAAACTGCTTTTTGTGTTTAGTCCTTCCCCGACACCTCTGATCAGCATGACTGGCTAAAAAACAATTTGCGCAACCACCACCATTTCCATATCCCGAGTGCCGCCAAGACCGCTCATGCTGGCCTCGACGATTGCCACTCTCTCTTTTCAGGCCTCCTTTAAACCCTCATCACCAAACTCCAGATGATCCACGGAGGGCCGAATAGCACCTTCAAATAATGTTGGCAGACCACACGTCAGCACACATCCTGGTGTAATCCAATATGAATTACGGTTCGTCTTTACGTTAAATATGAAACGGTGTTTGCCAGATTGAAAATAGTTCCCTTTCGTACCCCATTAGCACGACTAAGATGCCTGCATTGACGGATATATTGTTTTATGGGCAGTGGCCACATTCACTTTTAAATATAGGTGGAAACTTCATTTCTTTCAAGCTGCTTTTTGTGCTTCAGTTTGTCGTCCTTCCCCGATGAGCACGGTTGGCAATGTAGGGTGCGAAAGAAGTTCAACGCACGGACATTAGAGTCCTTATGTGGCCAGGGACCGAGTTAAATTAAGTCGTGGGTCATGTCCCACCCACAGGCCATTGGCTCCAACAACTCTCGACTCACGGTCCTGCCGAGGTCCTCGCACAGCTGCCGCACGTGGCCTTCGTCCAGCATGGTCGGCGACGAGCGGCGAGGTTCAGCGACGACGAACTTGCGACTCGGCGAGGAGGGCAGCTGGGCAGGGGTTCATCGGTCTGGCTGTACCTGCACGGCGATGAGATTGAATGCCCGTTCCAGGGGGTGATGCGAGGACACACTCATGGTGCTGGTACACGAGGTGTACACGTTGTTAAATAAGCTCCACTCACGGCAGTACAAGAAGTATCAATCAACAACACAAGATACAATACACACTCGTGTAACAAGACTCGGCTCACAGGGCAGGCCACTGTGGCACTCACCACAGACGACAGCTGAGCAGGACGCACGACTCTACCAACACTCACCACTGGTACAATACTCCTCACCACTGGTACACCACTCTCACATCACTGGCGGTACAGGGCAAGCCAGGAACAGCACGTAGGACATCTCACACCACTCACCAGTGTCACCTCACTACACTCACCAGTGTCACCTCACTACACTCACCAGTGTCATCTCACTACACTCACCAGTGTCACCTCACTACACTCACCAGTGTCATCTCACCACACTCACCAGTGTGATCTCACTACACTCACCAGTGTGATCTCACTACACTCACCAGTGTGATCTCACCACACTCACCAGTGTCACCTCACCACACTCACCAGTGTCACCTCACTACACTCACCAGTGTCACCTCACTACACTCACCAGTGTCACCTCACTACACTCACCAGTGACACCTTACTACACTCACCAGTGTCATCTCACTAGACTCACCAGTGTCACCTCACTAGACTCACCAGTGTCACCTCACTACACTCACCAGTGTCATCTCACTACACTCACCAGTGTCACCTCACTACACTCACCAGTGTTACCTCACTACACTCACCAGTGTAATATAACGACACTCACCAGTGTAATATAACGACACTCACCAGTGTAATATAACAACACTCACCAGTGTAATATAACAACTCACCAGTGTAATATAACGACACTAACATTTGACGACACTCACCACGGCGGGGAGCAAGCGACAGGCGGGCGCCGTGGTGGTTGCCATGGCGCTCGCTTCACCCTCAACGCCGCCGCCGCCGCCGCTTGGCGCCACGAACCGCGGCAGGAAACCCCCTGGGGGAGCGCTGTCCCACGTCGCCTCACGGGCACAAACTCCACACAACGCGGGGCCCAGCTCTCGGCTCGCCTCGCCGTGTTTCCCCTCAGAAACGAAGTAACGAAGGGGGTCGAGTGAACGTGAGCCGCCACCACCCCTCCAACGCGAAAGCCGCGGGAGGCGAGGGACAACTTCGACCATTGACCAGGGCGGGGCGCCATGACGCCCTCGCTGCTGCTGCTGTGGGGGCAGCAGTGGCGCACAACCACCACCAACAACAACAGTGGCGCACAACCACCAACAACAACAACTGGCACACAACCACCACCAACAACAGTGGCGCACAACCACCAACAACAGTGGCGCACAACCACCAACAACAACAGTGGCGCACAACCACCAACAACAACAACTGGCGCACAACCACCAACAACTGGTGCACAACCACCACCAACAACAGTGGCGCACAACCACCAACAACAACAGTGGCGCACAACAACCATCAACTGGCGCACAACCACCAACAACAACTGGCGCACAACCACCAACAACAGTGGCGCACAACCACCAACAACTGGCGCACAACCACCAACAACAGTGGCGCACAACCACCAACAACTGGCGCACAACCACCAACAACTGGCGCACAACCACCAACAACAAGTGGCGCACAACCACCAACAACAGTGGCGCACAACCACCAACAACAACTGGCGCACAACCACCAACAACAACAGTGGCGCACAACCACCAACAACAACAGTGGCGCACAACCACCAACAACTGGCGCACAATCACCAACAACAACAGTGGCGCACAACAACCATCAACTGGCGCACAACCACCACCAACAACTGGCGCACAACCACCAACAACAGTGGCGCACAACCACCAACAACTGGCGCACAACCACCAACAACAGTGGCGCACAACCACCAACAACTGGCGCACAACCACCAACAACAGTGGCGCACAACCACCAACAACTGGCGCACAACCACCAACAACAGTGGCGCACAACCACCAACAACTGGCGCACAACCACCAACAACTGGCGCACAACCACCAACTGGCGCACAACCACCAACAACAACAGTGGCGCACAACCACCACCAACAACTGGCGCACAACCACCACCAACAACAGTGGCGCACAACCACCAACAACTGGCGCACAACCACCAACAACAGTGGCGCACAACCACCAACAACTGGCGCACAACCACCAACAACTGGCGCCAACCACCAACTGGCGCACAACCACCAACAACAGTGGCGCACAACCACCAACTGGCGCACAACCACCAACAACAGTGGCGCACAACCACCAACTGGCGCACAACCACCAACAACTGGCGCACAACCACTAACAACAACAGTGGTGCACAACCACCAACAACAGTGGCGCACAACCACCAACAACTGGCGCACAACCACCAACAACAAGTGGCGCACAACCACCAACAACAACAGTGGCACACAACCACCAACAACTGGCGCACAACCACCAACAACAACAGTGGCGCACAACCACCAACAACAGTGGCGCACAACCACCAACAACAACAGTGGCGCACAACCACCAACAACAACAGTGGCGCACAACCACCAACAACAACAGTGGCGCACAACCACCAACAACAACAGTGGCGCACAACCACCAACAACAAGTGGCGCACAACCACCAACAACAACAGTGGTGCACAACCACCACCAACAACAGTGGCGCACAACCACCAACAACAAGTGGCGCACAACCACCAACAACAACAGTGGCGCACAACCACCAACAACAACAGTGGCGCACAACCACCAACAACTGGCGCACAACCACCAACAACAACAGTGGCGCACAACCACCAACAACAACAGTGGCGCACAACCACCAACAACAACAGTGGCGCACAACCACCAACAACAGTGGCGCACAACTACCAACAACAGTGGCGCACAACCACCAACAACTGGCGCACAACCACCAACAACAGTGGCGCACAACCACCAACAACTGGCGCACAACCACCACCAACAACTGGCGCACAACCACCACCAACAGTGGCGCACAACCACCAACAACAACTGGCGCACAACCACCAACAACAACAGTGGCGCACAACCACCAACAACAACAGTGGTGCACAACCACCAACAACTGGCGCACAACCACCAACAACAGTGGCGCACAACCACCAACAACTGGCGCACAACCAACAACAGTGGCGCACAACCACCAACAACTGGCGCACAACCACCAACAACAGTGGCGCACAACCACCAACAACTGGCGCACAACCACCAACAACTGGCGCACAACCACCAACTGGCGCACAACCACCAACAACAACAGTGGCGCACAACCACCACCAACAACTGGCGCACAACCACCACCAACAACAGTGGCGCACAACCACCAACAACTGGCGCACAACCACCAACAACAGTGGCGCACAACCACCAACAACTGGCGCACAACCACCAACAACTGGCGCCAACCACCAACTGGCGCACAACCACCAACAACAACAGTGGGGCACAACCACCACCAACAACTGGCGCACAACCACCACCAACAACAGTGGCGCACAACCACCAACTGGCGCACAACCACCAACAACAGTGGCGCACAACCACCAACTGGCGCACAACCACCAACAACTGGCGCACAACCACCAACAACAACAGTGGTGCACAACCACCAACAAGTGGCGCACAACCACCAACAAGTGGCGCACAACCACCAACAACAACAGTGACACACAACCACCAACAACTGGCGCACAACCACCAACAACAACAGTGGCGCACAACCACCAACAACAACAGTGGCGCACAACCACCAACAACAACAGTGGCGCACAACCACCAACAACAACAGTGGCGCACAACCACCAACAACAACAGTGGCGCACAACCACCAACAACAACAGTGGCGCACAACCACCAACAACAACAGTGGCGCACAACCACCAACAACAACAGTGGCGCACAACCACCAACAACTGGCGCACAACCACCAACAACAACAGTGGCACACAACCACCAACAACAACAGTGGCGCACAACCACCAACAACAACAGTGGCGCACAACCACCAACAACAGTGGCGCACAACTACCAACAACAGTGGCGCACAACCTCCAACAACTGGCGCACAACCTCCAACAACAGTGGCGCACAACCACCAACAACAACTTAACGCGCTCCGTGTCAATGACGCGGTGGTCGTCAAAGGAAACAAAATAAACATAGGTGACGTTTCGAGCATTGCCCCTTGGTTCTGATATACAGGGCCATTATCCGGAACGTTTGCTCTGACAGCATATTTTTTTACTGTAAAGCCCATCATTTTTTTGACGAACGTTCCCGTTTTTTTGTAATTATCAGCAGCCGTACGAATTCTGTAACAATCATGGTTTCATCAGTTCCGCAACATGTTCAAGCAAAGCCCGACGCTGCTTCCGATTCTGAGGCACAGAATGTCAAAACGGGCCCAGAGTTGTGCTTGCATTGAACCAATGCTGCTAAAAGTAAACACTCCACAACGGCCACGTGGCTCATGGGAATGTGTCGAAATGAATGGAAAGGTCCCGAAAACGCAGAGCAAGGAGCTTCTGGTGGTTCGAGTTCCTGGGAGTTTAGGTCTTCGCTCAGGAGTCTGCACAGCCACAATGGCATAGCCGAGGGCTAACACTCATGGGAGTTCATTGCAGGGCGGTGGTCAAATTTGATAGCTAGCCTCTGGAGAGTGCCCCCAGTGAGGGTATTTCAGGGATTGCTTATAGGTGGGGCTTACCCTGCCACATTTACATCCCACTGCTGGATGAGGAACTTCCCACTCCTTGTTCAGCGGGGGTTTGACCATACTTCACCAGGCTAATTAATGTGAAGGCAGGGAGTGCATGTCGAAGCACAGGCCGGCGCATTTTTCTGCACCGCTCTTTTCCAAGCACGGAGCCGTGCAGTTGCCTGCAACGCCAGTTTTATGCACGGTGGCCGCCCACCATCCAAGATCTATCTGGGCTCAGGGATGCCTCGCTTTTGAGGTGTGACGAGATCCGGCACACTCTGGGCGATTTGGGCACGGGATGGACACGGATAGAAATGTACACTGCTCGCACCAGCACACTGATCCACCTGCAGGCCAGGTCGGATATCACTCCACTTCTCACTTGTGCCTGGACGCCATGTCCCATTTTAATAGAAAGTGCACACAATCAGTGAAAAGGTGAAGGATTTAAATGTTTATTACGAAGCGAATACTTACATTTGCTGTATACAAAACGAGTTTTTTTGCAAGCGAAAAAAGTTAATTCCCCTAAGCGGTGAGCTCTAAGCACAGACGTCACAGCGAAGACACCGACAATGCTCCATGTGTCCGTCTTGAAGTCCCAACCATCGGCCTCCAAAAGTTGGTGCAATGTATTGTCTCTCGGATAATAACTTACCGCTATGTTTCACACAAAACAAAAAAAAACAGTTCGACCGTAACTAATGGAAACATAAAAAATCGTTCTTCACAGTGGAAATTCACCAGGAATGAAAACCAATTTACTTAACACGCGGTAAAATCTGGCAGTGTAAACAGGCCGTCCCGTGGTAAATTCAAGTCCAACCGTGATCCTGTTTAACCCAAAAAAGGCCAAGCCACCTCAGAGTTTCTTTACCCAACCCAGACTGATGGCAGCACGTGGGGTGGGATCTGTGTGTCGTTTGGCCTGCTCCCCGAAATCTTCTCCATCTTCCTTCATCACCTCCCTCCTGCTCCTTCCATTCATGCCAGCGCAAATTCAGGAGAGGTGCCAGCGGGTGTGGCGGGGTTGACTGGTGGCTCCTCCGTCGGCAGCAGGGAAGGCTTATCGAGTGAAGGAGCGAATGTGTCTGCCTCCGCCACCTCCCCGTCCCACAAACTTGCCACGCAGGTTGTTGCCACCGCCGCCGCCGCCGCTGCCGCCGCCGCCGCCACCACCACCGCCGCCGCCGCCCCACGGCACCACGCCCAGATTACCACGACCCCGTGGGGCCCGGTCACGTGGAGCCGGCCGGTAGCCTGCACGCCGGGGGCACGGGGCACAGGCAGGATGATGAACACGGGATGCGGACATAAGGACACAGACATAAGTAGAGACGTGGGAACAAGGGCATGTTTTGAAAGACATGGGGACCAGACATGGGTAGAGTTAAGAGACAAGAAGAGCTAAATAAATTAAAGACACCTTTAGATCCGTATTGCAATTTTGCGTTGACAACGGTGGTTACAACTCTTAAGTCTATAAGCTAGGGTGCTTCAATACATGAAATGCGACCGAAAAACCATTACACCACACAAGAGTGGGGAGAAGACCGAGTGGCTAGTAGACTCTGTACCGGTGGGAGGCGTCCTGACAGGCGGCGTTCGGGGGAAGCCACCCTGCACCCCCCGCGTGTCCGCGTAGCCCCCTCGCGGGAGCGCCTGCGACACCCAGCTGGAGCCACGGCCGCCCTCTCGCCGCCCGTACGTCCCTGGGAAGTGACGCAGCACACACGGGCGAAGCTTTACACAACCATAAGGAACACGCTGTGACCGTGTCACCAGCTGTATCACCAGCCGTGTCACCGGTCGGGTCACCGGTCGGGTCACAAGCAGTGTCACTAGCCGTGACCTGTATCACAGCAGTGTCACAGCAGTGTCACGAGCAGAGCTACTAGCAGTCACGAGCAGAATCACTCGCGTCACCAGCCGTGCGTCACGATGGCCGACCTTTGTTGATGGGAGGGTTGAAGAAGCGGCCTGGCTGGTGGAAGCTGCTGCCCCGGCCACCCCCCCTGCCCCCGGAGAAGCTGCCGCGCAGAGGCCCCTTGGGCATCCCCTTGGGTAGTCGCTTCACCATGGGCGGCGTGGGCAGGATACCCACGGGCGAGCCCACGGCCACAAAGTCGTCCACGTGCATGGACGGCGGGCGGCTCGTGTTCTGCTTGCGCAGCCGGAAAATGTCGTTCATGCGGCCAAGGCCGGAGAACGATCCACGCCCACGGCCACGTGGCGCCGCTGACATGTGGGCCCTCTTGGCCGGCTCCAGGTAGTCGGACTTCCCACTGCCAACGCACGCAAGCACAATTGTTACAACGGTTGCACTCGCGCTTAATTCTTACCGAGCAACGAGGTGGAGCATTGGTGCCGCGGTTAGCACTAGATATTATGAATCCGGCGGCCAGAGTTAAATTCCTGGCCGTGGCTAGCATCAGCGGCAAAGGATGTCCGAACCGGTCCTGGGTGCCCCCTTCACAAACCCGCACTGACTAGGGTGGTGAAGTATGGTCAAACAATCACCGTTACTGACACAGCGTGGGGAGGCCTATATCTAGCAGTGGCTTGACTAAAGGAATGTAAATTATTATTATTGATATTGAATTTTGATCATTCGAGGCAGATTTATATCTCAATTAATAGCCGCAATACATCGCCTGGGCAGTCAGATCTACTGGGCAGTGATGATGGAGACATTGGCCTATTTTTGCAAAGATCACACAAAAGGGAACGTTTGCAACGTGTCAGTCTGACCCTTAACGTGCATACACTTACGTTGAAAGGGAGTGCCTATCAATTACTGGTAAAGTGTTTGCACAAAAGCCACAACACGAGCATGAGCATCGTGCAAGTATTTTTCACACCGCCCGCAGTAATTGACATTATTGCAAACTGTGAATGCTGTCAAGAATATACAGGTGGGGAAACTACCGCGTAGGTTTTCGCGCCTGTGCGTTTTCAGGTTCGCCGCATGTTGTTTGGCATGATGTCCGACACGTCGCTTCACGTGCTGGGGAGTTTCTTCAACCGAACATATACTTCACTTTCTGAAGAAGCTATGACAAGCACGTGCAGCAAAACGTCGGACATCATGCTAAATGCGTGGTACGCCCAGAAAACACTTTGGAGATCCACACGGACGTGGGAATCATGGACGGTATGTCAGCGTGCGCCCTGCTGGCATGCCGCGCCTCTCCTTAGCGCTGGTGAAGAGGAAGCATCCTGTTGACCTGGCGATCCGACGTGGCACACGAGGGGCGACGACACTAAGCCTCAGCTAAGGCTCGCTACCCGCCAGCGTTGGAGGTTGAATTTTTTGTATAAACATAATCTGGCCGGAAGCGTTTTGACTTCATGAGCATATTTGACTCCCAAGCTATTCTCACGCGAGTTATTTAAAGATGACCTTTTCGTGCTGTCACATCTGGGACATAAATCACTGACTCAGGACAACCTGTTCATCAGGATTCCAACTTGAGCCGCAAAAAGGCTCCGAGATATTAACTCTTGATCGATAACTTTGTGAACTCTGCCCTCAAATAGAACACAGTGTCGACATGCCATACATAGCAGATCCTTTGCGAGTCTGTGGGTCCCTGTATCAGTCTGTGGGTCCCTGTATCCGTCTGTGGGTCTCTGTGCGAGTCTGTGGGTCCCTGTATCAGTCTGTGGGTCCCTGTGCGAGTCTGTGGGTCCCTGTATCAGTCTGTGGGTCCCTGTGCGAGTCTGTGGGTCCCTGTATCAGTCTGTGGGTCCCTGTATCAGTCTGTGGGTCCCTGTGCGAGTCTGTGGGTCCCTGTATCAGTCTGTGGTCCCTGTGCGAGTCTGTGGGTCCCTGTATCAGTCTGTGGTCCCTGTGCGAGTCTGTGGGTCCCTGTATCAGTCTGTGGGTCCCTGTATCAGTCTGTGGGTCCCTGTATCAGTCTGTGGGTCCCTGTGCGAGTCTGTGGGTCTGTGTGTCCACTGCAAATGTTCTCCGAGGGCACCGAAGGTAACCACACCCGTTGTCCTCTGAAGCCAGCGGCTGAATTTACAACCTAGACATCGATACTGAGTTGCTACTCAATTCACATCCATATGAAAGAGAGATCACACTCGGAGCCAGCCGGGCAGAGGAAGGGGTTAGCCACGGCATTGTACCTGGAGGTGATGAACGTCTCGTGTTTGCGCTTGCCAAGCTTGGCGGCGCTCTTGGTGGCGCGGCTGGCGCCCCCCGGGGAGGAGGGCTCACGCAGCAGCGCTGTCTCCAGCTCCTCGCGCAGGTCCCAGTTGTTGCACGTCTTCTCTGCCAGCTCTAGGAGATCAACACGCACCTGCACAGCACCGGCAAGACAAAGATTCCCCATATAGCCTTAACAAGTTTTGGGGCGAGTACTGTTCGCGAGCACCTATGAACGCCAGCAAAGCACACAAGGGAGGTGGGGTGGTCAGCACCACGCCCGGCCGCCTTTGTCTCCCCAGTGGTGAGGTTTACACACGCCATTGTTATTGGTCACGAGCGGGATTGGAACTCGGGTAGCCGGGTTCGTAGCGCAGCACGCTAACTGCTACACTGCCGCTCCCCACAGCGCCAGCACTCTCACACACAGACACACATGGGCACGAGGGAGTGCCGTCACACGGATGCTACCATCTCTAGCCCCACCTAAAATAAACTATAAACTCAACAATTTTTTATTTTACCAGGTAAGGCTCGCTGAGCTATACAGCTCTTTAACAGAAGCGACCTGGCCACAAATGATAGTTCAATGAAGTGGCTTATCATGTGGACATTTATAGCAGCCAAATGCTCTAAACGCATATTTCTAAATGTGGGAGGGAAAAACCGGAGGACCCGGAGAAAAATCCACGCGGCCACACGGAGAACATGCAAACTCCAAATATACAGCAAGTGTCAGGGTCGAGATCGAACCCACGACCTCCTCCATACCAGGCTAGGTAGTTAACATCTCCTAGCCTCCGCGTTTTCCTGGTTCTCAGAGCAGGTGCTGCTGCGTACAGCACTGAAAAGTGCCGAAGCTGAACTTGGTTTACGTTCTTCATTGTAAACTTGACTTGCACCCCATTGTTAGCCAATTTCTGTACGAAGGCATCCCCGAGGCTGTGCCATTCTGGAGAGATGTTTGACCATAAAAAAATTACTCACCTGGTCATTGCCAGTTGGCGAAGTGGAAGGAGGGCAAGGACCGGCTCAGGTATCACTGTTGTTAGCCTTGGCTGTGAATCTAACTCAGGTCGCCAGGTGCATCGCTTAGCGTGATCCAATGCACCACCTCTCCTCCCCCCCCCAATTCTACATTATAAGAAATATTATTTGTGCAAGTGAGCCTGTCAGACTCGGTACATACGCAAGACAGTTTTGTTGCAGAGTCAACTGCACATTCAGACCGCAAAGAACCAAGGACATTAGTACTGACGATGAGAAATGTACCATCTGTGACATTTGACCGTGGAAAAACAATCCACAAACTAAGAATTTCACCACGTGAATCTTATTGGAGTCTTGAAATTTCCAAATATTCTTCCTATATGCATTGTATTTTACCGAGCTTGGAATAGTTGAGAAAATAATACTATCCAGGTTAATAATACTAAGTCACCCCGTCCCCATCCCCAGCTCCCACCTTGGTTAAGAAAATATACACGCTACACACCGTAACAAGCCCTGGCTAGGGTCGGCAGACCACCCAGAGGGCGCAATCCCTGACAGGTAAGCCTTGCTCGTACGTTCATGTGCCCTCCGTCACGTCCGTTGATATCGGTTCAATAAAAACAAAATGTAATACAAAGCACATGCTGCTGCGTACTAAGATTAAATGTGCAATACTTGCCCATGTATTGCAAGCATGCTCAGCCAATAATCCTTTTCAAAACGTAACAAGAGAAGATTATTAAGAATAATTGCGCTCTCAGGCTGACATGATGGAGAGGTTCGCTCACACCTCCGAATGTCAGGTTAGATTCGCCCATTTTCGCCATCCCTCCAGAGTTTTGCTGAGCGTGCCCTGGCAATGCAAGGCGCACTCGCCGGAGGTGAGCGTAAGCATGCGTCACCAACCGCACGGCAGGACTGGCGAGTTGGCAGTAGGACTGAACACCGTGGATTTAAGTAAAGCCTAGGGTGACAGCTACAATCGGCGTACGTTCCAACCCCTGCATGCAAACGAGCCAACCGGACAAGGTTCTCATGAGACTGGAGTGAGGGCGGCTCTGTGCCCCGAGGCCCGTAAGGGTGGCGTCAGCAGAAAGCAATGACGGCAACGAGGAGCACAAAAAACATTGAAATTACAATTTACCGCAGTCATGTCACGGACAGCACGTCCTCGCTCAAGCGTTTTCGCTGTAACGTGGTTCCTTCTGCGAGGGAACACTTCGCACAAAGTGGAACGCGTACCGTTACCACGCGGTTTCCGAGCGGTCGACGACGAACTACTTTATTGAGCTGCGCGGCGGAGCGGTAAGGGAATTCTGGGTATCCACGCAGAACGATACGGCACACTGCATCCCCTACGCATTTGACTCCCCCAAATTCTTTCACCACTGGCCCTCCCCACCTCTTACATTATATTACGTCTTATGGGCAAATTGTTTTTGCTTAATGCGGAACTTTTCAGGAACACATCTATCATGTTAAACGCAAAAGTAACGTCGATACAAACGACAAGGTACGTTGAAGTGCGAGATTTAGGTCCCAATTATAAATGTAATGAAATTACATGTTTAAATTACATGCAAGTTAGTTACAAAGGGAGCTTTTCTGACTTTATATTAAGCACGAGCAGAATGTTGGATGGGAAATGAGCAGAGCTAAGCATCGACGCAATCCGACATTCAGACACACGGGAATTGCTGCGCACCCAATCACCAGTGTACCAACAGATGTAGCATTGATGTCGTTGAAGATAATATTTGTTATTAGATTAAGGGATTACAATGGCCGAGCTTAAGTGCCGCCTTGTGTGCAGCAGAGGGCGACACAGCAACATCTATTTCAGAATTGCAATTGTACATTCCCATGCACAAGGCTTGTTGCCTTCACTAACCCGCACTAACCACCGTGGTGACATACGGTCAATAACCCCTACGACCTGCATTGTACGGCCAAGCCCTCATCCCAAAGTTGATAGATAAAGGGCTGCACGTGTTTATCATCAACATATCGTTGGCTAAGACAGCAGACAATGGTTCCTCTGCAGAGTAGAGAACCAGGGTAGATGGCCTGAATTCTTAGGTGCTACTCAACTTTAGGCAGAGCCATGATACCGACTAGGGTCGTTCAACAGAGGCAGTTAATTTATTATGCATATAAAATCTAGCACCTGAACAAACTGTCCAATAAAAAACTTAAAGTTTGTGAAACCGTGGAATTCCACAGTACTTCCTCAGATTTCTGTTGCCCTACCTGGCGGCCCAGGTAACCAGCACACCCCTCCGCCCCTCCCTTCCTCCTGTTGCACGGCGGTGACCTGTGACCCCCCCGCCCCGGGGAAGATGGAGTGGGGGTGGGGGCGGGTGTCGCCGTGCCGTGGCAGCCGCTGATTACCGCTCTGGGCGAGCGAGTCACGCGCGCAGCCAGCCTACTGGCGTTCAACACGTCCTCACTCCGTTTCCTCATGTGCATCGCGATGGCGGTTTTCTTTCTTTTGGAAGCTGCTGTCTTTTTTCCAAGTCAATGTAAAAAAATTAATCAATTCACCCGGAATACGACCGATCTCAAATCGGATCTAGAAAGTACATGAGCAAAAGCGTCCACCATCTGTATTCGCGACTCGCTGCTCGCAAATGGCGTAAATTACAGCCCCGGTGCCCGGGTTTAATCTGTGAGAGGGTGCGGTTCATTCCCAGGGACTCATCTTTGACTCCGGGCCCGTGGGCAGGCGCAGCATGAGCTCATCGCGACGTTCACGAGACGTCCTAGCACACGTGTGCACTCGCACACTCACAAGCGCCGCACGCTCCATTAACGTGGGTTTAGGATGCTCGCCGTACTTTGCTGAAGGTTTGCCGTGGTTTGGATATGGGTGGGGACGACAGGCTTTGCTTTGATACAATGACATTGAGAACAGAATCTACCATTCAATTAGACGCATAAAAGAGTGTAAGTGCGAGTTTATCTCCGGATGATGTGCAACACGGAGAGAAATGTTTTGGGTGGGAGAGGAGTTCTACATGAGCGCTGTGATGGTGTATAGCAGATGCATTATGGGTATGTCCTGGATGGTTTACGTTAAGGTACAATTATGTTCATAAGTTTGTGCTTGGATGGGTGACCAGAACGCACACGCAAGCGTTCATGGGGCTGTAGGGTTAAGCAGTGAGCAGCAGAGGGCAGAGCAGTAAAATCCATTCTTCTGTACCTCTACGCTTCCGTGCCTATGCTCGCTGCCTTCAACAACCTACGATGGCCAGCGTGGTGCAGTACGATCAAATAAACTCCAAGACCTACATAGTGTGGGAAGGCATCCATCCAGCAGTCGATCGATAATGGCTCTAAGTTTTAGTTCTAAGTTTAATAAACTAAATAGAGTGGGGTTATTTCCCTTCCTGTTGTTAGGTGATGGCTTTGCCTGGCTCCACCACCAAGGCAGACTTTTCACGGAAGTAGCTACTCCCAAAGGCCAGGGCACCACATCACGCCATAGCTTTAATAAATATCTAAAATAAAATCCTTTAAAAAAACAAGAGATATGTCAATGTTAAGAAGCCAACGCCCCCACACACACGTCAATCCGACCTCGGTGACTGAGGGCGTCTTGCACAAACAAGGATGTGCCACGGTTATGAACACGCCAGCTACGAATCACTCTGACGCACCGCCACGATCACGTGCCCCTCGAGTCGGGGTGCCGTGACCCCCAACCGACGCGGGGGCGACACGGCAAGCACGGCGACGCACAAGATGCGTCGCCCCTCTTCTGCAAAGCCTCGGCTTAGGCCGGCGCTGGAACCGATGATAGAACGTACGAATGCTCTCAAGCGAGCCCCGCCGTGTCCCCTGTGACGAGACTCGCTGCACGCATCTCCGCCGCCGCCCCACCCCCCGTAGGGCGAGGGGGCGGCTTTACTCCATAGGGCAGCTCCCTCTTTGGAGTTGCGGCTTAAAGTTGGTCGTATTTTGTTTTCACTGTCGCTACAAGTACACCTTGTCACAATGGTGCATTCCTGCCGAAACATCTCCAGAAGTCACGGCCATTGTAATTCGCGGGTATCTGTTACACGTGGCGGACGGAATGCGTCGGGGGAGGGGGGGGCGGGTTCCACAGGGGAAGGGGGTGCGGGGCAGGGTGGATGGGGACGCCCGGCCAAACCGGCTCGCCTTAATCTGGCGGCGAGAGGGCGGCTCGCGGCCTACTTGCCAGGCGGCGAAAGCCGTCACCATTACCGTGTGAGCACGCCCAGGGACATTTAAACGTTTACGTGATTTTTGGGTCTGCACGTTGGAAAAGTTTGAGAATATGAAGTTGTGCACCTCACACCTGCAGCATAGTTTAATATAAAAAAATGTATGACACCAATAACAACGTACTTAAATTATCATGAAAGTCACCCAAGACTTTCTTTTAAGTGAGTACTGGCTGGAACGTTTGGCTACTTCCTTGTGTGCAGTGTTAAGCGTACCATAAGTTAACTGGAGTAGAAGGATATAACCCTCTAAATTCAGCAGCCTATTTGCTGTACTACCATCGACGTCGATGCAGCAGGTTGTCTCAAGACCTGACACGGATCAGCCTTCGAACAAGTGAATGGGTGAGCTGAACAAAGTGTTCATGCCACTCGCTGTAGCCATGGAGTCTGGAGATCACCTCTGCGGTGCTTCCGTGTTCACGTAGGCCAGAGAGGTCATTGCCCCTGGCCGATGGACGTCTTGGGTGTTGGGGCCCTTGCATGGCAACGGTGTCAAAATAAATAAAATCTCCCAACGTGTGCACAAAGGCCCTCCCCCCCCCCCCTTACCATGTCCATCTCCAGGTCCATGTCCTCCACTTGCGAGGAGGAGAGGAAAGGCGACGAGGTGAATCGTTCGTCCGGAGATTCCGTCAGCACAAATACGGTCCTGCGGGGGCAGGGGGGGAAGGGGGCGTCGGGGCAGAGGTTAAAGGATAACAGCGGCCAGAGACAACACCATCCAGGCCAGCCCCACTCCCCTCGATCCCCGTTAATACCACGAGACAGAGTGCTGACACCACTAAAAAGAGTGTGCAGTGACGCAGAAGCTCAGACACCACTCACTGGTCGTGTTTACACAGCACTTCGCTCGATCGCGGCGAGTTCTGCGTGTTACCGATCTTCCATTAGTGTCACCGATCAATTAAACAAATTTGAAACACCCGAAACGACGTCACAAAAATCTCACAGCTTCGCGCGCTGCAAACGCGAAGGATGCTTCACGTGTTTCTCGGGCACCTCGAGGCGCGCCGCGTCCTGCATAAAAATGGCAAAATTCCAATTGGCCGGAGCGGTGTCACCTGGGGGAGAAGGCGTCAGCAACTGCCGAAAAAGAGCTGCAGGTGCGTATAATTAAAGGCCACGTGTCTGCGAGGTAGTCCCAGGGGTGTTACCTTGTCCAAAACAAGACATCAATCTTGCAGAAGTGAAACAATTGCTCAAGCCGCACTTGGCTCGGTGGGGCCAAGCGGGACAGCACAGTGCGCAGGCCAGTCGCGAAACTCGTCGCGTCAAGGAAACAGACGATCGTCTCAATGAGTCTTGAGACTCTCATGGTTGCTCTCCTCCCTCCCTATCGCATTATGCTCCCCTTCCAAGTACTTTACTTCTCATTCCATTCCCCTCTATGCACTCCGATTAGCACGGTTGGCTACGTAAGGTCCGAAAGAAGCTCAACACAGAGACACTACCTCTGCTTGTTCATCTCACTCTACTCCTTTAGATGCAACCTTGAACCCAGCGACCAAGGCTTTCTGCTGAGATCGGCAGTCACCTTTCACTTAAGAGGGAGGTCGCTCATTCTCCTCTGCTGCCCCAAATTGTCCAGAACTTAATCTCCCCCAGCCTTCCGTGGTGTCGACTCCCTGCCCCTGTTCAAGTCCACGCTTAACATCTCGATGTTTACCATCGATTGCCTGTTTCTCTCTAGAATACAAGCATGCCCACCTGATTCTTCAAAGCGTCTTGAAATGCGGCAAAACTTAAGATGCTATACACATCCAAAATGTACTGTATGAAGATGATCACAACTAACATTAAGTTCTCTGTTTCAGCAAGAAGAACTTCACCGAGTCTCAATAGCAATCTTTTCCAGGACGGTCACGTAATAAGAAGTCTTTGGCCAGCGGCAAGAGCTTAGGGCAGCCATCACTCGGCAGCAGGAGGCCGATCACGGCCAATGACGTTTTGCATTTGGGGGGGTAAATACAAACGCGAGCGCGCAGAGAAAGCCCCTGCATGCGTGCGGGGGGACGGCGGGCGGGGGTGACGACACGGACCTGGAGGTGAACATCTGCTGCAGGCTCTCGGGCGGAGGCAGCGTGGGCTCCGGCGGCACGTCGGAGTCCGCCGGCGGCAGCGGCAGGGCCCCGGCGGGCGAGTCGAGGGTGCGGCGCAGCGCCGACATCCCCTCCAGCAGCCCCTCCAGCAGCCCCTCCTCCTCCTTGCCCTGGTCCTGCGCCCCGAGCACACGCACGGCCACCACCGCCGAGTGTCGGCGTCGACGCTACGCAACCTGGCTGCGCGCGCCACTGAATCGTTGCGCAATTGGTTGCGTACAAACTCTACTCTGAAGCAACCCATTCTGCGATTTGCAATTACGATTTAGACAACATCGCCGGACACATTTGCGCAACAGTGACTGCTGCCGATGCCTCCCCCCCCACCCCCCCGTATCCTACTTGGCAAGTTCCTCGTTGTGCAACAACTTGCTCAGGTGCGCACGGTGCGCCAGCTTTACCGCCGAACGGAGAATTGTCAGAGGCCCGCGTGCAACTAGGAAGCACGACGGAACCTGAAAAGCAGACGAGAATTGCCGTGGCTTTTTTGGAACGGGTCTTCCTTCAAACAAGACCCCACGCAGCCAGCGAGACGGCCGATCTCTCATGGTTTGGGTGCATTTCGAAGCATATTCTAGTAAAAAAAATAAGGAAGCAAGAAGCTTTGTATGATGCATGCAAATGTTAGAAACAAACATTCTGATTGATCCCTATAAATTGACTGCGACATTTAAACAAACATGTTATTTACATATTCTTTGGTTCTAAGTTAATTTACATTTATGTGCAGCGTGAAACATGGGCAGGCAAAGCAGCCAACACAGATTTGTTCAGAACGAGGCAAAGACGCTGTGTGCAGCAACCGTTGCCGCTGGCGATTCCCAGCGACGATGGTAATGGATATAAAACTCGTGAGCACTGGTAGGTCACGTGACATGACGTTATGCTATCCTAGCGTCACAGACGTAATGACGTCACCTGAAGTCATGCCATCTGTACATGTGAAGATTAATCTGTAACTCAAATCTATTTCTCTTTCACCTCAACAATCCTCATCTCTTCTTTGGTTCTTTCGGTAAAGTCACGTAGAAGGAGAATAAATTAATAAATGATTATTTCTACGTGACTTTACCGAAAGAACCAAAGAAGATGAATCCTTGCAGTCACGAAAGCTTTAAATCGAAATCCTCATCTCTGGTCAGTAGATCTCTCATCTCTATCTCATGTTTTGCGCTGTCACCTCACAAATCTAGCTCTTTACTTCCAGACCTCTAAACTCTACCCCTTGTTAATCTGTATCATCACACGGATCTGTTTGTCTTATCTACAGTTCTCATTTGTCGTATTTTAATCTCAAGACGCTTGCCTGAAAATATGTCTATCCCTCGTTAACATTTCATCTTAACAATCTAACTATTTATAACTTAGGCAGCCACATCCCTTGGCGGTACATAGCTCATCGGGCCACTCTAAGAGCCCGAACGGGCTACATGTGGTCCTGCTGGCTGCCAGTGAAAGAACCCTGCCCCCCCCCCCCCCCCGCCATGTACCATGGCCTTTACCGTAGTTGCCTTTACCGTGACGAGTTTCTCCAGCTGGACGAGAGGGTGTTCCACCCCGAGCGGCTCCCCCCAGCGGAACTGCTGCCTCGCCTCGGCGACGCTCATCACCCACGCCGCGGCGCCCGCCGTGGTGCCCGCAGCGGCCCCCGCCGTTGCCGTCGCCTCAGCAGAGCTCCCCTCGTGCTCTTCGCCCTCCGCCTCCTCGCCCTCGTGTCCCTGGAGGAAGGACAGGAGGTCGCCCGGCGCCGGGGCGGTCGGGTGAGACTGGCACAGGAGTGGTTCTGATATCTCTTCAGTTTATCGAGTTGTTTATAGCGACGATGATCATTTACGGAATCCATTGTCCATCCCGGAAGTTCCCGAATTGACGAGAGAATCTGATTTGAGGAACGGATGAACGGAATGGGCACACAAGAACGTTGCAACTCGCACACACCAGGGTGTGAATGGAAGCCGAGCACAGGCTCATCCCTGCTTGCTTTGGAGATCTGATGGGACCGGGTGCATTCCGGGCGATTATGGTCAGAGGCCAATCACCTGATTTAAACTTCCAAATGTCATTCATAGGAATTGCTTTGGGGCCATAATCAAGCAAATCGAGTATCGGTCCCACTGAGCCACTGAGCCACCGAGTCACCTCTGGGTGGCACCTCTGCTGGAGCGAGCCACCCCCAAAGGGGCGTGAGGAGCAGCGCCGCACGCAGGCTGCCGGGTGCTCTTACAGGGAGGCAGCTGCAGCTGAGACGGACACATAGCACAATGCCTCTTACACGCAGCGATAAACACACGATTGTCAGCTGAATCCCCACAGCTTAAAATAATAACAATGGTCATTTATATTTGCAGGAGAGTCTCAAAACCAGATCTCAAGATCGTCCTGTATTTGGAATTCTCTGCTATTTTATTTTATTTTTTTTGATTGTGGGAAGAAAGCGGAGTAAAATGTAGAGATGCAGCTCTGATATTGCTTGCTGGCATCACTGCTGGGGGAAGGGCCTCGACTAGAGCAAACTATAGAGGGTATTTGGCCTACTCTTCCACGTTGGAAGGGGTGAGGCGGACCCACAATTTACCCCACCGCACGCGACCTGCCTATCCTAGACTGTGGTGAACCCATTTGTACTGTGGGTGGAGAGGCAGCGGAGGGGATTTCAGAACGTTGCCACCTACGTTACTTCAACTGCCACGCCGGGAGATGGAGAGGAACCGGCAACCGCTGGGTCGCGAGTCCAGTACGCTGACCTGCGACATTACGGCAGATCTTGGAAACCAGAGTACCCAGAGAAAACCCATAAAAACATGGATGACACCCAAAAAACGGTACACACTGAAAGGTTCATAATCCCACTTGCTATACAGCCATTTCCGGCCTTGCATCTCACAACTCGGTGGGATTTTGGGAGTTTCGCAAATCTCTGCACGATCCACCAATGCTTGCGTCCTCCGATTAGCACGGTCGACTGCGTACTGCGCGAAAAAAGTTTAACACACACATACAAAGTGCTGCATCGCAGGGGCACGCATCCCCACCACGCCCAGCTGACAAAAATAAATATCAGACGAGTCGGGTTTATCCGTCAGCGATGCAGAGCGGCCGCAAGCGCTCAGCCAGCAGCACACTTGGGGGATGGCAACGCAAGCCTCGCAAATCCACCCACTCGTGGCCGCACAGCACCAAAATCTGAATCTTTATTTATCCTGGAGAAGTCCGGTGAGCTGGGCACACCAGCAGCTCGCCGAATTATTATTTAGCCACCCGTGCCACGGGCAAGAGTAACGATAATAAGGCATGGCCATGCATCAACAATATGAAGGCTTTCCCAAACGGTGTCATGAAATTGGGTTGTTTGACCAGACTTTACAATGTTGCTCAGTGCGGGTTTGTTCAAGGGAAAGCTTAGGACCGGTTCCGACATCACTCGCCACTGATATTATCCATGGCTGGGAACCAAATTCCGGTCACTGGGTTCGTAGTACAGCACGCTAACTATCGCGCGATCGGTAACGCACATGTATTCCATATGCTGGCAGTGCGAGTGGGTATAATCACAGCATGTCGAGGTACTTCCAAAGTATGTCGATAGGCATATGGCACATGGAGATGCCTGGATTAAATTGACATTTTACAAGTGTACATTTTATTCAGACAGTTTGTGTAGGTATGATCACCACACTACATAGGTATGCTACACCCCTCAGGCTAAGCAGCCGAATGCAGACTTAAAAACTTGAGTAACAACTTAAACAAAAACTGGAGATTCTGCATGAGCGCGCACACACCTACACACGCGCAGACACACACAAGTGAACCCATTTGCAAAGTTCCCCCGCCTACTGTCTTCAACTGTTGGGGCAAGTGCTGTTAGCGAGCACCTCTTAGGGGCGGCACAGAACAAGAAAATAATTTATTTCAAAGTGCTTTTTATGTTTAGTTGGTTGCCCTTCCCCCGCACCTCTGATTAGCACGGTTGGCAACATACCGTGGGAAAGAGGTTCAACATGCATCCATCAAGTTCAACATACAAGGGGATGAGGGTGGGTAGCCACGACCACGCCTGCCCGCCTTGGTCTCACCAGTACTCGTTTAATTAGGGCTGAGTCGACCTAGCGGGGGCACATGATTGGTTAATATAATCGTCACCGATGTTGGCAGTGAGCAGGAATTGAACTCTGCTCACTGGGATCATAGCGCAGCGCACCAACCACTGTACCTCCTACACAACCACACGTACACACACGTGGGCGATAGATGAACTTTTGTCAACACCTGGCGATGCTGGATGCAATCTCCAGTGAAACTTCATTTCAAATTGTCAACACTTTGCTTGCTGTTCAACATGGCTCCTCCGGTTTGCTGAAAAAACAAATTAATAGGAACATTTGACCACGTGGAAACCCGATTTGATTGGCTGTCAGGTGGTGGAGGGTTACAGATTCAAAATAAACGCATAACAGCTACATAATCTAACCCAAGATAAACCAATTATGTGCCGTGGAATTGGCCGTGAAAGTCTACGTGTGAGATTTTCCCACATGCTCACCAAACAAACGCAAAGAAAAAGATTCCCCAGGTTACAACCTTAACAGACTGTTGGGGAAAGGATAATTTTGACATGACTGTCACACGTTGCTGGCCGTTTGACATTTTGGGCCTGTGCTCAGCAATTGTGCTGAGAAAAAGTAATAAATGGAAGTGGGAAAAACACGTCCAAAGTCAAAACCGGCGCAGTGCGTCGGGTCATCGATGTGCGTCGCTCTCCGCTCCCCCCAGGCCGACAGCTCAGCGTTCCCAGCAGTTTCCCCGACGCTTCACGGTAGAAAAATGTCATTACCTTTTGCTTAGTATTATTATTACCGCGCGTAAGCAAAAAGCCTTTTGCAGTCGACCTTTTAACAACGTCAATCAAACAGAGGAGCCGCCGCGAAAATGGACTGCACCAGTGGGGCGGTTCTCGCTTGTCACTGGGGCCAGAGGCGTCCTTTTAGTTACCCTCCACGTGGCTCTTCAATAACGCTGCACGATGAATTAGCGCTCGACGCGCGCGCAGCCCGACGTGGACAACAATGCGCCCTGCCCTGCGGCGATCCAGCCAATCTGTACCGCGCATATAAGTGAAGTGACCCAATCAGCATACTTGCCAACATACAAGCACATGCGAAATTAAGATCCCCCGCGTAGCCTACAAAAACTGTTGGGACAAGTGCTGTTCGTGAGCACCTAAGAAGGCCGCCGTGGCGCACGAGGAGGTGGTGTGCCGGGCGTGGCCAGCACCACGCCTGGCTGCCTTTGTCCCCCCAGTGCCGAAATGTGCAAACCGCACAGCGTGGTGCTCATTTTAAGTTCAGTCGACGTTCAGGATGTGCCCAAGACCGGTTCAGATGTTCAACCACTGACGTTGGCTGCGAGCAGGAATCGAACGCAGATCGCCACGTTCAGAGCGAAACGCACTCACGGCCGCTCCATGGCTCCCCACACGCACGCACAAAGCAGCTCGCACATACGTGGAGGCCTGCATTTTTGTGCGAGTCTGTAAGGGCAAGGCGTACGAAGATCTGGTAAGCTTAACCAACAATTTTTCTTCACCCCCTTTTTAATAACCTCTCTCACAAATCTTCCGCCACACCCCTGGCGCAGGAACACATCACCGACGGACGCATCCATTTACAGCAGCGGGGTTCGACAAAGCCGTGCGCACATTCCACCCCCACCACTGTTTGCAAAACCCATGTCGCTGACCACGCGGACAACCCCACGTCTCCCCAGCACAGGGCGCTACAACGGCTAGGATCAGTCGAGAGCCGAGGGGCTCGCGGCTGTGGGGCGGCGCTCCTTTCATTCGCGACGTCTGAACGTGCGGGGGCGGGGGGGGCGGGAAGACTCGATGCTCGTCTCACAGGAGCCACGTGCGTGCTCCGGGCTCCCGTTTATGAGGCGCTGATCGTGCCCTCGCTGCCCCAACGGTGAAGGGAAAAAGGGTCTTCAAAATATTGGCTTTAGGATAACTGGGTACACCACCCCCCACCCCCTCTGCCTCCAGAACCCCTTTAAAAATAAATACGGAGAGCCAAAGAAAGCGCGAGAGACGCTCCCTTCCCTGCATAGCTTTGGTGAGTAAACGAGGGTGGCCACGGTTTTGCAGACGGATGTGTGTCAGGTGTGTGGCCAAGCCCATGTTTAAACTCTGTCACCTAGTGGTCCTCGATCACCGCTTCCTTCAGAACACAGTGGGTGCACAGGAACGGTGTGGGTTCATTGCTGGATGCAATGGCTCACCGGTGTGAATCCAGTAAATCGCTCAGATTTGTGAAAGTCTCAAATCCGCCAGGCTATGATGTGGCCAGGAGATGGCAGCTCAGCAAGACCTGCTCCATTTCAGTTCAGGTTTTGCAAGTGGCAGGGAGTGCGCAGGGAGAGCGAGGGGTGTGTGTCGCATGCGTGCAGGGTGCATGCAGGGTGTACGCAGCGCGTGACAAGCGCGTATGCAGCGCGTGACAAGCGTGTGTGCAGAGCGTACGCAGCAGGGCGCTCATTACCGCGTGCTCGGCTCCCAGCAGCAGGCGCAACAGCTCAAGCAGGGCGGAGAGCAGCGCGGTCGTGTGGTCCGCCAGCGCCGGCGCCTCCCGCGTCGCTGCCATCGCCACGCCACGCACCACCCCGAACAGCGTGTGGGGGTGCTTCCGCAGGGCGCTGCGTGGGGAGCGGGAGGACACAATCACACAGAAACGTGGACAGACGCAAAAAGACAAAGATCCCCCTTATAGCCTTTAACCAACCGAGGCAAGATGCTGTTACAGTGGGGGAAATGGCACGGCTTGAGCTAGCAACTTTTATTGTCACCAAATAAGTTTCTCTCCCTCTCACTGCGCGCTTAAACGTTTAACCAAGCGGCGGCGCCGCATTGCGCGTGGCAAGGGCCCAAAACCTCCGACGAGCACAGTTGCCTTTGTACGGCGCGAAAGAAGTTCAACATACACACACGTACAAACGTTAATCACCGGAAATCACGGAACATAACGCGCAGGTAGGCAGGGGCGAATATCTGTCATCTACATGGAGGACTCACGCGCAATCGCACGCAATTACCAATGCGCTGCACTCGTTAGAAATCAACCAAGACACGTCACCGCGGTGCAGCAAAGCAAGACGGAGGTCCGCCTCAGGCAACTGGAGAGCGGCCCGGTACGGCAATTTGGCGAGGCCATACAGATGAGAGCGCAATGTGGGTGGACGGCATCCAGAAGAGCATTGAGGAATGCAGCAGCAGCAGAATACAGCAGCTGCAGCAACTGCAGCTGCAGAAGCTACAGCATCTGCAGCAGTAGAAGCAACAGCAGCAGTAGAAGCAACAGCAGCAGCAGAAGCTACAGCAGCTGCAGAAACTACAGCAGCTGCAGAAACTACAGCAGCTGCAGAAACTACAGCAGCTGCAGAAACTACAGCAGCTGCAGAAACTACAGCAGCTGCAGAAACTACAGCAGCTGCAGAAACTACAGCAGCTGCAGAAACTACAGCAGCTGCAGAAACTACAGCAGCTGCAGAAACTACAGCAGCTGCAGAAACTACAGCAGCTGCAGAAACTACAGCAGCTGCAGAAACTACAGCAGCTGCAGAAACTACAGCAGCTGCAGAAACTACAGCAGCTGCAGAAACTACAGCAGCTGCAGCAACAGAAGCTACAGCAGCAGAAGCTACAGCATCTGCTGCAGCAGAAGCTACAGCATCTGCTGCAGCAGAAGCTACAGCATCTGCTGCAGCAGAAGCTACAGCAGCTGCAGCAGCATCAGCGGCTGCAGCAGCATCAGCGGCTGCAGCAGCATCAGCGGCTGCAGCAGCATCAGCGGCTGCAGCAGCATCAGCGGCTGCAGCAGCATCAGCGGCTGCAGCAGCATCAGCGGCTGCAGCAGCAGCAGAATCCACAGCGAGATGACGAGAGGACACGTGGCAAACCCATCAGCTGAGCTCAGGAATGGGGAGCGACGGGTTTGCGCTGGTCTGCTTTGTTTCACTGCCGACGCGTTGTGACCCCCTGAGCATCTAGCAAAATGAAAATCAGTATATTTCTAATCTCCCATGAAGAGGATTAATGAATAAAAATGACGAAAAATTCGGCCTGTGTTTATTATACAAGTAGATTTGGATTTAAGGACGTGTTGTGAATTAAAGCCAAGACGTTGAACTAATGTTTGGTAAACATCATTCAGTGAGTTGAGTGCAAACAACCGCTGATCACGGCCATCGTGTTAAGCGTCCTTGTTGTGGCAGGGTGGCTCATCGCGCTCCCTTCATGCCGGGGAACCCAGCCGAACCCGCCGTGATGTTTCCACACGACGGTTTGCACAATTGATCATCCCGTGTTCTCGACAAATAAAGCAGCCGTGACTATTTTTGGGGCTATTATTTGTGGAAGCGTTTGCCTGGCTGGGGCAAACCTACCAGGTTTCTCTGCACACAGACGATTTTCCCCCGGGAGGCTGCAGCGGGAGTGCAAAAGTAAATGAGGCATGGCGAGCGGGGTGTGGCGAGACGTGCAGGTGATGAATGCTCAGGGATGGGTCACGGAGTTCGGGGCCACTCCTGCCGATCACGAGATAAAAAACGCCGCCGCCCATCGGGGCCGTGAGTGCCCCCACACCCAGCTGCTGCTGATGCTGCCGCCCAGAGATCCCCCCCGCCGCCCCCCACTCCACTCAGCCACAGGTAACAAGCTCCCCGCACCCCCTCCCCTTGCCAGCCCTGCCCAACCCACCTCGGGCAGTGGGCCATATTTTTTGTAGCCATTACACAGCTCACTCCTTTACTCCCTTATTCCCTTCCCTCCCTCCCAGGATCCATCCTATCCCTCCATCTCCTCTTCCCTCTTCACTCACTCCCTTATTCCCTCCCCTCCCTCCCTCCCAGGATCCATCCTATCCCTCCATCTCCTCTTCCCTCTTCACTCACTCCCTCCCTTGCCCTCCATTCTCTCCCACCCACGCTCACCTAGCTCAGTCCCTCCACCCCCCGCAGCTCCACCCGACAATTATGGCTGCTGCACTGTGCTTGGAGCAGTCAAGCAATGTTTTACTACTTTAATTATTCAGCTACTGTTTGTCTTTGCACTGCGCAAGGCATCCTGTTACTCAAAATGCCCTTCGTGCTTCGCTCTCTGCATCGCATTATCCAATCGCTGCACCTTCCCCGGCATTTGACATTCACGCGGCTGCTGCCGCCACAATTGCTGCCACTTCTGCTGGTGCTGTTTTGCGCCATCGTCAAGCAAGGCTGTGCCAACGTCACCACCAACGCAGGGCTCTGCTGGCGGCAGGCGCGTGCACACGAATCCCTGGTGCTTCACATAGAGTGGACTAATGGGGCGGCTCTCATCCAACAGTGGACTGATCATCGCTGGTGTTTAGAACGATGACCTCATGAAGGTACAAATGATTAAAACATTTTTTTTTAAACATCAATATGAATGTTTTGTACTGCCCAGGATTCACAAGCGAACACCAACTTTAGATGGCTCCATCACTGAAGTTCCCGCCACGCTGATAATACGTGCGGGCCCTTGTGTTATAATTCTCTGCGCCTGTCTGGAACGTGTCCCCAAAAACTGCGCGCCAGTGTCTGGCTTCAACATCTGATGGGCAAAACTGGACGCACGAGCCTCTGTGAACCCAACGCCTTCACGTTTGTCAGTGTGTCACAGAGGGGCGTTCATTTGTAATGTTAGGATGATGGGGGGGGTGATTAGTCACATGATGACGGCGCGCTACCCACGCCCACCCCAAAGACCCAGGGTTCACCCATGTCGCACATCGAGCACGCACCTCCCAGCTCTGATATTTACAGAGGCGCGTTCAGCCCACCACCTTCAAACACTTACACAATGATCTAAGCCAGCTGAACGTTCGCACGGATGTGATTTAAAGTTTAAACTAACGTTCAAATGTCACCGATGTTGAGGCTGGGCTGGGGGCATCCCGGTGCATGGGGTGGGCACTGAAAGATGCCGGCTGGCACGAGAATCATCGGCAGCCTGCCGGGCACCCGATGTTCCGGGTCCCTGCGCAAATCTCCAATTCGCTTCGCGACGTATTTTTTCGGGTCGTTACCACGTGCCGTTCGGCGTGACGCGCTGGGAGTGCAACGCCGGACATAGTGCCAAAAAACGCGCCGCACATCTCCAGCGCACATCGAAGAGCTACCCAGCACAACCACAAAAATCCAAGCAGTGGTACATCTCTGATTACACGGCAAATCCTGCCATTATGTGCCACGCTGGTCCGCCAGGCCTGGGGCACACCTGCGTGACGCTATCAGCCGCATCTGCGTCTCCTCGCCCATCCCGGCCGCTCGCAATTACCCTCCCAGCCCCCCACCCACCCCCGCCCCCACTATTCATGCTCGGCAGCCCAGCTCGCTCAAACGAACCCACGGCTGGGGGCTACGAAGACAATCTCCCCAAACCGCCCAGTCGGGAGGGTGCCGCCGTAATCGACGCTAACGCGTCCGTGTGGAGCATATTAGGAAAATCTCTTTGATTAAAATTTCTCCTGGCTGCCCCGTGAGGAGGCAGCGGCTGAGAGTGCGAACAAGTCGGGCCGTCTGCAGTCTGTAATTATCGCAGGCTCCCTCCCACTCCCTGCCCGGGGAGCAAGCTGTGCGGCTGTGTAGCGGTGAATGCGCAACATGCAAAGTGTTCACAGGGTGCATGGAGGGCGCGTGTGCTCTTGCTAACACTCCATTCCCTGCTGCTGAAGGCGGCAACGTTTGTATGTCCACGTGGGTGGGTGGGGAGAGCTGGGTCGGCGATCGACCCGGTGGACGGTTTCAGGAGTAGCACTGCTTGTGGCGGCGGCGGGCAGCAGCATGGCCAAGCGGTGCCGGAGTTTGAGAGCGGCGCCCGCGGTGGCACCGCCGGACGGCGCGCAGCCCAAGACAGCGCACGCGCGAGAAACCCTAACCCTGCTCGCCCATTAGAGAACCCCAGCGGGTTTTTTCTTCGGAGTCGCGTTGTTTACATACAAAACAGCGGCCCTGCCCGCGACCGCCCCGCACCTGCGGATTACCATTCTGCCGACGCAAGCGCGAGTTGGCTTTGCCCTACGCCACCCCCCCCCCCCCCCCCTTCGCGACGAAGCCACAGGGGCGTGCTGACACGCACCGCCACGTACACGGCTCGACGCTGCCGCCCACCCTGGCCACCCGCCCACCCCCCTTCCCGCTCACCCACCCGCCCCCACGGTACGCGAACTCTTGAAACCAAGCACACATTTTCGAATTCTATTTGGAAAAATGTGTTGGCAGTGCTGTACGAGCACAGACCGAGAACATTCTTACTTTCGTCATTTACCCTGCCCATAAACAAAACAATATATATTCTGACGCAAACAACTGGGGGAATTTCCCGAACATCGTAGAAATAGTTATTTCATTAACCCTGGCAGAATGCAGCCCTGAAATAATATACATTTTTCCAGCGGCCGCATGTACAAATTCTGTACAAACAGTAACGTATGCTTGCTCACAGCAATATTATGTATTTGTGCGAGAACTTGTAACATGTAGCATCATAGACATCATCGAGCCGAGTCTCTTAAATGCAGTGTTGCACTCTTGGGTTAGATTTATCTTCACTGCATTGCTGCTTATAATAATATATTTATTTGTATCTAGCGCAGTCATTCATGCAAATTGCATCTCAAAACGCCGTACAACTCGTTACGAAAAGGTCTCGCACCAGAGGCACGAAAACCAGACAAGCGGGAAGGCAGACAGAACCAGTGCCAAAACCTGCCCAAGCTCTGTGATCCTATATTTGAATATTTTGCCTTTTTTTGTCAGATGTTGCATGAAACCTCAAAATTGCACGACAATCCAAGTCCCTGCCAGTGGTTAAACGTTGCTCGTCGCGGCGCACATAAGCGTGATGTCATCCGCCAGCGCGGCGGGGCAGCACCACGGATCACTCCCACCCCCCCCCCCCACGTGTGCTCAGCGTCGCAGCGACGCGACCCTCGCATATCGGATTGCAGCCGAGATCAACGCTCGCGCTGCCTCCCGGCAAAGTGCCCAAGCTTCTTAACGACGCCCTCCCCCCCAGCCGTCGTCATTCAACCAGCCAGGCAGGCACCCCCCGCCGTGCAGCAGCACTCACGGCTCTCTTACTTAGCAGACGTGGCCCCGGGCCTTCTGACCCCTGCTATTAACCCCTTCGTCCCCGTGCCCTCCTCTGTTTAATGCCAATTTCCACCCCCCCTTCCAAATTGCTTAAGCGCTGCTGCTTGTTCTCCGGGCTCATCCCTCCGCTCGAGGTTCCTGTTTAACGCTCGGTATTCACGTGCTCCCTGGCTCCCTGCTTTGACACTCGCAATGCGCTCCCTCTCATGCCCTGCTGTGTGTCCGCTACAACCTTGACTCTGCAAAACCTTAACCTTTAGCCTCAATACTTAATTTTATGGTGAAGTACACTGTAAATAATTTATGGAAAGGTAAAGCTGCGAATGCAAACGCTCCACAGGAAAGACTTTTACGTAGTTTCACCACCTCCGATTAGTACGGTTGGCTACGTACGGTGCGAAAGAAGTTCAATATACATACGTCACAAAAGAGTTGCCGCAAAAAATAGCATGGGTCACTCTCGGATGCAAACCAGGCGTCTGTTTCAAAAGCACACTGGACAAAACGGACGCGATGCATAATCACACAAATCACAGCGCATGTCATGCCAGCCAGCCCGGCCCCTTTCCAAGGTCCCAACGCGACCCAGGGGCCAGGCGGCGGCCTCACCTCCCCACGCACCACGGCGACGCCCTCACGGCACCCACCAGCGGACGTGGTAGAGGCCGTAGCTGTGGTCGGCGAGCAGCGCGAGGGCCCGCAGGCCGCATAGCAGGCCGCGGCCGGCGGGCTCTCCACCGCGGCCCAGCAGCTCCAGCAGCGCGTCGCAAGCGGGGGCCAACGCGTCGCGGCAGGGCACGTTGTTGTTAGCGGCGAGGAGGAGGAGCGGAGAGTCCTGGCTAGCGGCCGAGCCTTCACCCGAGACGCTCGGGCAAAGGCTGATGTCCTGCGGGGGAAGTGGTGGCGATAAAAGACAAAAACAATGATCACAATGATGGTGGTGAAGATGGTGAGAAATGTCTCGTGAAACGATGGTAACAATAACGCCGATGGCGATGTTGAAAAGCACACGATGACTCGGGTGGGATTTGTAGATCGCGACTGGTGGTTTGTGCAAAGGGAATCATGACACCGCACCTACGGGGGTGGCTGGGTGGTGCCTGTAAAGAGGCAGCACAGCAAACATGTCATCGCCTTATCCATACAGTATATCAGCGTTCTTCCTTGGCGTGCGTGGGTTCTGTCCCGGCACTCTGGTGTGCTCGCACAAGCGGAAATGGCCAAATGGTAAGGCTCATTTCTGAACGAGACATCTTGACACTCAGCAAAGATGTTGCTGAGAAAAAAAATTAACCACTCTCTCCGAGGCTTCTGTGGCCACCCCACAGATCCTTATCACATGTACTTCATATGCTTTTTACTACTCCTATTGTACCGTTGTTGCGATTCATTGTTATTTCCAAGCCTTCCATAGTGAAGCAATTGCTGAAGAGAACCAGAAAGCTAAGATACAATGGAGCAGCTTCATGGCAAATCATCGCTGGCGATTTTCACCAACCACAAACATAACTTCGCATGCCTCGGGCTCCAAGGTTTGTTCGGGGCATAGAGATGCAACGATGCATAGACCTAAATCAATTCTTCACGCATCGGATCGCATGTGTACAGATTAATGTTTTGTACTCGTGTGTGTTGTATGCAAATGGTTTCATGTGGGAGCAGCACCAGCGCCACCACCAACAGCAGCACCACCAGCAGCAATAGCACCACCACCAGTAGCACCACCAGCAGCACCACTAGCAGCAACAGCGCCACCACCAGCAGCACCAGCACCACTAGCAGCAACAGCGCCACCACCAGCAGTACCAGCACCACTCGCAGCGCCACTAGCAGCAACAGAGCCACCACCAGCAGCACCAGCACCACTCGCAGCACCACTAGCAGCAACAGCGCCACCACCAGCAGCACCAGCACCACTCGCAGCACCACTAGCAGCAACAGCAGGCATGACCACGAGCGAGCGATACCTGATCGCACAGCGACTGCAGGATGGAGGAAACGCAGTCCTGCGCCTGCTGCTGGTGCACGGAACCGTCGACTGGTGCCCGTAGGATGGCGAGCATTGCGGGTAGCACCTCGGTCAGATGCTCGTCCCCCTTCACGCTCCCCGACACGATGCTGCGGGACCCCGCAGGGTGGCACAATTGGGGGGAACGTAACGACGACGAGCCCATCCATCGAGTCCATTTCATCATTGGGCTCACCAAACCCCTGCAGCTTCTCGGCACTACATTCACGACAATGCTAACGGGTACACGCGCTGTAACTTGCGAGGTTCGATCAATTCCCACAAGCGCTCTACCACCTTGCACCTGTGTTTATAATAACAACGCCAATGAAGACAATGAGCAGCAGTGACCCTCCATTGTAACAATGCTGCCGACTACCCACCAAGTGGGATCAATCTTTTTCACTCCACATGGATGCCAATGATCGGTGGGGATTGACCACAAACCGGATTTTACAAACTCGTGAACCTTCGGACTGGGAGTCGAGCGATCTTACCACAGGCGGCCAGATGGGATGTAACTTTTTTTTTTTTACTCCCAATGAAAGTCACTTCCTGCTACACATGCCTGGTTGATCTCACAGATTGCTGACCTGGAACCGCATAGAAACTTTTACAAATGCGAATCATCGAGCAGGAGCAGTGGGAGTGGGGGGGCACCTGAGGAATGCTGCCTTGCAGGACGCGTGTGCTACCAGTGCATCCAGGAAGCCGAGAACGCGGGCGACCAGCGGCGAGCACAGACAACCCACGCTCTCACTGCAAAGACAACGCGCACACACAGACAAAGATCTCCCCGGTAGCCTTCACAGAATGCTGGGGCAAGTGCTGTAAGCGAGTAGCACTGGGGGTGGTGTGGTCAGCAACAAGCCTCGGCTGCCATCGTCTCCCCAGTGGCGATGTTCACACGCAGCACCGGGAACTCGTTTAAGGCTCAGTCGACCTAGGGGAGTGGAGTAAAGTTTTTAGGTTGTAGGGGAGAGCCTATGGCTAATGTAAATGGGTTCGAGCGGATAACAAGACGAGGGAGTTCAAATTTTGGGTCAGAGAGCAGGATGGTTCTGCATTGGGTTTTTACTTTAAGACGTTTTTAGCCAAAAAGTAGCATTCATTATATAAGCGGGAGGCCGTAGAGATGGAAACAGATGGCGATTAGTCCCCTTGCTGGACTGTCTTCTCCTGGCGAGGCAGGGTATGGCTCCACATCCTCAACGCCCACATGAAGGGAGCTTTACAACGTTTGTGCGGTGATCCACAAACACTCGCTGCTGCCTTCATAGCGCTGGGTCACATCCAGCAGCAGCAGCAGCCACCACCGCCACCCAGCAGTGAGCAATACGATTGGGGATGAGTGCTAGAGATTCCACCGCGAAGTAAACGGCAGTGTCGAGAGCCAGGCTCTGGCCGTACCTGGCGGTGAGCTGAGACTGCAGCAGCTGCAGTGTTGCTCGCAGCACCATGAGCGCTGGCAACGCGGCCAGGTCGGCCAGCTGCACGGCCACGCGGCGCAGCAGCATCTGCAGCGGCTGGCAGCCGGTGGCCGCCTGTACCGACATCAGCTCGGCCAGCGTGTCCGCCTGCGCCCGCAGGTGCAGGCTCCACAGCTTGCGCATGTTCAGCGCCGTCGTCACATCCTGCGCCGACAGGGGCTGCGTAGCGGAGACGGGAAGAGGGACGCGGTCATTCGTCAGTGCAGGGCAGCACTAGGTACACTTCAACTGTAGTCACTGCAACAAGAGCAGCAGCAGCAGCCATTCACCACCGAGTGGCAGTGATGTCACCACATTGCTCATGCCCGGCTAGGTACCCATCAGTCAGTCACAACAGCAGCATCAGCCATTTAGCACTGAATGTGCGACGTCACCAAGGTGCTTGTGCCAGGCTGGGTGTATTTTGGCCACGTGTAGAATGGCGGGGGCTCGCTGGCAGAAGGTCATGGGAATGTAGTCACAAACACGGCCGTTCGTGCGGAACAGCACAAAGCAGCGTAGCCTCGGGTACCCTCACAGGAGGAAGTAAACCAAATGAGCCAGTGGCTCTTATTCTGCAGTCAGATCTATAGCCTGCGTGTTCTGGCCTTCAATAAATACAACTTCCATCGTTAGAATTCAAACTTGAAAGTGACTTTAAAGAGCATAATTGAGTGATCTTACTGGAGGGACGCGTCGTTAGAAAGTACGTAAAACTCACAAGCGTGACGTCACAGACTTTATAGCATTATTGTTCTCATTAACCAAGCTTCAAACTTGTGCAGGACATCCCGAGACGCACAGGGCTAGGTGAAAGCCACGTATAGGCGCATACATTCCTCGATTAACATCGATTTCGACACTTGCATACTCGGAGGCGATTCACGGTTCTGTCTCTTCAACAGATATCTACAAATTGATCAGCGAACCTGCTACGGGCCAGTTAGCGAGATGATATGGAATGCGAAGACCACAGAGTTTGGGCAGGACGTGCAGCTGGAAGGAATGACGGCCGTGGGTGAGTGCAAGTGTGCGGTGGTGGAGCGGACCCCGCTTGCGGAAATGGTCAAACGAATGAAAGGCACCCGGGAGAGGGGGCGTCCACCAGAGAGATGGAGCAATGAAATAGGCTCACGTGCAGGCGCGAGGTGGAACGTTGTGCATCGCGAGACTGTGACAGATGGCAACGACATGTGGAGGCCTTCATCCAGCAGTGGACAGATCATGGCCGATGACGATACATTATATTAAGCTCTGTCGTTCTGTTTCGTGAACTTGCTACAAGAGCAAGTGAGAGAGATCAGACAGAATGTAAAATTAAGAATAAAAATATATTTTTAAAATCATAATCGTAACCCCGAATCTTGACAATTAATCAAACCTCCAGGCCCGCCCGCCTGGGTGAAAGGCGCTTTACAAACACAAAATAGAATAGAACGGTGACACACTGGTTGGGTATGCACGAGATCTGAGATAAGAGAAATTGGCTTTGTTGGGCTGCATTTTCCTCCTTTAAGCCCAAGTGGAAGCAGCGAGCACACCCAAAAGGCGTAAATAAAAACACAACCACACCTACCGGCACGACCACATACCTGAGCGCACGACTACTCTATTCATACATCATCAGCGATGTTATTTTAGCACTCTACTTGTAGAGAGTAGTCTATAGATGGGGACAGCTCAACTAAAATGCCACTGCCAGACATGTCACCCGAACCCCTGCAGGAGTCCACATCATCCCGAGACTCTGATGCCCCCACTGGCTCCCAATCCATTCCTGCACCGACCGCAAGATCTCACTCACAAGTCCATCAAGAACCTCCATGAACTTGCCCCCTACCTCCCCCCTCCACTCCCGTCCTCCTATCACTCCCCTCTCACCACCAACTACTCCCCCCCCCTCCATGCAATCTCCGCTCCAGCAACCAAGGCGTTCTGTCAAAGCCCTTTGGTCAGTGCGAGGTCACTTTATGGAAACTCTATCCCCCCTGGAAACTGTTGACTCCCTGTCCCAGTTCAAGTCGAGGCTCAAGACCTTCCCCTTTTTCCTCTTTCTACTACTGCCTATACTTTTCTCTCTCTATCGCAGAAGCATGCCCACTGTTCATGCGGTCGCATTTTAAGATGCTCCGTAAATCTACACTGCATTGTTACCGAGGCCCACGATCTGTAAACTGCTGCACCAGTCCCTACACAGTGGTGCCACATCCCCTCATGGGCAGAGATCACGTGGTCAGGCCGGGGGCACGTGTCCGCACCAAACGCCGCACACCTGAGTGGGTGTTTTGCTTGGATCGGAGTTTGAAACCCACTCGCCGCCCGACATGAAAAGCGACCTTGGGCGGGCAGGCGTGGGTAGGGAGGGAGGAGGGAGGGAGACCGCCGTTCGAGGGGCACGACGGTGTTGACACGGACGGTTGGAGGCCGCTGCAAACCGGTCCATCTGGACACGATCAGACCCAACCCAGGTGGGACGAGCACGGCCGGAGAGGACCTCGCGCTCACCGCCACTGCGGGCCAAAAAGGCGCCGGGGGCCAATAGAGCGTCGCCACCTTTGAAGTATAACGCCACGTGGTCGCCAAGCGTAGGCACAGCATGTCAAGCTGCCAGCAACAAACAAACACGATAAAAAAATTGCAGGAGATAAGAATCAAACTAATTTCTGGAATTGATGAAGGAAGTGGAAAAAGGTGATGGGCGGGGAATTCAGTCAAATGTATCTGAAGTAGAATATCTTCACCATATCAGCAGAGTGGAAGACTACATGTAAACACGTTGTCATAAGCGGTGGATTATTATGCAACTAACAAAAAATAAAATCCGGACTTTGAGTGTCCCAGGAAAATGTTCATATTTCCAAGGACAGCAGCTGCCTAAAGGACAAGACAATCCAGAGAAAACCAGGACAGGTGGTAACTCGAGACCGAGGGACGGACCACCATCAACTATGGCCTTTTGCTCTCTCGCCCCATGTAAGGCAATAATCCCTGCACGAGGTCACCCAACAGACTCCTGGTGGACACCGGCTATTGTCGCCGACGGTTAGAGTGAGAACGGGGAGCGCGCCGAACAATGTCACAGCAGATTATGGCGGCGGCGCGGCCGTGTCGAGCCACTTATCGGGTTCCAGGGTCGGCGACCGCGATTGAAGAAAATTAATTCTCATGAGCCCCAGCGAGACGCGCGGTCTTAACCTGCAAGTCCCGACATGCACGCGCGGGGGAGAATATAATAAAGAAGTCAATTCACCGAGCCTGACTGGCTCTTGGCAGCCTTCCCTCGACCAGAGCAAGCTCTCATCGTCCTTCCCCGAAGCCAATTGACAAATAGAAATTCAAGCCCTTATTTTTAGTTTTTAAAGTCTGATGAAAAAAAGTATTTTATTTCGATAAAGCTGCAGCATTCATCGCATCTGCTCCCCACGCCCCTGCACAAGTGTGGGTGGCGATAGTGAGACTCGATAGTAAGACTCGATAGTGAGACTCGATAGTGAGACTCAATAGTGAGACTCGATAGTGAGACTCGATAGTGAGACTCGATAGTGAGACTCGATAGTGGGACTCGATAGTGAGACTCGATAGTGAGTCTCGATAGTGAGACTCGATAGTGAGACTCGATAGTGAGACTCGATAGTGGGACTCGATAGTGAGTCTCGATAGTGAGACTCGATAGTGGGACTCGATAGTGAGACTCGATAGTGAGTCTCGATAGTGAGTCAGTGAGACTCGATAGTAAGACTCGATAGTGAGACTCGATAGTGAGACTCGATAGTGAGACTCGATAGTGAGACTCGATAGGGAGACTCGATAGTGAGACTCGATAGTGAGACTCGATAGTGGGACTCGATAGTGAGTCTCGATAGTGAGACTCGATAGTGAGACTCGATAGTGGGACACGATAGTGAGACTCGATAGTGGGACACGATAGTGAGACTCGATAGTGGGACTCGATAGTGAGACTCGATAGTGAGTCAGTGAGACTCGATAGTGGGACTCGATAGTGAGACTCGATAGTGAGTCTCGATAGTGAGTCTCGATAGTGAGTCTCGATAGTGGGTCTCCACAACAATCTCACCGAGTGGGCTGGCACATGCTATTATTCGGGCTGGGTGTATTCGGCTGCAGTGAGAAGGGCAAATTATTAGGAATCAGTGGAAAAATTGGCCAAACTTCATGGGTTGGGGTGGGTTCAGAAGTTTGTTGGTGGAGGGTTCTGCATATAACTTTTACGAGCAGAAAAACTGCATTCTCGAGGCATCGCGCAGCCTCGCGGAGTTAATCTGAGGGGGGGTGGGGCAGGGGGCGGGGGGCCTCCCGGAGTCAAAGCTTTTCGGGGGGGGGGGGGGGGGCTGCAGCTGCACGTCAAATTACACACGGGAGAGATGGGCGTTCACGAGCGGGTGCTTCGACGTAACCGCGAACGCTCGAGCATCCCCACAGCGTGAGCTTGCGCGAAAAAACAACATAACCTGCAGGCACTAAAACCGCGTGGGGCGCTTAACTCGCCGGGAGAAGGTACACGCGTAAGATTTAGAAAGGGTTCAGCTCAAAAGGAGAACGTTAAAACGGCGTTTGAACTTTAGAACGCGTTAATAAATATCACGCTTTCCTCATCGCCGCTCGCACCTGTTCGACCCCAGCCGTGATGTTTTGCGGCGCAAGGCACGGCGTGTAAAAGAACAACGGGGGCTTCACGCGGGGACCTCGACAGGCCAAAGTCCACAAAATTCCAACGACAAACCGGCCGGCTGCGAGGCGGCCGGTGCGGCCCCGTGAAGATGAGCGCGGGCGATAACGCGCCGAGCACTTCCTCCTAAAGGTCGGGGGGGGGGGGGGTGGCTTCACCAGATCCAGGTACAGTGCGGCGCGCCCAGGGCCCCCGCCCTCCCATTTGGAACAAGACCCACGAACCGGAGCCAACGCACGCATACAGATAAAATTCTGTTTTGATGAGGAAACATTAAACCTATTTAAAATTTACATTCCTCTCTAGCACGACATTCTTTTGACAATCTCCCCCCCACCCCCCCCCCCCACTGCGTTTGTTTTGGTAACAAACACAATTACGAAAGCAGCTCAATGCCTTGTGCGAATTATTATTTTTTACGACCAAGATGAGATAAGGGTCCAAGGTGTAGGCGTGGAGACCCTCTACCCGTGGCCGGAGATTACCGGAAAAATGCAAACGCGCCCTCGCAGCTCCCGGTCGCATCAGCGCAGCGGGCACCACAGGGGCCGGCACCGACCGCGGCCCAGAGGGCACGGGGTTCTCGCTCGGCCCCCGGGCGATCAGCGGACGAGCGGAGGACCACGGGGGAGACGTTCGAGCGCGGCACCTCACCTCCGCGGCGTGCATGGGCAGCGGCAGGGGCAGCAGCTCGGTGAGCAGCAGCAGGCCCGAGTAGAAGCTCTCGGGCGCCGCCAAGGTGCAGTCGAGCACCTCGCGCAGCATGAGCGACCACGTGTTGGAGGCGAGCGTGTCGCCCGAGCCGGCCGCCTGCTCGCCCACGCCCTGCGTGAAGGCCAGCAGGGTGTCCACGGCCAGCGTCTGCACCTGCTGCTCCTCGGCCTCCAGCTGGCCCGACAGTGGCACCGAGCACAGCACCGTGTGCAGCGACACCAACGCCGCCGGCAGCCGCGAGTCGCGCAGCTCGAAGCCGCCACCTGCGCCGGGGACACGTCGTAAAGTTCACAATGGTCAAACAGGTCACGTGGCTCGGAGAACACCGCCCTCCCGCATGTACAGCGATTGGAGGGCATGGCACCTCAACCTCGGACATACTGTTCTCACGGGGCTTCCAAGATGTATGTATATTGAACTTCTTTCGCACCGTGCTAATAGGAGGTGCGGGAGAAGGGCAACAAACTAAAACACAAAAAACAGTTCTTAAGAAATGTGTTCTCAATCTAAATTTAAAAGTGCATATCAGAAGAGCGTTCCAGACGGCCGCAGATGCGCATCTGAACGCAATTCACAACGGGGGCATGGAGCGGCATTGGGATTCCTTACTTCAGTTTGGCAGATTGTTTGCGACACGTAGAGGAATTGTGTCATTGTATAACACTTGGGGAGGCCAGGGCCAAGTGTTCGTGATGGGGCTACGGTTGGAGCTCGTGCTACAGTACGAGTGATCGGTTGGCTGGTGTTTGTGGATTCGGGGTAGGACTGGGGTCAGGTTGGTCAGTGTGCTCCGCCCCCTTACCCCACCCCTACCAAGTACAGCCGTTTCACTTTTCATTTACGTGTCTCCGCTGCGGGGTCATTCACGCCGGCAGAAATCAATGCAAGCCACGCAGGTGTTCTCCGTCATGGCAAAGAAAGTAAAAAGCAGAGCGCTTTGCCAGAGCGTTAATGCGAGATGAGACCACAACATCCAGTGGTGGCGCAGTGGTTTGTGCACTGCACTATGAACCAATGGTTCAACTCCTGGCCATGACTAACAACAGTGGCAAGCAGTAACCGAACCGGTCCTGAGCACGCCACCTTCACCAACCTGCACTGACCACCATGGTGAAATATGGTCAAAGAACCCTCATGACCGACACCGCACGAGAAGGCCTATAACATCCCATAGTGGACCGAGACAGTGGCTGTAAACGGAACTCTCTCGTCGTTACGATTCTAGACCGTGTGACATGAGCCGTCCACGAACGTCCTCGCTAGCCATCCCCGTCGACCCCGCGCCAGACGAGGTACCTTGAGGCCCGCCGCCCAGCAGCTCAGCCAGCATGGCCTGCAGCAGCGAGAGGGCGCACGTGGCGATGGAGAGCACCAGGCTGCGCTGCAGGCTGGCCATGGCGCCGGCGTGGTGGCGCCACGCCTGCAGCAACACGGCGCTCAGCTTCTGGAGCACGCGGATGAAGAGGTCGAGAGCGTCGGCCGAGAAGAGCTGGATCACGGCTAAGTTCCAGCGCAGGTCCTTCTGCTGCCCTGCTGGCGCAGACGGTCGCAAACTCAGCGCGGGATCCAAGGGCAAATAACGACAACAGCGGAGGAAAAACTAAAAGGTGGACAAGTTGGGTCAAAGGTTAAAAAAGCCAGTGATATCCAAATGAAAATGAGCATTGAGATAGTGGCTCATCTCTAGTTTACCAATTGGCTAGAGGTTAATGTTCACATTAATCCCATATGAATGTGTAGAACTTCTTTCGCATCTTACGTAGCCAACCGTGCTAATCGGATTATCGATAATCATGTTAGCAAAGTCGGATAAAAGGTACACTTTAGTAGCGATCGTCGCAAGGACCTTTAATGGGCGGGGGAGGGCAGGCGATGTGCTTGAGGACCCTCAATGCCGTGGCCAGGCCCGGCCCCTCATGGGCAACGTGGATCGTTAGACTGTCCAGGTTCTGCAGGTGAAAGGGCACACACGCCACACGTCACCCACACACAGTCCTGACAACGCTGCCCAACTCCAGCCCTTGCCACCCACTCGGCAGCGTTGGCGGCAGCATCCGAGACGACGCACGCAACGAGTAACCTTCGTGGGAGTTCCACAAATGGACACATTTTTGGCATTTGCAATATCAATTTAAGAAAATATTATTTTGGATCGTGTGCATTGTCTGTGTTGTATATTCTGTCGTCTTAGTTTAGACTGGTTAGGTACATAAGTGGATATTTTGCATTTACTATGCCTATAATAATGTCAAGTCACTCCTGGATGAAGGCCTCCCCAAACCGTGTCAGTCATTGGGGTTGTATGACCGTTCGTCACCACGCTGGTCAGTGCAGGTTGGTAAAGAAGGGGGCCCAGGGCCTTGCCAGTGATGTTAGGCGTGGCCACAAATCAAACTCAGATTGCAGTGTGGTAACTACTGCACCATCACTCCACGAACAACACATAGTTGGCTACATATTTGGAGTGTTAAATGTTTCCTCCTGTAATGATTCCTTTTAACCAGTGGTGATTACGACAGAGGTGGCGAGACGTTTTTCCATGTCTGCGTGAATGTTAATTCTTTTGTGCCTGGAACCAGATCTATCTGCAGTGGAATGTATCAAGAGCTGTGCGATTAATGTAAATGCATTAGCAAACCTTAACAATTCAACAATCACCAAAATCACCCCCCCGGCCACAATCGATAGGGCTCAAGAGGACAAGCAGGGCCGCGCCGGTGGTGTTGTGTGTTATTCTAAGTGGACGTCATTCAATCACATGGCATTGTTTGCTCGCTGAATGCGGCAAGCCACCCTAATTCCACTGTCACACGGGTCTCACGAGACAAAACAGGTTTTTCTCAGCCTCCATTTCAGGTGCGGCAGGCAGAACGAGCGGCGGGGCGACACCGCACGCGAGACTGAGCTCACATCAACCGCGCGGATTCCAGCGCGGAGGCTGTTGGTCGCACCTCACAGTGACACCCTGCGAAAACCCGTTTGGGCTGTCGCGGCCGGGAGCGACTCGCGCGGTAAAACGGAGCCACAAAGGTGGCGGCGGCCGGGAGTCTCAGGAAACCGATGCCGCATCGGGAGGCTACCGACGACCGGCACCACCGAGATCCTGAGTTTGAGCCCAGGTGTTGGCCACGTGTGATTAAAACCGGGTTGCTCAAGCGCAGCAAGTCGGTTGTTTCAGCAGCCTGGACGATCACCTCTGACTGTGTAAATATGCCACTGTGAAAATTGGTTGTTTTGCGTAATTTGTCTTGATATTGGGTTGGTTTCATGTGACAAATACTCTTTCTAGAAGCCCATCCAAAGTACTTCAGAAGTGGTTGGCGACGTCATCTTTCAGGAGCCATTGGTCTCACACAAAGGTAGTAGTGCACTGCACGTACATTTCTTCAACGCGCAACAACATCGCGCCAATGGAGTCCAAATGGGGGTATGCACACAAAGAGCAAGGAAATGGAGGTTTGATGCTGACCTTGCGACTGGATAACTGATATAAGGACCAGGGTTTGCCATGCTGAATTTTGGACAAAGCAGCCACAGATGTAAGTGTAGCAATGTGCTGTGTGTGACCAGGTGCTACTCGCCTGTTTGATGTACTCCGTGAGTGCGGGAATGGAAGATATCTCAAAGTGCAGGTCCTTCACGGGCTCCAGCCACCTGCTCAGCTCTGTGATGACCCAACAGACGTTCGCTTGCATCAGCTTGATCTCATCGTGCCCGTAGAGGCCCAACCATTATTTTACCTTTATAATCCTGGACCCACATAACCCTTCCCCCCCCACTGCCCACCTGAGCCGGGCAGATTTACCCACATTCTACCATGACGGCACACAGCGATAATTATACATTCTGTACAAATCTTCCGCACTGTGCCGAATGGGTCTCGTGGTGTTCAGGAGAGCTCTTGCCAAAACATCAGACTACCTCGAAATATTTGTTTAACAGGTCACATGCTGCCGAATGTTGAAACTGGTCTAGGGGTTGCATGTTTAAACAAATCCTCCTGAAAAAGACGAGGCCAGAAAGCCCATTCAGCTGATGTACAAAAACATGATATTATTTTACTTTACATGGTGACACACCGCCATGCACGTTTATTAATAGATTTATTATTTAATTTAAACCTCAAGTTGCGCAGATACCATTGCGCCCATCCCAGCACGCAGCCATTGTGTTGAAACCCAAGCGCATGTCGCGTCACACGTGACAAAATCCAATCGACGAGTGGCTCAAAAGCGGCGAGATTTTAAAAACTTGCCGCGTTGTTCCAACTGCCACGCTGGGAAATAGAACCGGGGGGGGACCTCCGGATCGCAAGCCCAGTGCGTAGACGGTTCCACCACGGCAGCATCCTTCACGTGGGAACCCGTTCGCAAAGCGATGGTTAATCCGTACGCGAATTACAGCGTGTTTCACGCGTCTGTCAAGTGTTGACGTGGCAATATAAAAACCGCGTCGGCCCTGTCATTAAACACAAAAAAAGTGGGGCTGTACACCCGTGTGTTTGTACAAGTTCACTTCCATCACTCAATTACGAGAGCAGGGGGGGGCCACACCTGTTTGTGGGATTCTCGAAGCCCGGGCTGGCTCGGCCACATTCTGCCGAGCCGCTGGGCTCACGCCAAAAGGTGGCGTCTCTCTGCTTTTAACCCCCGAGTGTCCCCTTCCGCTGGCATCGCGCGCCACGGTCGCGGCAGCCGTGTGGTGCGGAGAGAGCGAGGCCAGTCCCGATAGGTTGCGGGGATCATAGAGGTGCAGCGAGTTGTCAACAATCTCATTGGGAAGAAGTTGCGTTTGTCGTCGTCATCATCATCATCGTCAGCCACGATCTATCCACTGCTGGGCGAAGGCTTCCCCAAGCAGTCGACATATCTCGCGGTCTCACGAGGTGCATTTAAAATAGTAGATTAAGTCAAATCTCAATCTTCACCTTTGCCGAGTGTAAGCAAGATTTTGACTCGCGACAGGCGAGTCCCAGGAGCGAGCGGCGCATGCACGGTGCGTGGCGAGTATACAGCACGTATCTTTATGTACATATGTTGAACTTGTTTAGCGATGTACTTCGCCAATCTTGCTAATCAGAGGTTGCGGGGGAAGAACAACAAACTAAACACAAAAAGCAGTTAATGAGGCAAGGAGCGAGCAGGGCGTGCCGCGTGTGTGGCGAGCGTGTGTGGCGAGCGTGTGGGCGGGCGGGCTGGGCAGACGCACCCTGCAACTTGGCGTTGCCCTCGTCTTCCTTGCACAGGTGCAGCAGTGGCGTGCCGTAGTGCTCCAGCATGGCCACCTCGCTGGACAGCTGCACCGCCAGCAGCACCAGCATGCACGCGTAGTTGGACGCCACGGACTTCTTGGATTTCACCTCGCTGTGGCCGAACAAGGAAGCGACATTTGAAAGACTCCTCTTGCCACAAACCAACCCTTTCTCCCCCACTTTAAAGTAAAACAATTTGTAAGATAAATCGGTGCAGGATTGAGAACGAATCGTTTGGGGAGGTCAAGGACGACTTGGCGAGGCTTTTATCCAGCAGTGGATTGATCGTGGCTAAGGCTACGATTTGAAAGTAAAGCGTCAAACCTAATGGAATTCCTTTAGCACCCCACTCCTTCCAAAGTAAAATCATTATCAGCCATCTTAAATCCACTGTTGGATGAAGGCTTCCCCCCAAGCTGCCGCCACCTCTCACGATTTCGCAATTTAATAATCAGAGGGCCTGCAGATGAATTTTTTTTATCGCTCCATCTCTACAATGGGAGTCCTCTCAGATGCATTTCATTCCTCGGCTGTTGTGTACAGCCATTTCCACAAATTCACCGATTTTATTCAAATTTACGATTTCTTTGAAAAGCCGTCACTTCCGTGCCAAATCGTAGTCTTAATCACGACTGACAATGATGCCAACGATGATCTTTGAACATGTTTCATGTAGTTATCTCATGCCTTGAGTCTGCCATCTCAGGTTCCATTCAGCCAGTGGGCACTGTTGTGCTATCAAGATAAATATTAAATAAATACTGGCACACCAGATTAAAAGCCACGCTACATAGCATCCAGTACATAAACACAAATGCCAAGAGAGTACACGGTGCGTGAAAGCTGCCACGCTCAGCCACTATCAGAATCCTTGCAAAGCCAGTTACCACCATCGAGAGAGTTATATCGAGCGTCATAGCACAAACAATGCCCACGAGAAAAACCCCGAAACCCGGCCGCTCTCGAAAGCCAAGCAGGAATTTGAGCCTGCAATGCGCTTGGATGGGAGGCCAGCGTTGCTTAAGATGTTACAAGCTGCTGTGGGGCTATGTCGTGGGTGGCAGAAGTCAAATAACTCACGCAGCTTGGGCGGGAAGGCCCTCAAGCACCAACAAATTTACAAAAAGACTGCTGTACCAACAAATGTCCAGCTCTCCAACTCTGGCCAAAAGCTTTATACATTGGGTCCACCAATTGAAGCCTCGTGAACACAATGTAACGAGCACGAATCTAGAGTATAAAGTTATGTTACACTGTTTAGGGACTCGCCCAATTTATAGCTGGCTAATAATCCGGAACAGCAAACAAAGAAAAAAGGACTGTTTTACAAATACACAAATGCCCCACTGGTCGGCTTCTGCCCAGCTGATGCAATACCCTCAAGGAACAACCGTGTGCTGGAAAGCGTTACGTAATCCAGCGACTCTTTAGAGACTGGCGGTGCCACCACCGGAAAAACCGGGTGGCACCTTCAGGGCGCAGGGGCGGCAATCGGGCCGTGCCCCCCGTCCCCACCTCCCGCCCGTACCCCTGTTGTCCCTCCTTGCAGCACTGATCCACGAACGGGATGAGGCAGCCCAGGTTCCTGTCGAGGCCGAGCACGTGGCAGACAGCGGCACGGCCCGTGGGGTGGAAGGTCATGAGGTAGAGGGAGTGCAGGATGCCCAGCACGCCCGAGTTGTCCGTGTCGCCCTCGCCGCCCACCCGCGCGCCGCACTCGAACAGCTCCGACACGCACTGCAGCGCCTGGCGAGGGCATCATCGGGTGGCACAGCGAAGCGGGCATCATGACGTGGACCGCAGCATACCAGCGTCGCGACACGGACGTATGACGGCACGGGCGTTAAAACGTGCACGGCACAACAACGGTATTAAAACACAGGCATTGAAACGCAGGGACATCATATCAACAGGCATTACAACAAAATCAGGTGGCACAAGAGTCATGACAAAACATAACAGGAACACAATCTAAGGGCGTCACACAGGCATTGCAACACAGGCATTGCAACACGGGAGACATAACAATACGACCATAAAACGTAGGCTTTCGCAACCAATATTATCCATAAAAGGTTTTTGGGTTAGATTTTCCACAACGCTGGCTGTCGCCTGATTACGCTAATTGTAGCCACTGTTGAAATGTCGTACTCCAATTGTAAATGTTGTGGGTTTACTCTCCAACACATCGGTATGCTGTACGAGTAACGAATAGCCACGTTTTGTTTACATGACAAACCTTACTAATTGTCTGTCGGGTGGTGGCGGGTTTAACGACACATTTATATTTACGCAATATAAGCCCAAAACCTCTGTTATGGACAACAGGAGTAGTATCACAATATTTGGGCATCACAAGACACCGGCTTCCGACAGAGAACGTACAGCCACCAGGATTCCTGCAGGCACATCTCAGCGGCATAAAATAACCAAACCCAAGTGTAAACAAAACACATTTCCTCTATACCAAGTTTATAAACGATGGGTCACTATTGCTGCCAAACCGGTCAAATATTGTAGTCACGAGGTTAACCAAGAGGCAGCTCCGTGTGCCAGTCTAGAGCAATGGCACCTATTTGCAGATGGGAACGAATCTCCCCTTTCCCGCCATTTAAACGAAGACGCCAATCTCATCCTCCCCACCTTCACAAAACGTATGGCCAAACAACCCCTGAATTTGCACGGTGTGGACAGACCCCCACAGAAGAGTGGACAAAGACCCCCACAACTACCCAGACAGCACTCTCAGCCAAGCTGTTCTCCCACGGACGTTCAGCTGGGCACCATCACCGCTCGCGACACCCTTTCGTGAAATGGGCCTATGGCCCAGGACGGATTCACTCGCGCCCGGGGACGGGGTGCGGCGGGTCAACCCCACCTGCAGGCTGTAAGCCAGTCTCAGCGCCAGCGCGGGGTCGCTGCCGGTCCCGCCACCGCCGCCTCCGCCGCCGGCGCCGGCCCCTCCGCCGGCCGCCGGCGCGGGTCCGTCTTCGTGATCCGGCTGCTCGGCGAGCTGTGCCAGCGCGCGCACCAGCAAGCCGGCTGCCTCGGGGTGCGAGCCGAGGAAAAGAAGGCCGGGCTGCGTGGCGGCCAGGCCGGCCAGCACGTCGCGGCTCGCCTGCTGGACCCCGGCGTGCAGGCTGGCAGCCGGCGTGCACAGCAGCAGCGCCAGCGACTCCAGGAAGTGATGCTCGTGCATGTACCTGGTGGGCAGATGGGCCAACGAGTTGGTGAAGTCGAGTAAGGTTTTTGTGGTCATGCTGCACGCCTCTCTGATTTTTTGGGTGGGGATTTGCCATCAGATTAAAATCGATTTGTGTGCTCATGATACAAGCATCGAATAGTGCAGAGGAACAGATTATTTGAGATTAGTGCAAATGATATGCGAATGTTAGTTTAGACTAATGAGATGGAAACAGAATGAACAATGCAAATGAGGCAGGGGAGATGGTACAAAATTCAACTAAAAACAACAATTTCTTGAAACAGTGATACAAAATCGTGACCCATCAATCGCAGAAGGTTGACGACTCACTTCAGGCACAGACTTGGGTACAACACACCAAGACCCCATGTAGAGTTGTGTTTACGAATTATCCACCTCAACCATGCTTAGGATTAGAGCTTGCAGAATGCAAATCAGAGGCTTGGGCATGACCCATCATTCGAGGGGGTGCGGCTGATGAACAAGACGAGGGCTGCTGCCTTGCCCAAGCCTGGGAATTGATGTACTTAGGGGCCATCCATTTAGTAGGTACGCAAAAATCTGTCAAAACTTGACCCCCCCCCCCCTTCCCTGTACGCACGCGGACTTTTTACACCCCTGCGTACGTACGCCTGACGCACCCTCCCCCCCCAAATTCTATAGAACGGCCGATATTTAATCCGCGCAGAAACGATCAAGGATTAATATTTAATATTAACGTGTTAAAGCAAACAGATAGTCCACCGCCAAACTATCTAACTCATTTGAAGGCCAATGTAGACAAATTATTATCGAGGCTTCACCCCGCCCCCCGCCCCCCCACCGTTTCCTACGCGTACATCGTCAGTAGACCCCCCATACGCAAGCGAACGCATTTGGGTCAACCCCCCCCTCCATGCGTACGTACTAAAGTGATGGCCCCTTATGCAATCTGAATTTATATACTTTTGTATGTTTATTTATTATCCGTGATTTGCTTACCTTTCCCATACCTTAAACTCTCATCGTTTAAATTTTGATTCAAAGCTTTCCTGACTGCAGGGATTCATATTATTGGTTCTTTCGGTAAAGTCACGTAGAAGGGAAACAATAAAAATATAAAACAATAAAATTATCACAACGTTTCGACTGCAACACGAGCAATCATCATCAGGTGTGAAAACCACAACATGAAAATTTGAAAAAAGTGGCGGTTTTATTTAACGTTAGCACCACGGAGAGAGATTTGACAGTTTGTTCAGATGGACGAGTCCATCTATGTTCGGAAAAGAGGAGGGGGGAGACAAAAAATAATGGATGCGGTCTGAAAGCCACCTTAAGCGTGATCAATCAATTCAGACCTGAAATGGTGTATCAAATCCTTCCAATGATTGCTAAGCCAGAAACCATCTTCTTGGTTGAAATTGTTTCTGTGTTTGTATATGTGGATAGCCTCATGAATGAATCTCTCATGGTACCCAGATGGCTTGCCAAGAACCTGTCTTGGAGAAGTCAATGTCATGTGAGCCTACTGAATGATAACAGTGATCTGCCACGGCCGAGGTGTTGGTCCTACCGTGTTTGCGGTCTGCTTTGTGTTCACGAATGCGGTCTGAGACATGTCGTTTGATTTCTCCAATTTAACTACTACCACAGAGGCAACTTAGTTTGTAGACGCCAGGGTACTGTTTTGTCCGGAATCACATATTTTACAGACGGAACCAGATCACGGATTTTATGTTCTGTGTTGAATCGGACCTGGATCTTGTGTTTATTCAGGATTTTGGAGATATTTTTTGTGACCCCCGCAATGTAGGGTAAAGTGATGGTTTTTAATGGCTCAAGAGGGTCCTTCTTCATGGTTGGAGTGATAGCTTTGCGGATTGTGTAGTCGGAGTAACCATTAGCCTTAAGAGCTTGGTGTACGTGCTTGAGTTCACTGGCTATGTATTCCTGGTCGGATATGCATTGGGCTCTATGGTGCAGAGTCTTAATGAGGGAATTCTTCTGGATGTTTGTCGTTGTAACTTTCTAACCTGCCCAGACTGGACAATTGTGAAAAAGAACATTGGATTTCTCCAGGATAAATAATGATTCTGAATGAATGGCTGCCAAAGGAAAGAATATGCCGGAGAGTCGAACGCCAACGAAATAGAGCAATAAAATAATATCAAGGAGTGAGATGGACTGTGGCATCACAGAACCGTGTGGGATAGCAATAGCATAGATATGCCTTTGTACAGCAGTGGATAGAGAATAGCTTACAACGGTGGGGACACAGAGAGGTTCTGATTCGGCAATGGAAAGAGAAAGGCTCTGAGCAATGCTTCCGATTAATTAAGGCAACCACGGTGTCGCCACCTCTCATGCGATGTAATAATCCACGTGGCACCTGATGAACATTCGGTGGCAATGATTTGGCGGTAAATGACGCAGGCAGCGTTGGGCAGTTACCGGAAGAGCGCGGGCATGGGATCGTCACGTTCCGGCGGGCCGGTGATGCGTGCGGGCGTTGGGAAGCACTTGATGGGCAGCTGCAGCATGCAGTGCGGCGCTCGCACCAACAGCTCCTGCATCTCCTCCAGCAGCATGGCCAGGCGGTCCAGGTCACGTGCACCGGTGCCGGCCCCACCGCACACTGGCCACAAACGCACCACACACAACAACAACCGTTACACAGCCACTATGTGACGGTACCATCATCGCGTCGCTTGCGCCAAGCTTAGTGAACCTTGAGACCACGTAAAGTGTCAAACGTTCGCTCGCCGGTGGTTACGGGACAGGCCCAGGCGCTGTGGGTTAATAGACAGGACTGGCAAATGCACCAACAGTGTTCACCACTGCGCCACAGCATGAGCTAGAGCAGATGGGCTGATGTGGTTAACGAGGGCCTGATATGGACTTGCCGATGACTTGTACCAATGATGTCAAGATTGGCCTTGTTGCTAGACAGTTGGACGTGGGTTGGCACCTGTCCTGGTTTTTTGGCGATGTCCTCTTGTTGAGGCAGCTGCTGTCCTTGAAATTCTGCACCTCTTCCCAGGACATTAAAAGTTCCAGATTTGGTCACTGGCATAATTATAATACACCACTCAAGACCACATATTCACATGTAGTTCTCCCCTATTCTGGCATTGCGAAATCTTCTTTCATGATATGCCCAAGAGTTTATTTTTCTCCAAAAAGGCAACTCTGAAGTTGGAGGCAGCCGCCCTCAAGCAACACAGAACGGAGGAGCGACGCTCACAAGAAGGCGCAAGCACACAAACACAAACATGCGCACATGCATGCTTGCACCTACGCTCTCCAACGCATTGGGGTGGGACTGCGAAGCCTCACCCCAAATCCCTATCGCAAGAAAGGGTAGAGGGGGGGGCGACTCGGTGTTGCAACCAGGACGACCAGCCAGACCACCTGCCAGGGACGGGCGGATCGCGCAAAGCACGAAGGCAATCACTTGCGAGGCTGATTGTCGTCGTTCAATTCATTTATTATTCTGGCCTCGTTTGACAGTGGCACGCTGCTGTGGCTGGCTTGGCCAGTCAGACCAGATGGAGGGACCAGATAATCTCAAACCTGTGTTTCACAATGTGATGTCCCGCATGAGGCAGAAAGGCTGCAGCGCATTGATAAAAAGTGCAGGGTAACTTTCCCCGCCCGTGGAAATTTGACTCGCATATTGCATCAAACAACAAGGAGCATAACGAATCGTGCATTTAAGTTGACTCTAACATTCACAATGCATCCAGTACATTGTGTGTGCGAGAATCAATTATTTGGTAAAACGTATGGAAATAGTTGAGATTCAATTAGTTCACACTGCCATAGGTAGGTTCTATAGTCTTCTAAATGTTAAATAGCTTCCCAATGCCAGTTGAGGTGGTTCTGCCACCTTGTAAGGATGCTCCCGATATACTCCCCCTGGACCTCTACCGGGCACTTCCCACTGGGCAAAGACCCCGGGGGCCGGCCCAGGACACGCTGGCGGGACTATGTCGCTCGGCTGGCCTGGGAACGCCTGGGAATTCCAAAGGAAGACCTAGAGTCTGTGTATAGTAGTATAGTGTATCGTAGTGTAGTAGTGTATATGTATAGTAGTGTAGAGTGTAGTAGTGCTAGAGTCTGTCGCCAGGGAAAGGGAGGTCTGGAACGCCCTACTCAACACGCTGCCGCCGCGACCCTCACCAGGACAAGTGGCTTGAGAAATGAACGAACAAGCGAATGCTATCAAATCTACAGTCGGATCCATGCAGGTTATATAGATTCATGCCACTACAGTATGACCTTTCCTCTGTCTATGACTGAATCACGAGAGGTGAATCATTAAATCCAGTGTCAATTTCTCACTGAATATTTTCAGTGATGCTGCCGGACTGAAGAAGGCAGCAAGCGACTCGTAGCCACAGTCAGAGTGAGAGGTATACTACACGTGGTGTTGCTGGGTGTGGAAACATTTTCCAGGTCGCTAACCTGAACAGACCCGATCCCTAATCACGCGTCGTTCCGTGTTGACGCTGGAGTCAACGAGGAGATCTACGCGGCTCACGTCGCTGACTCTGTCAATCGCAAACGCATGCGCTGCGCATGGTGTTCCTGCACAAGTCGAATTGTAAACAAACGGATGCAGTGATGGCCCGGAGGAGACGTACTCGACTCGGGGTCGTCCGTGTCGTCGGAGCTGTCCAGGTCGCTGTCGCCCGTGCCGGTCCCCTCAGTGCTGCGCCTCCGCCGCGGCTCCTTGGAGCCCTCCGAGAGGGCCTCGACCGCGCGCTCCACCTCCACCACCAGCTCGTAGAAGTGGCACTTCTGCAGCACGGCGCTAGCGGCCGTCGCCACGCGCACCGTCTGCTTCGACAGGATGAGGTCCAGCAGCCTCTGGTAACCGCTGGCGCCGCCCGCCTGGCCCGCTTCGCCCAGGAAACTCCGCACGCCCTCCTTGGTGCTTACCAGGCTGTCCAGGGCCTTCATGGCACCCAGCTTCAGCGAGGAGGCCATGTGCTCGGCAAACAGGAGGTCCACCACCAGCTCGATCACGCCGGCCGCCACCAGCGCCCGCGCCTCGTCGGCGCCGCACTCGGCCAGGGTGCCGGCCAGCTTGAGGCCGCCCTTGAGCTGACGCAAGTTGATGGCGATGGGGAGGACGAGGGCGGCGTCCAGGCCCAGGGCGTGCCGGCACCACGCCACGAGGCGGCGCAACGCGTCGCCGTGGGCCGGGGCGGCGGTCGCTCGCAACCAGCTCAGCCCCTCGGGCAGCAGCGCCGGCGCCTCCTCCAGCGCCGTCACCCACTTGGGGCCGTTGCGCTCCAGGTCCCCCTCGTGGGCCTCCAGAAGGTCCCGCAGGCGCTCCGCTTGCTCCGCACGCTCCACGCTCCCTTCCTCCTGCTGCTTGGATTCGTTGGAGGCGATGCTCGCCAGGGCCACCTCGAACCTGCGCGCTCGCGAGGATCGCACAGTTATGTCGTGTTGACAACAACCCCAGGGTGCACCGCTTGCATCGTTCATTCCGTCGGTTGGTGTGCCGGCGAAGGTGACGACACACTTGGCGAGGTAAGCAGGGCTCACCGGGTGAGGTAGGGGGGGCTGAAGTGTGCGAGCGATGCCAGCTCCTTGTCCAGAGGGTCATAGGACATGGCGGGCACGGATGCGAGCTCCTCTGCTGTGTAGTGCTCCAGGTCAAAGTTCGGGTACTTATACGCTCCGTGCTCCGCGTCCGGGATGCACTCCTCATCACTCGATATCTGCTCGTACCCATCGTCCCCTGGGTAACAAAGGTGGAGAGAGGTCATTCGTGTGCATTGCCACTCTGAGTCGATGGGAAAAAAAACGATTATTTTGACGATAATAATGACAATATTGGATATGACGACCATGATGACAATGACAACAACGACGACGACAAATATGACCAAGAGACAATGACAAACACAACAACACTGACGATGAAGCTTCGCCAGGCTCGTACTGTCTCCATCTCCCTCCTCATCGTCCTCGTCAGGCATGCTCTCCGCCGCGTGGCTCTCCCCTTCCTCCCCTTCCTCGCCCTCCTCGGCCTCCATCTCCTCGTCCACCACCTCGTCCTCGATCTCTTCCTCCTCCTCCTCGTCCTCCCCACCCGTGTTGCCCTCCTCCTCGCCGGCGGGCTCTCCCTCCTCCGAGAAGCGCTCCTCCGACGGCTGGGAGCACGGCCGATCCGGGGACACCGCCGGGAAGAACTCCTTTTGGGAGGCGGCGGCGGCGGCTGCGGCGACGATGGCGGTGGCGGCGGCGGCCACGGCGGCGGCGGCGGCGGCCGCGGCGGCGTTCGGATCATCCCGCGAGACGGCTGCGGTCGGACAGCAAGGGGGCCAATCGTGGCTTTAACCAGAACTTTCAGTCATATAGGTCAGATGCATTCTCCCAACCACATTAAAATGTTAATAAGATTCATAACTGAATTTCGGGATTGGCCACGTTGGAATGTGGTCACTAGTTGTACATTAAAGTCCCCTTCTTAACCTCCTTCCGTTCCTTTATTTTAGCTGCACCTCTTCTTTATTTCACATTCGCTTCCTCTTCTCTCCCCTTCCCATCCCTCCCCTACCCTTCCGTGATCCCCAAGTAACCCTCTACCCCTCGATCGCTGTCACTCATTCCTCAATCCTTGTCGTGCGCCCCTGCCGACTACATCATTCCATACTGTCACCGTTTTGTAAAAGGGGCGTGAAGTTCTTCACAGATAGATTCAAGGATCCATGGCTGCCGTGTCATTGTCTGGAGCACTCACCGACTGGGAGGATGGGCACCTCATCGTCGTCGTCGTCAGGAGGAGGAGGACCAGGTGGGGTCCTGGGCCCGCGGGGCTGGTGGCGGGGAGGGCTCCGCACAAACTGCTCCTCCACGTCCCACTCTGCGCACAAAGACAAAGGGTCCCCCATGAAACCCGACAGGCTGTCGGGGCAAGTGCCCTTTGCAGAACTTATGAAGGCCGGCACGGTGCACGACGGGGTTGGTGTTGCTAGCATGATACCCAACTGCCTTCGTCTCCCCAGTGCTAAAGGTTCCAAAAACCACACCAGGTCCTCATTTAATGCTAAGTCAATTCAGGAGAGGCCCAGAACCAGATCAGATATTACGTGCCACCGATGCTAGCTGTGGCCGGGAATCAAACCTAGGTTTCGGGGTTGGTAGCCGCCGCTCCCCAAACTGCGCACACAACACACAGAGAAGCACGCGCGTACACGACACATTGCCACACCACGCAGCACTAAACCAAGAGCATCAGACCACAGCAAACAGCCACAAGCAAGCGAGAATGCAGGGCCCTACGCAACAGCGAGCAGCAATCCTCCACCCCACATGCAGAACACCGCGTCACACCGCAGCACATCACACGGCAACACACACACATATATATATACACAATACTGTGGATTATATAGCGTATACATTAGACTGCATTTCACGATGTTGAACAAAATAAAATATTTGGGCATAAAAAAAACAGAGGAGAGGGTGTCAACCATAGGCAGAAGATTAAGGAAATATTTTTTGCCTGGAATTGTGGTTCGGGGCAGGGAGCTGATGGCACAGATGGCTAGGGGAAGTATCAGACTATGGGGATGGGGGTAGCAGAGGAGAACGATCGACCTCTCACTGAGCGAATGTTGACGGGGGGTGGGGGGGGGCTTCCACAGGGTGGAGGGGAGCAGAGTGAGACGAGAAGAGATGGGCAGGGCAGGGGCGAGGCAATGTGGGCGGAATTTTAAGATGTTGAGAGCGATACATTCCACTACGTAGAGCAGCCCATCACCACCACAACAACAACCGCCATTCACCAAGTGGCGATGACGTCACCATTGTGCTTGTGCCAGGCTAAGTTCACTTTCAATCGAAAAAGATCCTACCACACTACACGTCACAATACATATAAATAAACATTCATGGAAAGAGTTTCATAAACGGTGGAAGTTGTGTTTACTAAATGCAAACATTTATGTTTCTGTAACTCAAACACTCACTAGACAACGGGGATAAGTTTAAAACTCTTTAAGATTTTTAAGTGGAAAAACTGTTTTCCTTTGCCAAGGGCCCACAAACATGACCACCCACACCCACGCGAGACATTCAAGGTGTCAACAGTGCTTCCACCGCAGTCGAAAGCCCACAGCCCCGGTCCAGCATCGCAAGGACGCCGCAGTCGTTTTCCCACCGAGCGAGTCGGTAAACCACGGCTCGGTCTCGCGGGCCCACCGGCACACCACGGTGGGACTCCGGCAAGGTCACCTCCCTGGCCGGGGGGGGGGGGGGGGGGCGGGAGTCTGTCACCGCGACGGTGAAAAATCGTTTTGCGCACTGGCTGTGTTCGCATGCCAAGCACCGAAGGATGCGTACCGTGACTTATCCGGGACCTTCCCTGCCCCCCAGCGCTCAAACCGGACAGGCCGCTTTGCTACGCCCCCCAAGCCGCGCGGGATAGCAAGGGAGGGTGGAGAGGGTGGGGAGGCTCCTGGAGTTCAGAATTTCCATTTAGACTGGAGGAATCCAATGAGCTATTAAGCTCTTTTTCACAGATGTCCAGTATGGGTGGGTCAGCAAGCTACAACAAAGAATCCCAAAAATTATAGGAGTTGGGGAGGGGGAAGGAGGGGGGGCTCCTGGAACGGGCGGCCCATGCTCCTGAAACGAAGGGCGGGCCCAACGGCAGTGCCACCGACGAAGGGTCGAGCGACGCAACCGACGCGCAAACCGCCTTTGTTGCTAGCGCAGCGCCGCCTTTTGTGAGTGGCTCGTTCCGCAACGCTCAGCTAACAATCGCCGGGTTCGACAACGGGGAGATTCCAACCGCCGTACGATGGCAAACACAATGGCATTTAACTTATTTGCCGTTCACCTTGATGCACCTGGATGGTGTAACGTGCGCAGCTCAACTGTGATTCATGGAGAGAGTGGTGGCGGCGTATTTGCTTCCCTTTACATACCTAATTAAAATAAGTAAACAAACTTTTTGTTGTTATTTAAATGCCCAAACAGTATGACTGTCGCTAAACCTTCGAACCCCACCCAAATAAATACCTGAGAATGTTCAAAACACGTGTCGATTCTTCAGGCTCACGATTCGTGTGTGGAATCGTGCATGCAAGAAGCGATGATTTACGATGTATGTAAGTTTCACCTTGAGGCTAATGGAACGAACAAGACAACAATATATATACACATCTCTATGCAAGTCTACTGGCTTACATGCGTGTAAGTCTGAGTCTCGGTAGATCAGCGCGGTTGGCACGTGCCCTGGTGCAATTGCACCGTCGAGACACTCCATAGCTACATCACTGTGTTAGGGCGCACGGGGATTGGGATTCGGGAGAGTTAGGCTTGGCGGGGTGGAAGGGTTAGATACCTCGGCCTGCGACTTCGTCGTATTTCTGTGGCCGCTTATAGGGCCCCGGTTGAACCCCAGGATGCGGCGGAGGTGGGGGTGGTGGAGGGGGAGACTCTCGCTCGTGGGGGCGGGAGAGGCCCCTCTCCACCACCCCGTAGACGGCCAGCGTGAGAGTGCTGTACCAACCGCGCACCACCAGCCCATCAGTGTTCACCTGAACGCACACACCACATGGGCACACAACAACACAGTGACACACAATACAGACACACACAAAATAACATGGATACCCACACAATGAAACAGACCAATAAACACACACTGCCACAAATACAGACACACAAACTTACACACAATGACACATACACCTTGACACAAGCAAACAGACATTTCAATACCCAGATAAATAAACAAGAACCCTCTATAGCCTCTATAGCTGATATTGAGCACTTATACAAAGGTCTGCATGGAGTGGTATAGCACCACATCAGGCTGTCTTTGTCTCCCCGGTGCTGATATTTACACATTACATCAAGTGCTCATTTAAGGGTTGACAGAGGAGAGGCCCAGGGCTGGTTCAGATAACTGTCACGGGTGTTGGTCATGAGTGGATATCCAACTCGGTCGCCGGGTTTGTCACACACTAACCCCGTACACATATGTATATAAACACACGCATAAAAACAACCACAAAGATACTCCATTTCCATACAGGCTGTTGGGGAAAGTGCTGTTAGCGAGTACTTGCATGTTTTGTAAATACATACCACTACAGACATGTACACACAAGGTCCAACAGAGACACAAATGAACGCATGTGGATTCAAGGATTCAAACGGAATTACCAAGATATACACAATTGCATTTCGCCCACAAAGACCATTTACGGGAATTTACCAATCGTTTTATTGGTCAACTCGAGTTACTTCAAGTAATTGTCAACATTCATTCGGAATATCTGCACATACATCATGTCTGTCTCTGCGGAAGCACTGTACGTTCATCACAGCTAAGACAAAAAAAATGTGACCAAAAGAAAATGCCGCTTGCCAAAATCATATGACAAATCGCTGGTGGGGGAAGGTGGTTGGCGAGGTGGGGCGTGATAGCTTAGATAATGCGGCAGAGGAGGGGAGAAGTAACAATCGGTCTTATGCAAGGTCTTCAAAACGGAGAATAATATGGATAATATGAACGTGGGAATTCCAGACAGTGGAGGCAGCAGAGGAGAAGGAACGATCCCTCCACCCGTGCCCGCCCCCCCCACTGAGGAAATGGAGCCCGAAGAGGAAGCGACAATCGTAAGGGCACCAGGCCAGCATGACTATATTCGGACAACACGTCTTTTCCCCTTTTAACAATGAATTACAGCACTGTCAATCCAACACTTGATGAAATCCTCCCCATACCATGTTGGTCAAGGGGGATTGTTTGACTATACTTCACCACACTGGTCAGTAAATGAGTGCAGGTTGGCAAAATGGGCAGGAGGCCAGGTCGACCGGTGCAGATATCTGCTTGCCGGGAATTGACCTCAGGCAACTGAGTTCATAAAGTATGGCACTCACCTCCACACCACCGCTCCCACACTCTTAATGCAAGCAGAGGACTGAATTAGATCCCAAGGCCGACATAGAAATGGGAAAACTGCATCTCCTTGCTCAGCAGCAGCGCATCACTCTTCTCTCTACGTCTCTCGGTCCTCAATCTTGTTCTCATCTACCCAGCCGTGCCCTGCATTTTAATGTTTGGCCAGCTCCTACTTTGAGTGTTTAACAGTCCAATTTAAAACAAAGAGCAGTGGCACAGTCATTGGCGCACTTCGCTGTGAATCTGGCAATCTGAGTTTGGTTCACGGGGGTTGATTAACATCGGTAACGAATAATATCTGCACCGGTCCTGGGCCTTCCTGCCCCTTTACTAGTGTGGTGAAGTCTGGTAAAACAATCCCCATGAGTGACAGTGCAGGGAGATGAGTCGTGGATTGACGGAGGGCTGTAAATTATACCAGGAGGAACCTCACACTAGATAGGAAGAAATATCGCTCACCCTACCACTGGGTAGGTTTACACAACACAAGCCGTGAGCAAGGATGGCATTGGAGGCACGTTTCTAGACTAAGTCACTCACCGCCTCTCACACCGCGTGCTAAACCACAGCAGCAGCAGCAAACCTCAGCAGGAGGAGATGGCAGCTAGAATCATGCAGGGTTTAATTTCTCTCCAAATAATTGACAGGTTGCTGATGTACGTGACAAGTACGGAGTAACCACAGCCAAATGCAAGAGGTATTCTGGATGTGGTGTGCCACGAGCAGCGATTCGGGACAAACCCGGGTGAATGTAAGCCCTCACTCCACACCGATCGCGACTGTCCCGCAGTGAAATCTCGTCGAATAACGAACGCCCTGCGAGCGGCGCTGCCCAGCTCCGGCGCGACCTCCTTAACGGTTCGCCCGCTCAGAGAGGAGCGCCGCTCTCTCTACTGCCCGTGTATTGACACGCACACGTGCTCACCGTTAACGTCCCGTGCATGGCAAGCCCTGACTCGCACCAAAGTCCAACAGCTGCAACTTAATCAGTGGTGCCAGCTGAACTACGATCCATTCAGTGCAAGGGGGTTTAAGGTAGGAAGGCCGTGCACATTGTTTGGGCACCGATGGCCACACACACCCTACGAAGCCATGAAATGTTCAACTGTGACAATATATTTCTTAATAAGAAGCCACGATATTCTCACTGTGGGTTATTGGAACATCCTTTCAAATGAGTCTATCATCCGCCGTCTAATCTTCTGTAACGAACCACTTTTTTACACCGGTTTGAACACTTAGACACGAAAAGAGAGACTCTGTGCGACATCCTCATCATACAGGGTTTTATGGAAGGAAAAATGAGGATTGGATGGCCCAAGATCAATTTGGATGGCAATTGTGATCATGTGGACGGATAAGACCAAGATTACGAGGGCAGACTGAAGTGGATAGTTGACAGCCTAGACATTGGTGGCACCCCCCATAATCTACTGGACATCTGTGAAAAAGAGCTTTATAGCGCATTGGATTCCTCCAGTATAATAAATATTCTGATTCTGGTCACTGTAGTTAAGAAATAAATGATGGTGATAATGAACCCCTTCACCGGTAAATTGAAGTAATACAAGAAAACCGTACATGTGCATGGATTATGTAACACTTCCAGCACACATTTGCCCGGTAAAGTGTTTAATTAGCAATAATAATGGTGCCAGGGTGAGCAGAAAGCATTGCGTCCATAAGCCGCGATGAAACAACAGAGATCGGATAGCAGCTCTGCTGGGGAGGGCGACACTTTGATCAATGTAGTCAGGCTTCGATCGTGCAAGTCCCGAATAGGAACACAACTTTTACACGAAAAGTTTTGTTCACCTTGGATCACTTTACAGGAAAAATGGTACCCCCGCGTTAAGAGACGGACAAACGGGCAGAGCTCATACGTTCACATTTTCAACCCAAGTTGGGAAGCGTTAACGACGACTTGTTAATATACGGTAATTTTAACATTCGAGCCTGGGCTGCAGAATGACTCTCCCTTCGACTGCCACCGCCAACCCATGCGCATGTAATTAGTGGGCAGCAACAGAGTGGAAGGAAAAGCCAAGAGGCTGCAGGTGAACAGGTGCGAGCATAGGCATGCCGTGGGCAGCACCACAACCTATGCTCACGAGGCAGAGCAAACAGGTTTCGTACTGGCTTTGTAAAAACATAGGAAGTGTGCCAATACCACAGGCAAATCAGGTTTCATTACCATTATTCATTGGGACTCGTTATACCCTGCCATTAATCTACCAAGTTAAATTAAAATGTGCCCAGTGTCTAAAGAATGTGGCACATAAAATGTATTCTAGAAAACATTACGATAAAGTTAAATGCTCTCCTCCCACGGCAGAGCCATAAATTCATTTCTAATTATTCCAACTTCATCATCTTAACAAGAGTGACTCGGAAGATCTAAGGGCACTCATTTCTAAAACTTACCTTATTGTTCGGCTTAAATATGATGGATGAAGGCTCCTCATAATCAAGACTGCAGGAAAACAAATTAAAGTGCAAATTAATTACTTGCTATGCAAATTAAATTCACATAGCCCATTGACAGCACAATATTGTCTTCACATTTGAGTTATTACGTGCGTGCGTTCATAAAACACCCCATTACCTTCCGAGCCTCTCGAACACTGATAGATTCGGTTTGGTGATGTTGCTGAAAAACAGTTCCAGCTGAAACGCACGTGGCGTGGTCTCCCTGCGAGAATACACACACGCACACACATATAGACGCACGCACGTACACACACACACACACGTACACACGCACGCACGTACACACGCACGCACGTACACACACACGCACAGGAAATACAACATTTGCATTCTCAAACACTGCCACACTTAAGAAAAAACATGCCTCTCCCCACTGTCTGTGTGTGCAACTCAGTCCATGTGGCGATTTATCTCGGATTGTTATTGCATGCACTTTCAAGTGAATGGTTCAGCACTATCCGCTTAAAAATAATGAGAGATGAAGAAAGGCAACTAAGCTTCCTCGACTGCTGAGAATTCAATGTGTATGTGTGAGCAGAACAGACAATAATTTGGGGTGAGCAAGTGAGTGCTGGTTGACTGCGAGTGAAATTGTGAGGGTGAAAGTTCAAGTGATCTAGTTTTCGAGGTGAACGAGTGGACACGAGTTAACTTTGCGTGAGCGAGTGAGCTGACGGAGCGAGCGTGTGAGCTTGTTGACAGAGTGAGTGAGCATGTGAGTTAGTGACCAAGCAAATGTTTGGCTAAAATTTGAGTGAGCGTATGAGCGAGCAACCAAATGCATAGAGTTGATTGTGAGCGAGCAATGTATGTTGAACTTCTTTCGCACCGTACGCAGCCAGCCGTGCTAATCGGATGTGCGAACAAGCGTGCGGGGTGACCGAGAGTCGGTTTGTAAATTAATTGTGACTACATGTTGGTGTCAACCGAGTGAGCATGCATCTGTTCAAGCTGAACCTGAGTGAGTGGGCGAGTGTGCGAGCTGTACCCATAAGCGCAGGGGTCCGGCAGGTTGCTGTGTGCGCGGACGCCCTGCGGGATGACGCGCACCTCCTGGATGAGCACAGGCCCGGGGAACTGGACCATGTCCACCTGCCCATTTTGCTGCAGTCCAACACAGGGGAGGTCCCCCACACCCCCATCATCGAGATGACGACGCTGACAGCGGCGCTCCTTCTGCTTGGCTCACACTCCCGCTTGGCTCACACTCCCATTGCCGCAGCGCGTTCACACACTCGCCCCTTCATCGTAGCACGTTATAAACAGCAGCTGCAATAGCGGCAGTAGCATTCGCTGCAACATTAGCAGCATTAAAATGAATTAAGTAGTGGCAACAGCAGTAACACTCGTAAACAAAATTAACGGCAGGAACAGCAACAATGAGCAATACAGGCGGGGGGAACAACATCCAGAGCAGGACTGCAACAGTAAGCGCAGCCGTATTAACTCCAGTAATAGCTAAAGTAGTTTCAAATAGCAATAGTTAAAGCATACAGTATATCAACAGCAGCTGTATTAGGTACAGTAGTTAGCAAAAATCTGAAATATCTGCAGCAACAGCAGAACCAAAATTATTGACAAGGGTGCAGCAGTAATTGCATCAGCTGGATGAGATGCAGCAGTTATTCCAATAGAAGTCTATGTTACAACACCCGCAGTAGCAGATACATCAGAATAATTAGTTACAGAATTAGCAGCATCGGCTACATCAGGTATAATGCAGCAGTAGCAATAACAGCATCTGCAGCAACATTACCAACAGCAGCAGTAACACAGGTATCAGCAGTAATGACAATACTAACTGCAGTAGCAACTGCATTCGTTGTTTTAGCTTCAGAAATACCATTGGCAGTAGTACATATAAATAAAAACAATAACAGAATCGGCTGCATAACGTGCAGCAGTGGCAACATGCACTGCATAAAGCACTCAAACTGCATTGGCAACAGCAGAAACAACATGGTCTTTATCGTCTGCTGCAAAACAGCCCGAGTAACAACATGAGCTGCACTCGCAACAATATATGCAGCAGTGACAATAGCATCATCTGCAGACAGCACGCCCTGGAACATTAATAACAGCAACAGCTGCAGCAGTAACAGCATGACCAACTTGAACTGCATCAGTAACAGCAGCAACCATAGCAGTAACAAGTTAGCAACATCAGTAGCAGCAGCAACAGCTGCACAAGTGGCAGTATGTTCTGTCGAGGCGATAACAGCACAACCTGCCACTGCAACAGCTGAAGATGTTGCCGTGCGGCCTGCAACAGCAGCAGCGTGCAACTGCGTCAGCAGCACCGTGACTGCTGCAACAGCAATAACATCAGCCGCACCAACGGGAGTCTCGGGCGCGTTAGCAACGGCACCGTGCGGCCGTGGCGGCTGTGCAGCAGCGACACGGCCGCAATTCGCAGCAGCACCGAGGCCTAGTGATGTAAACACGGGGCCTGCGCCGACGCTGGCCGCGCTCGCGTCCCGGAGTGTCTCGGCTCCCGGCTTGCGCTGCGACCTCCCGCAGTAACCCCCTCCCCCCTTCCCCCTCCGTGGCTCCTCGCCCGCCTCGCCCGGGCCGCTCACCTCGACTCCCCCGTGCTTGAAGGAGTCACAGAAGAGAAGCTCCACCGGCGGGTCCGCCATCGCCAACGCCGCCTCCTCCTCCTCCCTCCAGCCTAGCGACCACCAACGGCGTGCCTCATTGGTCGCGCGAGGCCCCCCGGTTTCGGCTACCGTTGACCAATGGCGAGTGCGTTTACTCCTGCGTTTTACGCCAACCAATCAGCAGCAGCGCTAGGCGGGGCCAAAGTCGCTGGAGCCGGGAGCACGTGGAGGAGCATCGCAGCGGCTGTCGCCTTTACGGGGGGGGGGGGGGGATATAAGGCGACGTTTCGGGCGATGGTCCTTCTGCATAGCACATAGATGGATTATGGACACCAAGAAATTCGTTTAATCGTGATACAGCAGCAGCATAGGGTCGGTGCGGTCTCCATCTCGCATCCTCTTCTTCATCCCGCACCTCCGATTAGCAGCGTTGGCAACGTACGGTGCGAAATAAGTTCAGCATGCGTGCACAATCTACCTGGCCTCTGTGTGCTATGAAGAAAAAAAGGACCGTTACCCGAAACGTTTGAAGGCCACAGTACGCTTGTAGAATGTGTTATAAAGTGTTTTTGTTATTTGTGCACCACTGCCAAGTAATATGTACCTGATCGTAACCTCATAGTTTCATAGTTTTATTTATTTGGTATAGCCCTGTGAGCCATTCGGCTCTTGAATCGGGTGCAACCGCAACAAACAAAAACATGAACAAGAAAACATCTTAAAGTGACTTTGTGCATGTGCAAACAGAAAATCCAGGAAAAAACATCAAAATATTCCTGAAATAGCACTGTACACCAACGCTGTGTGCAAAAATCTCAGTGGGATGCAAGTCAAACAACAAGAAACTTAGATTAAGGCTATCAGTCTAACTCCGTACTACAATAAACAAAAACATGGCCAAACCAAAAAACTTTTAGAAATCACCAAAATAAAGCCATAAATGCAATGTAACAGTGATCATGGTCCTTGCCCCTACCGGACAGATCTGAAAAAGAGCTTCATAGCTCATCGGATTTATCCAGGATTTATAAGGATTCTGACTGACCTTTGACATAGCGAAAAAAAAGTCAGTGATTTCCTGCTCCTCAAATGAACGTTGAGGCATTGGTGCGCATCTCCTATTTGGAGACCTGCAGGACCAGGTGGTGGAAATTCCACATTCCCGTGGGTGGTATGGTGAGTTTATCGATATAACAATCGCTGTTGAGTATCCCCACAAAGCAATACTAAATTGATCGACCCCGGAGGAATTGATGGACTTAACCATGATTCTAACTCTCAAACTTTCGATTTCGAGCCGCTCGCTCTCAATTAAATGTCCACATTACGATGGCGGAAGCGATTGTATCCATAGGATAATCACCTATCATTACCCCCACAATGCAGTGCCGGATTAAGCTAGTGAGGGGCCTGTAACATATGTTACAAAGGGGCCCGGAAACTTTAAAAAAAATATATAAAAATTGTTTAACTTGCACAGTTAAGCAATTGTATTTTTTCATTTGCTATACAGCCAGATAATACGACAAATCGCTAACCTTAAACACCCAGTCGTTCATAAAAGTTGAAAGTACTATAGTAATAGAGCATATGCAGCTACTTTTGCTACTTGGATAATCCGGCACTGCCAAAATTGCATGATTTTTTTTCGACCCCGGAAGGCTAATGATGATGACGATGATAAAAGGCTTCAGTAAACACCCCAAACAGGATTCCAACTGAACTCATCATCAACTCATCATCCCCGCTGCTCCGCGCTGCGGGAGTTAGTTGTGTAAATGGTTAAACGTGTGCAGGAGCGCGTGACATCGCTTACACGCGGCAAGGGCTTAATGTGGGGATCCCGTCGGATGCTGCTGCCCACGGCTGGGTGGATGAGTGACCAGCTGGCGATTAGCTCCACCCGAGGCGACCCCAGGGGCCACGCGGAACGACCCCTCTGGTCGCGCTCATCTCCTCCGCATGAGGAATATAAAGCCAACGGGTGTCATTCGCAGTTCCATCCACAGCTTCTTTGTCAATCCACTGTTGGATGAAGGCCTCGTGCCACGAGGTGGGGGGGGGGGTATTTTGAGTATATTACACCACGCTGCTCAGGGCGGGGTGGTAAACTTGAAGCTAAGAACGCGCTCAGATGTCGCTCAACACTGAGGTTTAGCTGTAGCCTGGACTCTAACTCCGGCGGTCTCTCCACGGGCGCGAGATGGGATGTGTGGCATCGCAGAACTGACGTGACATTGGCGACGGCGTGAGGATGCCGTCATACAGCAGTGGATATACCGTATCTCGGTATTTTGGAAGTGGCTTTGAAGGTAGCGTTCATCCAACAGTGGATAGACCACGTCGGATGACGGTGAATTAAAACCGCGGCCAGGAAATGGCACAAAACCAACAAACTAATGGTTAACTCGCAATGCGCGGCGGGTAAAAACCCACAAACCAATTAAGGGGCACGACTTGGAATATAATCTCAAGTTGGGAGGCGCACCTGGGCGCGTGCAGCGCCAAAAACTCACGGGCAGATTCCCCTCTAATTAATTGTCATCTGCGGCACGCGACAATCAATTACAATCGATTCATAATGAGAACCAGGTGCTGAAACCAGAGGCGCGCGCGCTGGGGGTTCGGGGACGCATTTATCCAGCAGAGGATTGACCATGGCTGATGGTCATAATCACAGCTCTCAATGTCGATAAACGATGTTACAATGGTTGCCTGTCACTGCGTGTCTCTGTGTACGTGTGTATGTACGTTGAACTTCTTTCTCAGCGTCTATAATCAACCGTGCTAATCGGAGGTGCGGGGGAAGGACAACAAACTAAACACAAAAAGCAGGTCTAAATTAACGAGTTTTCAACCGAGAGTTAAAAGTGCATAGCTCCAGCGGCTTCCTAATAACGGAAGAGCGTTCCAGACGGCCGCAGAAGCGCATCGGAAAGCGCCGCGCGACGCGGTGAGCGCCGTCTCTGTTTGATGGCCCAGCCAAACGCCACCGCTGCGAGGATGACCGGAATTCGCGTGAAGGTTTATGCTCCAGGCCGACATCAGCAAGGTTAATTTGTGTCGTCTCTCCGATCTAACCTCCGCACGAGGATCCGGCTCAGCCACGGCCTCAATGCTGATCCCCACTGAGCCCCCACCCTGACGAGTCGGTGAGGCTATGGGAGATTGGGGGGGGGGAGCAGTCCTTGATGAACGTGTACGGAACGCGACATTCACTCGCGTTTTCATCATTCGCGATGTGTCGAGGACTCGAACTGGCGCACTTTAGTTTGCAGTCCCTGCTCGTGAGTGAGCCTCAGCCCAGCCAAAGAGCCGCGAAGCACAAGGTATGGGTTTGTGTACAGGTGTATAGCACAGGTGTGTGTGTGTGGAGTGCAGGTAAATGATTGAGCATGACATGTACGGGGTTTTGGTCCCGGGGTATTTATTATACAGGTGTATAGTACAGGTGAAAGGGCTGTGTACAGGTGTGTGTAGTACACATCTGTAGACTATCCCTTGTGTACAGGTGAGCGTGGGGAGGTAGGACCAAACAGCCCTGAGCAACAGCAGGGTGAAGGAGGCCCTTATCCCGCAGTGGACTGTCCAGGGTGCTCCAGATGTCTTGTGACTCCTTTGCATATTCACGTCTGTTTTAAGTAAAACCTTACTTTAAAAAATAAATTACGTTTGAGAGAATGAAACGGGGGTCACAAGACATCTGGACCAGCCTGCACAACATGCACAGGGAAAGAAGGAGTGTGGTGCAGCGATGTGTACAGGTGGGGGGAGGAGGCGGCATGTGGAACGTACAAGATTAGATGCGTTGATTTATTATAATTATATCACTATGTAACACAATTTTTGTTCCTGGGTACTCAGTGTTATTTTTAAATTGCTTATGCCTAAAAAGTAGAGAAAATGGCTATTATTCCCCACAAACTTTGCTTTTGTGACCAAGACTTTATGTGAACTAAACACAAATTCGCACGTTTTCTCATTGAAAATAGGTACATTTCACAATATCACTGCCCTGGTCACAAGCAAAGTTTGTGGGGAATAATAGCCATTTTCTGTACTTTTGAGGCATAATCAATTAGGAAATAACACTTACGACCCCGCAACATTTTGCTTTTGTTACACACTGAATAATTATCACAGATTGCAAGCACGTGCCGATCGCAGGCTCACGGCGGGGTGCAATTCCGCGCGAGTGAGGAGCATGCGAGCTGCGTGCGGCTGGTGAAGAGTCGCTGCAGCGACAGGGAACGCGCGAGTTGTGGGAGGTCGCATCAAATGAGTGGGAGGTCGCATCAAATGAGCTGAAGATCGCATCATTGCCACGCGCAGGTGCGGCTCTGCATGGGTTTCGCTCCTGGGCGGGGTATCGAGTGACAGCGTGTGTTCGCTAATGCCTCTCCTAATCGCGCATCGCTTTCAATTTCAATAAGTCGTTTTTAGAATGGTACGAAGATCCCCGCCTCCTTTGCTCTTACAGCCTGTCAGGCAGAGGTGAGGGTAAGCGAGCGCTGTTGGCGAGCACTTATTAATGCCTGCCGGGCGCGCGAGGCGGTGGCCGGTGTGGATAGCACCACGCCCGACCGCCTTTGTCTCCACCGACAATTGAGGGCGGATAGGAGAGAAGGGGGCAGAGTTGGGGTCAGGGCGGTGGTCGAGAAGACACCTGCCCTCGGGGGAACACCACTCCCCCTCGCCACCTCGCCCCCTTCTCCGCGCACAGGTAACCCGACTCCTGTTCGTTCGTTCCCCGAGGGGGAGGGAGGCAAGAGATGGCTGCTTTCAATGGTCTCCGAAGCTAAGCAGGTTAAAGCCTGGATGGTGCTTATTTTGGCGGTCGGCCGTCCATGCATGACAGGTGACATAGGCTGCTGCCGCGGGCTTCGTGGCGGCAGTGCAGTGCAGTGCAGCAAACCCCATTGTTGTAGTGCACCAAATCCCATTGTTGTAGTGCATCAAGCCCCATTGTCGTAGTGCATCAAGCCCCATTGTTGTAGTGCATCAAGCCCCATTGTTGTAGTGCACCAAACCCCATTGTTGTAGTGCACCAAACCCCATTGTTGTAGTGCACCAAACCCCATTGTTGTAGTGCACCAAGCCCCATTGTTGTAGTGCACCAAGCCCCATTGTTGTAGTGCACCAAGCCCCATTGTTGTAGTGCACCAAACCCCATTGTTGTAGTGCACCAAGCCCCATT